CGACCGAATGACCGCAGTTCGGTGGAACGAGTGAATTGGAGCGTCGCATTCAAATGCATTCGAATGTGCCCCCTTTCGACTGCTGAGGTCACAGTGAGACGAGTGTAACTTCGAGCGTGACGTCAGGGTGTCTTTCACCACCGCTGTGAACAGAGGGCGCGAGCTGCAATGGTTAACGCACCCGCAGTGATAACCAGGGCGGCCCGCCGGACTAGAACCGCGAACCTCTGCAACAAGCATGTGGCCCATGACACAAAACATATCAAATGGCAACATTTTACAAGGCACGGGCGACAAAAAGCCAAGCCGGGCCGCATCACAGATGAACACAATCGGAATATGAATTTATACAGCAGGAGGAATCCGATGAGCTGTAAAGCTCTTTACCACGGGTGTCCAGCTAAATGGCGCCGCTCGTTGCTCGACACGTGCTGCGGGTGCCGAGTTACAGCAAACAACTCGGCGTCCCTTAAGCGATACGCCGCCTCTGCTCTGCTCCTCCAGCATTTACTCGAGGGGGGCGCTGAGCGGTCAAGGCCACCAGCTGAAGCCGCCCACGTCGCCCCCTCCACGGGTCACCGATGAACCCACGGCACCGCCCGCCTCGTCCACGCCACTCGGCACCACCGCGCCCGACGGCTGGTACGGGGTCACCGAGTGTCACGCGCGCGCATCCTTCGCCGCAAGCGCGAGCCTCTGTTGCCCGTTCTCTTTTTCTGACCTCCACCTCGCCCCTCCACTCCTCGCCGTCTCCTCCCCCTAGCGCTTTCCGTGATCCCCATGACCACGGGAAGGGGAGGTGGAGGGACGGTCGCCGCTTCGCGCTCTGTCAGGTGCGCTTCTGCGGCCGTCTGGAACACTCTCTTCCTCCCGATGTTAGGAAGCCACCGGCGCCGTGCACTTTAAAAGTCACCTCGATTGGCGAACTCACTTCTTGAAAACTCGTATATTTAGAACTGCTTTTCGTCTTTAGTTTGTTGTCCTTCCCACGCACCTCCGATTAGCGCGGTTGGCTACGTACGGTGCGAAATAAATGTAACATTATACATCATTTCATCTCTGCATGAGCATTAGTTTTAATAAAAAAATTGAACATACATATATACCGAAGTAACCTCTACCGCCGTCACTCATTCCTAGATCATTGTAGCACGCCCCTGCCATCGACATCATCCCATTCTGTGTCACCGTTCTGCAAGCCACGCCAAGCGCCTTGAGTGAAGGCGCTCGAGAAATATAAATTAGACAAGTCAGCAGTGCCAGCCATCAGCCCTTCACGGGTAGCGTCCACTCGCTGAAAATGATTCACCTTTGTTCTGACAAATGAGGGAGACACGTGTGCGTGCAGCCCACATTGCTGACGACCCGTGCTGCGCAAAGGTGAAGTAACACATCTGTTTGCGAGCATTCTTCTTCAGCTTACCGATGTTTGCCGGCTATAAATGTCCACACGATGATGAGCCACTTCGTTGAGCGATCATTTGTGGTCAGGGCGCTTCTGGAAAAGAGTTATATAGCCCAGTGAGCCTTACCTGGGGAAATAACCAAAAATCGTTAGTTTTAGTTAATTTGTTTATTTTTAGTAATGTTCTTACTTTTCCAATACTTTGCACTCCTATTGTTTTGGATTGTTTGATGTTGTTACGTTCTGACCCGCCACTGCCGTACGCCTGTTAAAAAAGAGCTTCACAGCTCATCGCATTTCTCCAGGATAAATAACGATTCTGAGATTCTGGGTGAGCTAAAAAATAAAAAGGACACCGAAATTGTCTCGTCCGACGCTTGCACACGTGACCATCACATTTGACTTCCGTTGCGTCAGGTGGTGGAGGGCTCCCCACGACACACATTATGGACAGATGGTTACGTGGCCGAACCACCCCCGTCCCCCCGTGCCCCCCAGAAACCGAATTGTGAATCGTGGCGCGTGCTGCAATCTCCTTCAGGGGGGCGAGGGGGGGGGGGCATCGTCACCGCCTCCCACCCACCGCTGGTGGCGAACCTGCGTCGGTTTTGTCCGGTGTGGTTCGTGGCCACGCGGCGCGCCAACACCGCTGGTGCCCATTGCCCCGGCAGCGTCACGTCGGGGGGGGGGGGGGGGGGGTAGGGGGGCAAGCTAACGGGGCTGGATGCGCCTGGCTGATTGTGCAACACTCGAAGCGTTTGTCTGCGACTCTATGGTAAACGTTTTTTGTTTGTTTGTTGTAAAAGCTTACCTGCGCCGAATGGGCATAGTTGACTTTCATCATTCACTTGAAACGTTTGGGATCAGGTCGTGCTTCGGATGACTGCGAGCATTAGGTCTCGCAGCGGGAGAAGCATTAAAAAAATATTTAAAACCCCCGAACACACAAATTAATCCTAATTTTACATTTGCAGTGACACGTGTGTTGATCGCGCCGTCTATTTAGAGGCATCGATGAGCGCGTGTGCTTCCCACGCACTCGCGCTGATCCGCACCAGAATCCGCATTTGGATGGACTCCCGGGGCGCCGGTCGTTGAGCGGCGATGTAAATGTCACGCGGGGCCACTCGACGTTTGCGTTTGAATCGTCACCGGGTCCCTTGATTGAGCACACAGTGCCTACCTACGCGAGCTTAAGGTGTGTCCACCACCTCCCCTCCCCCCACCCCGGGTACAGATTTCAGGTCTTAGCCGAACGAAGCCCGGGCGCGTGACGGCCTCCGGTCTCTGCCGAGAGCCAAAGTGCGAGCTCGCACCTTGACTAGGTGCGAGCCACGCACCTGGCCGAGGTGGCAAGGGTCCAAAGATCGCCACTTGGGTTACGCGGAATCGAAATCGGAATGTGCATTTATTAAGCCGCGGGAGGAATCCGATGAGCCACGAAGCTCTCCTTGTGTCACACGTGTCCAGGCGGGGCACGGGGTCAGAAAGTTACAACAACACACAATACAAAAACTCGACAGGAGTGCGAGATATAGGAATTGTAAGCAAATCACACGCACACACTCACACGCAAAAATCTATTTTGATTTTACCAGGTAAAGCCCACTGAGCTAAATGGCTTCTTTCTCAGAAGCGACCTGGCCACAAATTGATAGACTCAACGAAGTGGCTTCTCATCACGTGGAACTTTACAGCAGCCACGGCACCCTACGGCCACCGGCTCACCACCGGCTCACCACCGCTCACCACCGGCTCACCACCGGCTCACCACCGCTCACCACCGGCTCACCACCGCTCACCACCGGCTCACCACCGGCTCACCACCGGCTCACCACCGCTCACCACCGGCATCGCAGCCACAGCGGCGTGGCGCTGCAGAAGCAAAAAAACCTCACGTCATGGTTCTCATCCCACGCGCATCGCTTAAACGACCACCCACCCACCCAGTCGTGGCGCATCAAAAAAAACCCGTATATATATTTTTTTTACATTTGACTCCAAATAAGTTGATCGTGACCCATACTTACGATAACGTTTGCCGAAAATAACTTTGCGCGCGTGGCAAGCTCACGACGACTGACGACAAGCGCGCGCTGTCTGTCGAACGTCTCTCGCACTGCACGTCGCCGGCCGTGCTCACCGGAGGTGCTTTGCTTACAGGACCTGCCGCGGGCCCGTGACTGTGGCGAACAGCAAGAACAGGAGCACCCTCTTGAAGTGAGGAGGGATGGGGTTGGTGTTGTTGTTGTTGCCGCGTGAATTGCGACTCGGTGTTTTTTTTTTTGCTCACAGCGACGTTCTTCATTGCAAGGGCCACTGGGGGCCTCTGGCGTGCGGGCCACCGACAATATCACAACGTGTGAACACCCCCCCCCCCCCAATCGATCATGGCTATCAAACCCCCAATGGTTTCAAATGTGTAGCGGCTCTCAACACTGATGATGGCTTATCGGTGAAAGTGCCCCCCTCCCCCCGACCATCGCCGCCTCTGAAAGTGAGTGGAGAACGCTGGCTTACACGGCACGCACGTGGCGGAGACTCGCAGCTCCCATCCGCCTTCTGGTTTTACCGGTCAGCGTGAATACGGCACGCATCACGATCATCGCCAGTTCAAGACCGTGATAAAGATGCGTATATCCTCCGTCTGAAAACGTTCCGTAAAGTTGGCCCTGTCCTGCTAAGTTTCAATGAAGATTTGTTTGACCAGGGTGAGGTCTTACGACAGAAGGATAGCGTTTTATTGCCAGAAAGGGTAAAACCTATTCTAATTATTCATACTTTGATATACCGTGATATACCTGCTCGCTCCGAGCTATAAATGCTCTGATACGTGCGGCATTGTCTTTGTGCTGTTCGCCTTTTGGAGTTGTTCTCTGGTCTGACACTGTTGGAAAGACTTGGCCGTGAAGTAGGCTGTCTCTGGTGTAGGCCATTCAGTTTCACAGACAATAAATATATTACTGGTAGGAACATCCTGGTGACACCACCAGCCCACAGGTGATTATTGTGTCCGTCCGTCCGTCGTGCATCCAAAAATGGGAGGGGTGGGGCTGGGTGGAGAGGGGAGGGTGGGGAGGGGCTGGGTGGGGTGGGAGGGGCTGGGTGGGGGGTGGGAGGGGTGGGGCTGGGTGGGGAGGGGCTGGGTGGTGAGGGGCTGGTCACCCCGTGGTGCCCTTATAAAACTCAACGTTTAACCTACTCACGCCGGCTTGTGCCCGCCCTCACAGTCGGGCATATTTGCGGAATACACCACGTGCCACCGTTGACCCTGGCCATTGACCGAGCAACCAACGTTCCTACCAGCTCCCTCTGCAGGAATGTGTTATCGGAGCATGTTGGTTTGCATGTTCACCACAAGTAGTATGCCTAATGCAGACTTTATTCCCCCAAACAACAACTGCATTACAGAATACATCAGAAATAGTGCACGATGGTCATGAACATGAAACAAAATACATTCCTATCAACGAACGTTGCCTAGGACAAATAACTTTTAAAACAATTTATAGCAAAAAATAAAAGTTAGGGAACTATCAGCAAACCCGACGGGAGCTCTGTGCGACGAGCCAGGCGCTCGGTCCGGTCTCAGCGGTCGGCAATTTATTGAGTGCTCAAACAAATACCCAGTTGGGGCTACTATTGCGAGTTTAAATCCCGATCAAATGTAGTCTAAGGCATCATTTCATTGGTGTCAATAAAGTGATCTACCACTCTGTGAAAAGCTGAAAGTTTTTTTTTAATCATGGATCTCACGGACCCTGTCATAGGAATGTGGACATTTCCATTCTTGGCTCAGGGCTGGGGAAATCAACAGTGGTTGTCCTATGGTCAGCCTCGCCCTGGCATAGGAGCGTGAAATTTCCACCATTGACTTAGAGCAATAAACAGGAGATAAGTGCCAAGCCGGTACACGACTTAAACTCGTGTGTTGAGCAATTCCGTCTGTTGTGTTTTTTTAATGATGAGATTATCCACATGTCGTATACTTTGTGTGCATAACCAGGTCTCATTATGTTTCTGCATTCCACAGCCTGTGTGACCATCACCTCCCCGTATTCCTAAACCCGTACAATCTGTCAAGCGCCAAATACAACCAGTTTGAGAACATCTCGTATAATCTGCCCTTCGGAATATACAACGTTGGTGAGTTCCCTGTGCGCAAATGCAATTCCATTTTACGTGCAAACCGCTTTGTAAGCACGTGTGGCTTATGTGGCTAGACCCGTGCCTTTGTATCCAAAGTGGTGTATCCATTGCCCAGGAGTGCACTCTCGTGATACCAACTGGAGCAGCACGTTGACCCATGATTCAAACTCATTTCAGGGGGTGTTGGGGCAATGCCGGATTATCCTCGGAGCAAAAGTCGCTACACATGTAGTAGCTACACATGTAGTAGCTATACATGTAGTAGCTACACATGTGTAGTAGCTACTACATGTGTAGTAGCATGTAGTAGCTACTACACAAGTAGTACATGTACTACATGTAGTACTTGTGTACTTGTAGCTACATATGTAGTACTACATGTGTAGTAGCTACTACATGCTACTACACATGTAGTAGCTACTACACATGTAGTAGCTGCTACATATGTAGTAGTAGCTACGGGCCCCGCTCTTTCAAGGGCCCCGCGTTAAACGCTTTCAAGCTATCAATTCAGGTTCAGTGATTCTGCACTTGCTCTATTACTATAGTACTATACCGCCTTCAAATTTTATGAACGACTGGGTGTTTAAGGTTAGCGATTTGTCGTATTATCTGGCTGTATAACAAATGAAAAAAATACAATTACTTTACTATGCAAGTAAAAAATGTCTTTTAAATATTTACTTTTTTATGGACCCTTTAAAACATATGCTATAGGCCCCGCACTAGCTTAATCGGGCACTGTGTGGGGTGGGGGTCACGTAATGATCTGGCCAAATTTGTGTTGCAAAATCCTCCAACCACGCGAACGCAGGCACAATAAGTTGAATTGTCACGAAGGGCTTGAATGCGCCGGTTATTGTTGTTTCGAATCGCCGGCAAACAGATCAAGTGAAAGAGCGATTCTCAGTTGCCAAATAGAGTGAGATTAGACGCGAGACTTAGCGTTGTACAAATGCAGAACTGCTGGAGGGTTTTAGAGTTACCTTCACTCGTATGGATACGGACTCACGGACAAGACAGAAGTCGGGTGTTGATCAAAGTGATCGACCACTCTGTGAGAAGCTGAAAATATTATTAGCTCTTTCGGTAAAGTCACGTTAAAGGGAAACAATAAAATAATAAAATATATGTAAAACAATAAACATTTCTCACGACGTGTTATGGTCGAAACGTCGTGAGAATTTTTTTTATTGTTTTATATATATTTTATTGTTTCCCTTTAACGTGACTTTACCGAAAGAGCTAAGAATATGAATTACTGCAGTCACGAAAGCTTTAAATCAAAATTTAAGCTGAAAATAGTTTTTTTTACTATGAAACTCCCGAATCCTGCCATGGGAATGTGGAAATTCCCACTACTTGCTCAGGGCTGCCAAGTGAGAGGGAACACAGGCCGGCTGCTCATTTGAGCACGCTGGGGAAGTCGACAGTGGTTGTTCTATGGGCAGACTCGCCCTGCCATCGGAATGTGCAATTTCCACCATTGACTCAGAGCAGTAAACAGGAGAGAAGCGTCAGCCAGATGTAACTATAGACTCGTGTTGACCAACGTTACACAATCATCTCAAGCGGAAGTCTTTCTTAACACATGTACAAGCCAAGGCTGCTGTGAATAACGCGTAACGATACGCTTAATAGCTTTAACATTCGATTAATAAGCACCGCATACCAAAATCGATCTCGGCACCGATAAGGAAATAATATTTCAGCCCATGATCAATTATTTGCCGATGAAATAATAATATATTGGGCAACAAAAACCTGGGAACAGTTTTATTTTGCATTGCCCTATTATCATTTACCCATCGTCATCCTTCATACCGGATGATACCATCACGAGTCTCTATAGGGGGATACCATCACGAGGCTCTATAGGGGAGATACTATCACGAGTCTCTATAGGGGAGATACCATCACGAGGCTCTATAGGGGGGATACCATCACGAGTCTCTATAGGGGGATACCATCACGAGGCTCTATAGGGGAGATACTATCACGAGTCTCTATAGGGGGGATACCATCACGAGTCTCTATAGGGGGGATACCATCACGAGGCTCTATAGGGGAGATACCATGACGAGGCTCTATAGGGGAGATACCATCACGAGTCTCTATAGGGGGGATACCATCACGAGTCTCTATAGAGTGATACCATCACGGGTCTCTATAGGGGGGATACCATCACGAGTCTCTATAGGGGAGATACCATCACGAGTCTCTATAGGGGGATACCATCACGAGGCTCTATAGGGGAGATACTATCACGAGTCTCTATATGGGAGATACCATCACGAGTCTCTATAGGGGGGATACCATCACAAGTCTCTATAGGGAGATACCATCACGAGTCTCTATAGGGGGGATACCATCACGAGTGTCTATAGGGGAGATACCTTCACGAGTCTCTATAGGGGAGATACCATCACGAGTCTCTATAGGGGGGATACCATCACGAGTCTCTATATGGGAGATACCATCACGAGTCTCTATAGGGGGGATACCATCACGAGTCTCTATAGGGGAGATACCATCACACGTCTCTATAGGGGAGATACCATCACGAGTCTCTATAGGGGAGATACCATCACCAGTCTCTATAGGGGGGATGCCATCACGAGTCTCTATAGGGGGGATACCATCACGAGTCTCTATAGGGGAGATACCATCACGAGGCTCTATAGGGGAGATACCATCACGCGTCTCTATAGGGGAGATACCATCACGAGTCTCTATAGGGGAGATACCATCACGAGGCTCTATAGGGGGGATACCATCACGAGTCTCTATAGGGGGATACCATCACGAGTCTCTATAGGGGAGATACCATCAGGAGGCTCTATAGGGGAGATACCATCACGCGTCTCTATAGGGGAGATACCATCACGAGTCTCTATAGGGGAGATACCATCACGCGTCTCTATAGGGGAGATACCATCACGAGTCTCTATAGGGGAGATACCATTACGCGTCTCTATAGGGGAGATACCATCACGAGTCTCTATAGGGGAGATACCATCACGAAGCTCTATAGGGGGGATACCATCACGAGGCTCTATAGGGGGGATACCATCACGAGTCTCTATAGGGGAGATACCATCACGAGTCTCTATAGGGGAGATACCATCACGAGTCTCTATAGGGGGATACCATCACGAGGCTCTATAGGGGAGATACTATCACGAGTCTCTATAGGGGGGATACCATCACGAGTCTCTATAGGGGGGATACCATCACGAGGCTCTATAGGGGAGATACCATGACGAGGCTCTATAGGGGAGATACCATCACAAGTCTCTATAGGGGGGATACCATCACGAGTCTCTATAGAGTGATACCATCACGGGTCTCTATAGGGGGGATACCATCACGAGTCTCTATAGGGGAGATACCATCACGAGTCTCTATAGGGGGATACCATCACGAGGCTCTATAGGGGAGATACTATCACGAGTCTCTATATGGGAGATACCATCACGAGTCTCTATAGGGGGGATACCATCACGAGTCTCTATAGGGAGATACCATCACGAGTCTCTATAGGGGGGATACCATCACGAGTGTCTATAGGGGAGATACCTTCACGAGTCTCTATAGGGGAGATACCATCACGAGTCTCTATAGGGGGGATACCATCACGAGTCTCTATATGGGAGATACCATCACGAGTCTCTATAGGGGGGATACCATCACGAGTCTCTATAGGGGAGATACCATCACGCGTCTCTATAGGGGAGATACCATCACGAGTCTCTATAGGGGAGATACCATCACCAGTCTCTATAGGGGGGATGCCATCACGAGTCTCTATAGGGGGGATACCATCACGAGTCTCTATAGGGGAGATACCATCACGAGGCTCTATAGGGGAGATACCATCACGCGTCTCTATAGGGGAGATACCATCACGAGTCTCTATAGGGGAGATACCATCACGAGGCTCTATAGGGGGGATACCATCACGAGTCTCTATAGGGGGATACCATCACGAGTCTCTATAGGGGAGATACCATCACGAGTCTCTATAGGGGAGATACCATCACGCGTCTCTATAGGGGAGATACCATCACGAGTCTCTATAGGGGAGATACCATCACGCGTCTCTATAGGGGAGATACCATCACGAGTCTCTATAGGGGAGATACCATTACGCGTCTCTATAGGGGAGATACCATCACGAGTCTCTATAGGGGAGATACCATCACGAAGCTCTATAGGGGGGATACCATCACGAGGCTCTATAGGGGGGATACCATCACGAGTCTCTATAGGGGAGATACCATCACGAGTCTCTATAGGGGAGATACCATCACGAGTCTCTATAGGGGAGATACAATCACGAGTCTATAGGGGGGATACCATCACGAGGCTCTATAGAGGAGATACCATCACGAGTCTCTGTAGGGGGGATACCATCACGAGTCTCTATAGGGGGGATACCATCAGGAGTCTCTATAGGGGAGATAACATCACGAGTCTCTATAGGGGAGATACCATCACGAGCCTCTATAGGGGGAATACCATCACGAGGCTCTGTACGAATTCACAGTTTTCCCTCTGGATGGGCCACATGGTGTTGTAACGCACCCCAGATGACATTCGGCCAAATGAGGAGCATCATGCAGTTTAACAGTCGTGACTTCTCACCTAATCAAGTCGAAACCAGTTCAGGGTGTGTCTGTCGATAACCAATGCTGCTGTAAAACAACAGTAGGTAGATTGTAAATCAATTTCCTTCGAACGGCTTTTTTGTGCTTAGTTTTATGTCTCCCCCCCCCCGTACTTCCGTTTAGCGCGGTTGGCTATGTACGGTGCGAAAGAAGTTCAACATCCATAGACTCACACAGAGACCAATAGACTCACACAGAGACGCATAGACACACAGAGACCAATAGACTCACACAGACACCCATAGTTTGTCGTCCTTCCCCGGGACCTCCAATTAGCACGGTTGGCTACGTACGGTGCGAAAGAAGTTCAACAAACATAGGTACATAAAAGGCCGAACCAAAGGCTGCTGTAGTCAAATATGACTTCGCGTTGCTATACATACGGAGTTTTGAACGTCTGTTTTCCTACTACCCGTGGGCATCCACGAGACAGAGTGCTTTTGGTTAAAGGGCTTGAGGTTATGGGAGGTGAGAGAGAGTCGGGGGGGGGGGGGGGGGGTGCACGTTCTATTTAACACGTAGACTTTCGCGACCAATATCAATAATATCATCCATAATACAAACCTGTATTGTGGATGCATGTACTATGTTCTTTTTTGTACGTATGTTTGTTGAACTTCTTTCGCACCGTGCGTAGCCAACCGCGCTAAACGGAGGTGAGTGAGAAGGACAACAGGCTAAACGCACACAAAGCGGCGTTCCAAGAAGTGAGTTCGCCAATCGAGGTGACTTTTAAAGTGCACGGCGCCGGTGGCTTCCTCACATCGGGAAGGCAGAGAGCGTTCCAGACGGCCGCGGAAGCGGCATCCGAAAAAAGCGGCGCGCGACGATGCCGGTGACCGCCGCTTTTTGGGTGGAGGTTTAAAAAAAGAATAAAAACGACAAACGAAGGAGACAGCCAAAGAAAAGGCAAACGAGAGTTGCGCTTACGAGGGTAGATACCGCGGCCTCGCTTGATGCATCAAGTGAGGACGTTTAGACGCACGCTGTCACTAAAGCAGTGGAAAGGGATCAATGTCCTTTCGTGTCCCGTGCGGGTTCAAGTGGCCTCAGCGGCGAGGACATCGCGCGTTTGGCTAATCCAAAATTGAACTTGTAACGCAATAAATTTAATATACAGCTTTCCCTACAAGGTGTCTCTTGCAGGTGTCTCTTGGGAGATGAACAGTAACAACCCCAGTGGGCTATGACCTCAGTCAAAGACAATAGGCAGACAAGGGTAATATGTGTATATATAGCTCTTTGAAAAGTCACCTTGCGGATGCAGCAGTGCGATCCTTGTGGAGCTGTATAGATATTTGCTGCAGACATGACGCCCAGAGCCATAAAATGTCACATGGTAGATTACCCATTTCATGGCTGTAAACTTTTATTTTTAAGGTTCACTTTATTATACACTTACGAATTGCAGCATTAGCAAGATTCGACGTCTCCTGCTATGCGGCGCAATGCTATACGAGTGACTAACTGTGAATCCTTTTTCAATCCTGCGTTCTCTCGCAGAAAATAAAGTGAAGTTGGTTTTGAATCTCACGAAGAACTACAGCTTACCCGCGCAATTACAGAGGTGAGTAAACTTGCGATGGGCATCTTGGGCGCGTGAACGATACCCGACGAACCGGTTTCGATCTCCGCTCACGACCAGAGTCAGTGGCGAGTATATGAACGGCTTCTGAGCCTCCCCGAGTTCGACTCGGCGTCAAATGAGTACCTGGTGCGATGTGTAAACATCGTCACGAGGGAGACAAAGGCGGCCGGGCGTGGTACTGACCACACCATCCCATCGTGTGCCACAGTGTTAAGGCTATCGGGGGGGGGGGGGGGGGGGAGGCTTCGTCTTTGTGATAGTGTGTGGAGAGCGGTAAGGCAGGAGTTATCTTGCTGCGCTATGAACCCGGCAAACCGAGTTTGATTCCCTCTCAGTGACGATCATCGGAACCGGCCCTGGGCTTCCCCTAGGTCGACTCAGCCTCAAATGAGTTCCTAGTGTGATGTGCAAACATCGTCACGAGGGAGACAAAGGCGGCCGGGCGTGGTACTGACCACACCATCCCCTCGTGTGCCGTTACGACCTTTATCAGTGCTCGCTAACAGCACTTGCCCCAAAAGCCTATTAAGGCTACACGGGGGATCTTTGTCTTTAACTTTGGTTACACACAGCAACTATATAATCCCCGCAACTGGAAATTGAGTTTGACGTAGAAGATATGTGAAGGACAGTGTGAACTGGATTATAATATTTAGACCGCTCACGAGCGAGAGAGTTTGCACATTGATTTGTGTATGCTACGGATTCCGTTAAACCTCATGAACATCTAAAAGGAGCTATTAACAACAATAATATAGTAAATTTGGTATGCGCGCCGTTCTCATGGCGCAGGGCAATCACGAATGCCTCTACGTCTCACAGGTGGACGTAGTCTGCCAGTAGGGAGCAATGTGGATCTCCCTCCCCTCTCTCCCCTCTCTCCCCTCCCTCCCCTCCCTCCCCTCTCTCCCCTCCCTCCCCTACCCTCTCCTCCCCTCCCTACCTCCCCAACTCCTCCCTCCCCTCCCTACCTCCCTCCCCTCCTTCAAATTTTGGACCACGACGCCAACACACGATGACCCCTATTCATTTCGAATGACGTCAAGACGGAACGTATTTGCATGATTCATACACCCACCCACAGTGATGACCAGGGCGGCCCGTCTCCGTGTAACTCTTTTTACAGAATCTTAAGGGGCCGTCCATAAATTACGTCACGCACCTAGGGGGGGGGGAGGGGGTCGGACATTTGTGACGATGTGACGAGGGGGGTGGGGTTGGAGAAATGTGACGTCATAACAAAATGCGCAACTTTAAATAAATATAGACAACACGTTCTACTTAATTAAATAGACTTTTTGAGAAATGTTTTCTCCTACAACATCAGAGTGCAGCGGCACATTAAATACGCACTACAATGACAATAATTTAAAGCGATTTGAAGCATGTTTTATTTTGGGGGGGGGGGAGGGCAGAGCTTTGTGACGTCATATTTTGGGGGGGGGGTCTGACTTTTTGTGACGCCGTGTGACGAGGGGGGGGGTAAACAATCGTCCAAAATTGCGTGACGTCATTTATGAACGGCCCCTAATTCAATACGCATTCATATCAGTGATACGCATCAATGCGCTCTCGCATGGTTAAGATTAATTGATTCGTTGATCCATATTGTTGCAGGTTCTCCAACAGGTCCTGTGTGGTGGTTGGAAATAGTTTCATCCTCAAAGGGCGCAGAATTGGAAGCATCATAGATTCGTATGACACCGTAATAAGGCGAGTCACGTGTTTCGCGGGGGGGGGGGGGGGGTAGTGGTCGGGCAAACCAAAATAACAGGACCCCCCTGGTCGGGCAAACCAAAATAACAGGACCCCCCTGGTCGATGGCAACGTGACCCCCCTTCAGCACCGCTTGGATCACTCCCGCACGATGCACGTGAACGAGCTTTCCACTTTTGGTTTAAAGCTTTCGTGGCTGCAGTAATTCATAGTCTTAGCTCTTTCGGTAAAGTCACGTTGAAGGGAACAAACAATAAAATAATAAAAAAAAATATATAAAACAATAAAAATTCTCACGGCGTTTCGACCATAATGATGATGACCGTTTGTGTTATGGTCGAAACGTCGTGAGAATTTTTATTGTTTTATATATATATTTTATTGTTTCCCTTCAACGTGACTTTACCGAAAGAGCTAAGAATATGAGGCTTCCACTGTTTAGCACGTGCCAGGCTTTCGCGACCAATATTATTTATAAAAAGAGGTTTTTGGGTTAGATCACGTGAGTATGAATGTGTCGCAACCCTCCACCACCCGACACAGCCAATTGGTAAGGGATTTGTTACATAAACGAAACGCCAATCCACAATATTTATAATCTGAGCACAACGTTTCGCTGGTAATTACAGCCAGCATCATCGGGCGATTTGCCAGAATAGTGGCAAATCGCCCGATCATGCTGGATGTAATTACCAGCGAAACGTCACAGTACTCAAATTGTAAATGTTGTGGATTTACTCTGCAACACACCGGTGGGCTGAAGTAGTAACCAATTGGCGTATCGTTTCCGTGACAAATCCCTTACCAATTCGCTGTGTCGGGTGGTGGAGGGTTGCGACACATTTATACTTACGCGATCTCACCAAAAAAACATTTACAATGAAGCTTCCACTGTTGGAGGCTCATTCACCATCAAGTCAACGTGGCTTTCTGCTCTAATGAGCCAAATTGGGCCATTGGTGCTCATATCCTGCTTGGCAACCCTGAGCCAGTGGTGGAGATTCTACAATTCCTATGGCAGTGGCGAGTCGACGCATAGGACAACTAACTGTTGACTTCGGTATAGCGTGCTACTTATGTTATCGACCCCGGAGGGTTGATGGGCTGAGACAGTTATTCTGAGCCAGTGGTGGAAATTCTACATTTCTATGGCAGAGGCGAGTCTACGCATAGGACAACCAACTGTTGACTTCGCCACAACATAATACCATTTTATCGACCCTGGAGGACTGATGAGCTGAAACAGTTAGATCAGCGGTTTTTAACCTTTACTGCAGCCTTTGCAATCGTAAACAAACCTATAATATTAATAAACACATAGGGGTTAAAGAAACAAAGTAGTTGTACTGACGTCCTTAATTTTTGTCGATGATTTACCTTCTAAAAAAAAATCTGGCCCTGTCTCGCACCCCCAGAGAGGGCATCTCGCACCCCCAGGGGCTGCGTGCACCCTAGGCTAAGAAGAACCACTTCAGTCAGATGATAATCAACATACATATCATCTAATGGGCTATACACGGGACACCTTTTGGTACACCAACGCAGAGGCGAACCGCCGTGTGCGCGCGCGCGCGTTCATGTTGTTGTTTTGTTGTTGCGACCGTGCAGGATTAACGACGCGCCGACAAAGGGCTACGAAGAGGACGTGGGAAGCCGGTGCACCATGCGCGTCGTGTACCCCATGACGGCTGTGAAGGAGCAGCAGGCGCGCGACCAGAACGACACCATCGCCCTCTTCGTGCCCTTCAAGGCGGCCGACATCGACTGGATTCTCAAAGTGGTGCGAGGCGTCGTCGTGGTGAGCGCCGGGTTTTTGTTGTTTGTTTGTTGTTGTTGTTGTTGCACGGGCGTTTGGCAGGAAGCGGTCGCGGTGAGATTGGGAATATTGGAAAAAAACTAAAATATATTATTAGTCTTGATTTGAAGCTTTCGTGACTGCAGGAATCCATACTCTCTGGTTCTTTAAAGTCACGTAGGTAGAAAAATAAAACAAAACAAATATTTTTCATCTTCTTTGGTTCTTTCGGTAAAGTCACGTAGAATGAGAATAAAATAATAATAAATTGATAAAATAAAATGACACAATAAAATTCTCACGACGTTTCGGCCACAACACAAGCGGCCTTCATCAGGTGAAGGGACGAGACTGTCTGGAGGACAGCGCTGGAGCGAACACAGCTAAGCTCAGACCGCGACCTTTAAGCTGTGTGAGAAGAAACAGAGCGCCTTGACAAAGGAATTAGCATAGAATTTAGCATTGAAACAGCTGAGTGATTAGCTTGTGACTGGTCACAGAAATGGCTATGTTAAAGTCAAAGCATACACATCCACAGAGGCACCCCTTGACAAAGAAATTAGCATAGAATTTAGCATTGAAATAGCTGAGTGATTAACTTGTGACTGGTCACAGAAATGGCTATGTTAAAGTCAAAGCATACACATCTACAGAGGCACCTAGTACAAATCAAACAGGAGAATTTAGCATTGAAATAACTGAGTGATTAGCTTGAGACTGGTCACAGAAATGGCTATGTTAAAGTCAAAGCCTACACATCTGAGCTATTAACAGTAACTGGGTATACACTACACTATATAATGAATACTATATAGTAAACCAATAAAAAACTAAAATATAAATTACCTCAATGTTATCAATAAACTCTATATATTCTCCAATCAGCTAAGCTACCAACAATACGTCGTTATATATCACAATGCTATATGGCGAAAAAAATGGGTGGATCCTTACCGTCAATTTGAGCACCACGGATAGCTACGAGCCCCGTTCAGACGGACGAGTTCATCCATGGTCGGAACGGAGGAGGGGGAGTGAGACAGCTGCGAGGCGCTGTTATACTCCATGTTGTAAACCATACCATTAACCGTGGTGTGAGAGGTATTAAGAGTCAATGCCAGCGAAAGAGCTGCGGTCTGAAGGTCATCGTAAAATACTATTAATTAAGAACGGAAATGGTTTAAAACATCTTTCCAATGGTTACTAAGCCAGAATCCATCTTCTCGGTTGAAATTGTCTCTGTGCTTGTATATGTGAATGGCCTCATGAACGAATCTCTCATGGTAGCCGGTTGGTTTGCAAAGAACCTCCGTCTTGGAGAAGTCAATGTCATGTGAGCCCACCTCCATGGTAAATCTGATGGCTGGGTGTATGGAATTGATGTGGTCGCGGAATTGGTCTAGAGCAGGCTGGCCATGTGGCCAGATGACAAAAGTGTCATCCACGTACCTCTTCCATAAGGTCGGGCGTAGAGTGGCAGTCTGGATGGCGTCAGTTTCAAATTTTTCCATGAATACGTTGGCTACAACCGGAGATAGGGGGGGAGCCCATTGGGGTGCCCTGAGTTTGTTTGTAGAAAGTTCCATTCCAGGTGAAGTATGTGTTGGTTAAGCAATGTCTCACCAGGGAGGGTACATCAGTATGCAGTCCTTGATGAACCAGGTCTTCCATGATAGCGATGGTGTCAGGTACCGGGACTTTGGTGAACAAGGACACCACATCAAAACTGACAAGCAGGTCGTCTGGGGACAGGGAAATGCCTTTGATTGTCGATACCAGGTGAGTAGAATTTAGTACCGCAGAGATGTTTTTTCCAGTGAAAGGTCGCAGTATATCAGCAAGAAAACGTGCCAGTTTATAGGTGGGGGAGTTGATAGTAGAGACGATGGGACGAAGGGGTTTATCTTCTTTGTGTATCTTTGGAAGGCCATATAATCTTGATGGTCTGGCAGCAGAGGGTTTCAACGAGAACTGTTTGGTCTGATCAATTAATGCTGTTGAATCAGAGATGATTTTGTTCGTTTTGGTAACCAGGCTGTTGGTGGGATCTCTTTTTATTTTTGTATAGCTGCCATCGTTGAGTAGTTCTTGAATTTTGTTGTTATATTGTTTTGTCCATGATGATAGTGGCATTGCCCTTGTTGGCTGAGAGGACGACAATATCATCTCTCTTTTTTAATTGAGATAATTCAAAGCGTTCATCTTTGCTGATGTTGCTAGGTGGCAACTTAGCGTTTTTGAGGGTTGCAGCGATTTCAGATCTTGCTACGTCTGCAGAGATGTGACTCAAGCCCTTGAGTGCAACGTCGACATGGGCAATGATATCATTAACCGGTATGTGTCTCGGTGTGACAGCAAAGTTTAGACCTTTAGCTAAAACGGATTTCAGACCATCAGAAATGGAACTGTTACTGCGATTAATTACGACTTTGTTGACGTCTATCTTTTTGGTGTGTGGATCCGATTTTTTGTTGGAGAGGTGATTGACTTTACCGAAAGAACCAAAGAAGATGAATCCTTGCAGTCACGAAAGCTTTAAATCGAAAAACAAATATTATAAATAGATCGATTAAAAAAAATGTTTGCCCGTATTTCAACGGCTGTACGCCGTATGGACCTGACAATGATATTTCCCTGTACAAGAACACGGGTACACCGTATGGGTGATGGTGAGTACGTGGGGGTTGTTGTGCGGGATTGCGGGTGAGGGATTGTACATAAGCCACAGGGGAGACAAAGGCGGTCGGGCGCGGTCCTGGCCACCCACCCCCTCGTGTGCCGTGCTGGCCATAAGCACTCGCCCCTAATAAGCTCTGTCAAGGCTCCATACTCTTTGGTTCTATTCGGTAAAGTCACGTAGGTAAAAAATAAAACAACAAAAATCACGACGTTTCGGCCACAACACAAGCGGCCTTCATCAGGTGAAAGGATCAGGCTGTCTCGAGGACAGCGCTGGAGTGAAACACAGCCACGCTCAGACAGCCTGATCCCTTCACCTGATGAAGGCCGCTTGTGTTGTGGCCGAAACGTCGCGATTTTTGTTGTTTTATATTTTACCTACGTGACTTTACCGAATAGAACCAAAGAGTATGGATCCTTGCAGTCACGAAAGCTTCAAATCTAGAATCTGTCAAGGCTGTCCGGGGAGGTCTTTGTCCTTGTCTTAGGGGACGTCCATAAATGACGTCACGCACCTGGGGGGGGGGGGCAGACATTTGTGAAGATGTGTGACGATGTGTGACGAGGGGGGGGGGGGTGATGAGAAACGTGACGTCACATCAAAATGCACAACTTTAAATAAATATAGACAACACGTTCTATTTACTTAAATAGACTTTTTAATAAATGTTTTCTGACTTTTTGTGACGCCGTGTGACGAAGGGGGGGGGGTCAAAAATCGTCAAAAATCGCGTGACGTCATTTATGGACGGCCCCTTAGACGATGAAGACCGGCCCGTTCAAGTGGGACGTTCCTCCGCACAACGTGCGCATCCTCAACCCCATCTTCATGCGCGTGGCCTCGCTGGAGCTGCTCAACAACAGCATCCCTACGCGCAAGAAGCGCGCTCCGGTAACGTGGACCCTCCCCCCACCCCCCCCAGCCACGCCCCTCTCTTCCCCCAGCCTAGGTCCTCGCCCCGCCCCCAGCCCCGCCCCCAGCCCCGCCCCTCCCACCAGCCCCCCCCCGGTTACACTATAGAGCAGTGCTCTTCACACATTTTCAGAGCGGGGGCGTGGCACTTTCACCGACAAGACATCATCAGAGTGAGGACCGTCACACATCTCAAATCATTGGGGGGGTGGGGGTTGATGGCCATGACAGATTGGGTGTGTCTCCACGTGTGTCTCCACGTGTTTCTACGTGTGTCTCCACGTGTGTCTCCACGTGTCTCCACGTGTGTTTCCACGTGTGTCTCCACGTGTGTCTCCACGTGTGTTTCCACGTGTGTTTCTACGTGTGTCTCCACGTGTGTCTCCACGTGTTTCTACGTGTGTCTCCACGTGTGTCTCCACGTGTGTTTCCACGTGTCTCCACGTGTGTCTCCACGTGTGTTTCCACGTGTGTTTCTACGTGTGTTTCTACGTGTGTCTCCACGTGTGTTTCCACGTGTGTCTCCACGTGTCTCCACGTGTTTCTACGTGTGTCTCCACGTGTGTCTCCACGTGTGTTTCTACGTGTGTCTCCACGTGCGTCTCCACGTGTGTTTCTACGTGTCTCCACGTGTGTTTCTACGTGTGTCTCCACGTGCGTCTCCACGTGTGTTTCTACGTGTCTCCACGTGTGTCTCCACGTGTGTTTCTACGTGTCTCCACGTGTGTCTCCACGTGTGTTTCCACGTGTGTTTCTACGTGTCTCCACGTGTGTTTCCACGTGTGTCTCCACGTGTGTTTCCACGTGTGTCTCCACGTGTGTCTCTACATGTGTCTCCACGTGTGTCTCCACGTGTGTTTCTACGTGTATCTCCACGTGTGTCTCCACGTGTGTTTCTACGTGTGTCTCCACGTGCGTCTCCACGTGTGTTTCTACGTGTCTCCACGTGTGTCTCCACGTGTGTTTCTACGTGTCTCCACGTGTGTCTCCACGTGTGTTTCCACGTGTGTTTCTACGTGTGTCTCCACGTGTGTTTCCACGTGTGTTTCTACGTGTGTCTCCACGTGTGTCTCCACGTGTGTTTCTACGTGTGTTTCTACGCGTGTCTCTACGTGTCTCCACGTGTGTTTCCACGTGTGTCTCCACGTGTCTCCACGTGTTTCCATGTGTGTCTCCACGTGTGTCTCCACGTGTGTTTCCACGTGTCTCTACGTGTGTCTCCACGTGTCTCCACGTGTGTTTCTACGTGTGTTTCTACGCGTGTCTCTACGTGTCTCCACGTGTGTTTCCACGTGTGTCTCCACGTGTCTCCACGTGTTTCCACGTGTCTCCACGTGTGTCTCCACGTGTGTTTCTACGTGTCTCCACGTGTGTCTCCACGTGTCTCCACGTGTGTCTCCACGTGTCTCCACGGGTGTCTCCACGTGTGTCTCCACGTGTCTCCACGTGTCTCCACGTGTGTCTCCACGTGTCTCCACGTGTGTCTCCACGTGTTCTGCATTGTCGGTGGCCCCCACGTCAGGGGCCCCGCGGCCCTTGCCATGAACAGCACCGGGTTAACGGCACGAAAACAAATCGATTCAAACCGCGTATCTATACATGCATTATTTTTTTTATATTTTACCAGGTAAAGCCCACGAGGCTATGGGCTATTTTTCAGAGGCGACCTGGCTAGCTACACGTGATAGCTCATCGAATTGGCTGATATCATGATATAATCATCGTCACACGTGGGGATTTATATCCGCGGCGAAATAATCAAAACGCGCGTTGATTAATTCTCAATGTCGAGGGAGCGAGCGAGAGAGAGAGAGAGAAAACAGGCGGACTCCAGATATACAACAGGCGTCGTTAGGGTCCGGGACTGAACCCACGGAACCCCTCCAGCGTAGCAGGCGATGGAGATAAACTTCTCGCCGCCGTGGCGCTCAGAATTGTCCGGCAATTTTGTCTGAGAAAGGAAGGCAGCTGTCACAGTGGGTGGGTGCTAATAATGATATAATGGCGTGCAGTGCACGAGATTTGCAGTCCAGATGCCGCCAAGTTTGAATGAATTTCCACGGCGGCGCGGAGGTTGAAACGAGGGCGCGAGTTTCTCAAACCCACCACAGATTTTAGCCACGCGGCAGTGTGAATGGGTACTGTAGGTACGGTGAACTTCTTTCACACCCTACGCAGCCAACCGCGCTAATCGGAGTTACGTTGGCATGGGGGGGGGGGGTGGGGAGGACAGCAAACTAAAAACACAAAATAATTTAGTTTTCAAAAACATTAACAGTGCGATCGGGTGGTCGTGTGGTGGGGGTAAGGTGTGGTTCAAAACGGTTACCGGTTCAGGAACCCGACTCCACACCCGCAGAAAAGGTGGTGGCCCCTGCAGCATCTCTCACAATCTCGATTTCGCACTCATCAGCACACAAAAAGTGCTCGCCACAAATGAACCAAAATACTTTGCTGATCTCGTGAATGAGCATGAACCATCATCACGCCGAATTCCGGTGCTCATCCTCGCAGCAGCAGCAGCCACCGGCTTTTGGCTGCTCGCCATCGAACAAAGGCGGCGTTCACCGCGTCGCGCAGCGCTTTCAGATGCGCTGCTCCGGCCGTCTGGAACGTTCTTCCTTCCCATATTCGGAAGCCACTGGAGCTATGCAGTTTTAAATAATCTAGATTGAAAACCCAATTCTATATAATTGTTTTGTAATTAATTTGTTGTTCCTTCCCCTACACCTCTCAGCACAATTAGCTACGAGCGTTGTGAAAGAAGTTCAACATACACACACACCCGCCTCTGATCTTGTCGATTGCTCAGTCTGAGACCGGTTACAGATGTGGAGACATGTCTTGCGTGGGATACAGACAGCAGTCATCGCAGGGTGAGGAGAGAGCGAGAGAGATTGGGGTAGATGGAAGTTGGAGAGAGCGGGGAGAGGCAGCCAGAGAGGGAAGAAAGAGAGAGGTGGTGTCGATTACGGCCAGAAAATGCTGACAATCACGAGAATGAAGCGTTGCGCGCGTGTGATGCTGATGATGATGCAACGTTGAGGCTCTTTGTCTTGAATGCAGATTCCCACCACGGGGTTCCTGACGGTCACCGCGGCCCTTCACATGTGCAGGGAGGTGCACATCGCCGGCTTCGGGTACCCTAAGGCAACGAAGAACGTGGGCAACGAGCTGGTGCACTACTACGGCGAGGGGCGCATGCGGCAAATCACGCGGGTAGGCACGCCCTGCAGCGGTAGCACGAGTCCGTGAAATGACGCAGCGATGCATCGTGGTCACGTGGAGGTGTATGCTCTGTCCCGCCACACAGCGCTCGCTCGCACTCGACTCACGCCTCCACTTCCACGTGTTCCACTTCCACGTGCACTCCACCTCCACGTGTTCCATTTCCACGTGCCCTCCACCTCCACGTGTTCCACGTGGGGGCCCACGTGGAGTTGTATTTTTTGTAATGGCATCGACCACGCTTGTCACGTGTTGTTTTTCCCCTCCCCAGGCGAGAAATCACGACGTCAATCCAGAAGGTGTTGTTCTCCGAAACATGATAGCGAGCGGGCTGATTAAAAACCTCACCCCATCGTAACAGCTGGAGGTGACTCGCCCCGTTACGGGACCATTGCAATCGGTGGTCACGTTCACAGCGCCAGTTTCCCCCGCACCACTTCCTCTGCATCCATCACCGCGAGACTCATTTGCACGCAACAAAGTGCTTCATACTCTTGGTTCTTTCGGTAAAGTCGAGTAGGTAAAGAAAATAAAAAAAGATAAAAATAAATACATTTTTATCTTTTATTTTCTTTTCTTTACCTACGTGACTTTACCGAAAGAACCAAAAGTATGGATCCTTGCAGTCACGAAAATTTCAAATCTAGAACAAAGTGCTTAACACACAAATGAACCGCAATGCATTGCCGATCTCGTGAAGGAGCATAAACCACCATCACGCCGAACTCCGGTCATCGTCTGAGCAGAAGGAGCATAAACCACCATCACGCTGAACTCCGGTCATCGGCTGAGCAGAAGGAGCATAAACCACCATCACGCTGAACTCCGGTCATCGTCGGAGCAGAAGAAGCATAAACCACCATCACGCCGAACTCCGGTCATCGTCTGAGCAGAAGGAGCATAAACCACCATCACGCCGAACTCCGGTCATCGGCTGAGCAGAAGGAGCATAAACCACCATCACGCTGAACTCCGGTCATCGTCGGAGCAGAAGAAGCATAAACCACCATCACGCCGAACTCCGGTCATTGGCTGAGCAGAAGGAGCATAAACCACCATCACGCCGAACTCCGGTCATCGTCTGAGCAGAAGGAGCATAAACCACCATCACGCCGAACTCCGGTCATCGTCGGAGCAGAAGAAGCATAAACCACCATCACGCCGAACTCCGGTCATCGGCTGAGCAGCAGCGGCTTTTGGCTGCTCGCCATCGAACAAAGACGGCGGTCACCGCATCGCGCGGCGCTTTCAGATGCGCTTCTGCGGCCGTCTGGAACGCTCTTCCTTCCGATAATAGGAAGCCACTGGAGCTATGCACTTTTAAATTTAGATTGATAACTCATTTATTTTGAACTGCTTTTGGTGTTTCGTTTATTGTTCTTCCCCCGCACCTCTGATGAGCATGGTTGGCTACATACGGTGCGAAATAATTTCCACATACATAAGAACATCACAACCCTGCCCTTTGCACGTGAGATGAACCACGCAAATTACACACGGCTTGTAACAGACCATTCATGCAAACAGTCTCCTACGAGAGGGGGTTAGAGCGAGTTATTTAAGATAAGATATACGGGAAAGAAAGTATCCTTTTTTGGGTTTGGCACTTTTAGCGTCACGCATCGCTATTATTTATATGGAACAATTGTTGAACTGAGGGCATTTAGTCTTATTTAAAAAAATAAAATTTCCTTTTTTCTCCTCTGTGGAGGTTAATGCCAAAAGTAACTATCTTGTGTCCTGCAATTATTTCTTTCGAATCGTGTGTACGAAATGCTGGCAACCTGTCCAATCACGTCCAACGCGAGCAAACGTAGGCCGACCTTCATGGCATGTGCACCTTACGAAATGAACGGGTGTGCCACACGACCAACCGTGCTGTACAAACTCGTACAACACGGAGAATCTGTGCAAGCATTGTAACAATGCGCTTACTGACGAGGGTAAGCCTCACCGACTGACACGACTCTCACGGCGGGGATCTTGGTCCAGGAAGTTCCACGGTGCTCACCGCTCGCGAGAAAACAAATTCACGGAGCCACGACAGAGAAGATGCAGCACGAGAGGCGGAGTGCGGGTGGCGGGGGCCTCACCATCTAAACAAACTCAAAACGCTTGCAAACAATCTCGCCCGCGCCCCGTGAATCCTCGGCTCGGTTCCCCCTCGCTTCCCCCTGCTCGCACCTCCGATGAGCACGCTTGGCTAAGACGGTGGAGAAAGAAGTTCAACATACATTACGTACATGCTCCCTCCCCTCCACTGGCTTCCCACTGCCAGCAGGGTCAGCTCCAAGATCATCTGGCTGTGCCGCCGCACCTCCGTGTCGTCGGTCGTCCGCCGCGTCTCTCTTCGCGACCGTCACACTGCACCACGGCTCACGGGAGAACTCTCCGCAGCAGTGCGACTCACAACCTCCACCTCCTCCTCCCGACACCGAGAACCAAGTCCACGCTTACTGACGAGCGTCTCTTCTCCGTGGCAGCCCGCACCGTCTGGACGCCATCATCCCGCGGCTGCTGCTGCACATTCGCAGCAGCAGCAGCAGCAGAAAACTATTGTTATCCACAAAGCAGGTATCATTTGATTTTTGAACGCAGTTCCTGAGCCACAGACCCAAAAGGCCCAAAACTTCAAGCGGTCAGCGACAACGTTCGAATAGCAAAAGAGTGCGGCATGTTTCCTGAATTGAGCAAGGTCATGACATCTTGGGGAATACAGATGGTCGGAGTAAATTCCACAGCCTCAGGTATTTGGTTACAAAGCTTTTATTCTCATACCAGCTCAAACGACCATGCAACTACATTGAATATTGTAACAGAAAAACGGCCCATAACTGATATTTTTGATAGCACGTGGCGTAACTCCCGGAATCAATTGTGAATTAGTATCAGGTCTAGTCACATGGATCTCCGCCGACACACACGCACACAGAAATCCGCGGCGTCACGACGACGATGACGCGCAACGTCTTCAGGCCGACGTGTCAAAGAGACGATCGATCATCTCGGCCACCTGCTCAGAGCGGAAGCGCACGTACTTGCCGGGGTTCTTCGTGAAGGGGACGCTGCCATACCTGGTGGGGGGGGCGGGGGCGGGAGGGTTGGTGGGGGGGGCAGAGAACAAAATGACCTTCGCTCACCGCGTGTGAAATGTCAACATCGTGTGGCACCCGCTTGTCAAAGTGGCTCCAGTGTGACGGTGGCAAGGGAGGGGGGTGGAGGAGGGGGGAACGGGAGGGGGAAGTGGGGAGCGGTTGCCCCCCCCCCCCACCACCCCCCACTCCTCGTTAGTTTTAATGTCAGGTCTGTGCTCTCTAGATTCCTGGGAGAAAAAATTCCCAGCCGGCTGCACCTAGGGGAGGCCCACGACCAGTTCAGATGGTCGTCACCGGCGTTGGCGGTCCATGAAGCGGGAATTGATACTCGGGTCGCCCGTTTCGTAGCGCCACCGCGCCAACCGCTGTGCCACCACTCCCCACGCACACGCACCTGTCCACGAACACACGATAGCTGTTCAGCAGCATCTTCTTGCCTTCCTGGCGCAGTCGCTCCCTGAGCTCTCGCTCCGGCACTGCCCAGCACTTCTGCACCCGGCACAGCTCCTCCAGGCCCTCGTTAAAGCCCTGCAAAAGACAAAGACATCCCGCGTGCAGCCATTAGCAGACCGTTGGGGCAAAGTGCTGTTCGTCGAGCAGCACTTACAAACGCCGGCACAGCAAACAAAGGGGCGGGGACATGAGTTTTATTAGGGAGCCACTGGAGCTACGCACTTTTAAATAAAGATTGAAAATTAATTTCTTTCCAACTGCCTTTTGTGTTCAGCTTGTTGTCTTTCCGCCGGACCTCCGATTAGCACGGTTGGCTTCGTGAGGTGCGAAAGAAGTTCAACACGCACATATATACATACATACTCTGTATTTTTGGCCCCCAAGCGGCAGAGCATTGGCACAGCGGCACTGACCTTGAAACGATCCTTGATGACCTGACGCTCCTTATCCTTCAGCTGGAAACACGGACACGAGAGAAGTGTTATGACTTATCGTGTGGCGAGCGAATGGTTGAGTCGGCGAGTGAGTGTATGAATGAGTGACCGGTTGAGCGACTGTGTGTTTGTTGTGACCTGCAGTGTGGTGCCTGAACACAGCGCGGATGAGATGAAACAGTGAGTCTGGTAGACCGAGTTCTCAACATGGGTGGACAGAACACAGCAACGTACATGTTGCCATCGTGTATGGTGTGGTAATTTTGATGCCAAAGTGTATGACGTGGCCCTAACCTTTGTGCCAGGGGTGAGGACAGGCATGTTCCGATCGGAAATACTCTCCAAAACCTTCATCCAGCTGCATTCCATGACACATGTCAAGGTACACGTAACATAAATTGTACTTCATGCGCTGTTTACAGTCAACAGGAACAGGTGTGGGGTTGACCGTATTCCCGTCATGGGGTGGTAACAGGGCCCAGTGGCAGCACGTTCACCACTTGCTGGAGTATTTAATAATGCGGATGAATTCACCATGAAATATTACACTCCATCTGCTTCACGGTGGACGTTAAAGATCCCGTGAAGTCGTTAAACACGAGTGGGTCATCGTGTGCCAGCGTCATGATCCACATTTGAAATGGGACCTGCACATTACTCAATTGCGATTACACACAGCGACATCGGCCCCTTCTACTTTGAAACAACTGCAGGCAGACCCGTGCCTGTGAATCACAGCACTTTCGTGACAGACCCGTGCTGTAAGAATGATGGCGCGAATACCAAATGTGCACAATTATTATTATTATTAAATCACAAGCTAGAGAGTTAGGAACACAAATTGTTATATCGGCTTGTGCTGTGTTTAAAGCAAGTAAAAAAACTGTTGAAACGTCATCCATTACTCACGCGTTTAACACGTCGTAGGTTTTCCCAGCCTATATTACGATTCATAAATGATTTTTGGTTTGGCCCACGGAATGATCTGGCCAAATGGCTTCAGTCGTGTCAATCTCCAGCACTCAACACGTAAAAACATGTTTTAACTGTCACGTGCGCACGCATTGAATGATGTGCCAATTATTTTTAGATACGACGTTTCGCTAGAAACTGCGCCAAGCGTTTCAAGGAATGAAATCAGGAAGCCAGAAAAAGCACCGCTGCACCTGCGCCGATAGCTCTGCAGCTGACTGTCGATGAGCTCTTCGTACGTGCGCTCCAGATTCGGTTGCGTCACTTCCACGAGCTGCAACAACTCTGACCTGAACACCAGACTCACACACACACAAAGACCAAGACCCCCCATTTAGCCTTAACACATTTGGGGCAAGTGCTGTTAGCGGACAACTATGAAGGCCAACAGGGCACACGAGGGGGTGGGTGACCAGCACCATGCCCGGCCACCTTTGTCTTCCGAGTGGTGATGTTTAAGCATTCACACCAGGTGCTCATTTCAGGCTGAGTCGACCGAGGGGAGGCCCAGGACCGGTTCAGTTAATCGTCACTGGTGTTGGCCGTGAGTGGCAATAGAACTCGGGTCCTGCTAGTGTAGTGTTTTGCAGCGGACAAAGACAAAGATCCCCTGTATAGTCTTAACATGTTTTTAGGGCAAGTGCTGTTAGCAATAGCCTACGAAGGCTGGCATGGGATGCGCTTACCGTTGCAAGGCCTTGAGGGTGTAGTTGTAGTTGTTGAGCAGGAATATACAGCCCAGTGCTGGGTCCTCATACACGCGACACTTACTCAGCAGGTTACCCTGAAGGTTCCCCAGAACCCGTGCTGCAACACAAAGAAAAAGATCCCCCGTGTAGCCTCAACCGACTTTTTGGGCAAGTGCCGTTAGCGAGCACCTATGAAGGCCAAAACAGCACACGGCGTACTAGGTATTCATTCGAGGCTGATCGGTTCATATAATCGCCACATGGTGCTGGCCGTGAGCGGGAATTGAACTCGGGTTACCGGGTTCCTCGTACAGCGTGCGAACCACTGCGCCACCGCTCCTCATATTCACACACACACAGACGTGCGCGCGCATGCGTACGTGTGCACAAAACACACGCACGTACTCAAGCACAACGGCAATACTCCGGGCGGCTATCATCGAGTCCTTTGCGTCACCGGCGAGCATATTAAAAATCCCGGTTTAAACCCGGGTGTTACTGGGCATTTGCCACACGCACAGAAACGTCTACAGCAACAAACTGAACGTTGTAGCCCTTTAACCGACCTGCCGATCGGTGGGTCGCGCGCGGTGGGGTACAGTTGGTATTTATGCCTCTGCCAACGCGTCCGGTCAACGTGAAAGAGTGGACCAAACAAGGGCTCCCTCTCGTGGAGGGCACTTTCACCAGCAGTGGCGTGGGCGGAGAACAATCGCTGCACGGCTGCAACCTTTAAACCACTGCCACGTTTGAGGGGCATGCGTGTGGGTGTGCGTGCGTTGCGTTAAAACTCACACACGTAGGTGCTCAGAAGTTTTCGGCTGAATTCGGAACTGTGACTTAGGGTGCTGCTGTCTGCAACAACAACAACAACAGCAAGCAAGGCTCACGCTCTGCGCACAAGCCCACAAGCGTGTCCACACAATGCCTGCGTGCGCTCGCGCGCAATTCTGCAGTCAAGTGCATGCTCTTAGTATGCTGTTATCGAACACATGCACGACTGTGTACAATGAAGACTATGCACAACACAAAACCCACGAGGTACATGCACTGCACAGTAAAACACACTCAGCCTTCATGCACCACTGACTACTACGCTTTCGGAACACATTAAAGGTTCATGCTGTCAAGTGAGACTGATCTCCGGCTCAAATGAGCATTGAGACATTGGTGTCGATATCCTGTTTACAGACCCTGAGCCAGTGATCGAAAATTCCACAGCCATATGGCGAGGGCGAGTATGTGCATAGGATAACCACTGTTGACCTTCCCCACAAAGTGATACTCATTTTATCGACCCTGTCGGGAGGGCGGATGGACTGAATCAACCCATGCCCCAATCAGGATTTAAACTTGTATCTGATTGCAGCCGCTAGCCCTACGGTTGAGCCACATGATAAAGAAATATACGTTTGCCGTATCATTTGTTTTTGGTACAGTGCCGTCTGCTACACACGGGATGTTAAATATCCCGCGATGTCATTTAAAATGAGAAGGCCTTTGAGTGCCGGCATCACAGTCCAAATGGCAAAAGATTACACCGCAAATGTCTCAACTGGGATTACACATTGCAACAATCATCACCTCCTACCGGCAGGCTGATGCCTGCTTGCAGGTCAGGTGCTGAGTGACCTTATGTCGCACAGGGACAGCTGCCACTGGGGGTGCCCTTCGAATGTTCGAGATGATCCAGTGGCGTCATACGAAAATAGCAGTAGCTCAACTGTGTGCCTGCGTTACGGTACATATTTGGCCAAATAGGAAATATTTACATCGCTAATTAGTCGATTGAAATGACATGTAGCCATCATGATCATCGCCCCCTTACTCGCAGACTAGCTTGCAGGTACTGAGTCAAATTATGCAGACATTGACAGTTGCCACTGGGGGTTTTCCCTCTAAAATGTGTTGATGTGAGATGCGACGTAAGTCGCTTATTACATGTAAATCGCTCGGGAGATGCCCCCTGGCGTGAAGGGCACTTTCTTTCAAAAACAACTCACTTATTATTCGGGTCGCAAGATTGTTATTGTGATAGGAAAATGCCACCTGCGGCAACTAGACGAGAGACAGGGCGGTGACGTGGCCCAGCGGTAGCGCGTTTACCGCTTGCTGCAGAGGTTCGCGGTTAAAATCCGGCAGGCCACCCCGGTTACTACTGCGGGTGTAGTAACCGTGAAATACTCCGCGCCGCCTGCTTCGCAGGTGAGAGGCATTCAACACCATGACTCTCCACTGCCCATTGAGTCTTCGCATGGCCCTCCCCTTGACCCTACCCTTCAGAACTCACCACGAGGCTCCAGGGGAATATTGTAAGTGTCTCCCAACACTAGCGCATAGTGGGCATCCGTGACAGGCAGAAGGGACACAAATATGGCACATCAAGCATCACGCACTCCACACATTCACACAGGCATCATGTTAACATTTACCGATATTAACCTGACAAAATACAGTGCATTAGTGATCTAATGATTTGTTTGGGGGCTCATGATAACACAATAATGGCTGAACACATAGGTTTTTGCAACCAATATTATGATTAAAAATTGATTTTTGGGGTAAGTCATGTAATGGTCTGGCCAAAGATGTGTTGTAAGAACCTCCACCATCCAACATCATTCATCATTCAGTATTCTGTCCAAAGATCAGTCCAAGGTACGACTCTACTCCATGTTCCTCCATCTCCGCTACTTTCTTCATCTGTTCGCACGATCTTCCTCATTGAACGCTGTCAAGCGTCGCCATTCTCTTACTTCCTCTCGGCCTTTTCGCAAAAAATCTTCCCTCGATCACCTCCTTCATTAAGCCCGTTCGCCAACCGGTGCCGATGTTTGAAAACCACATCAGGCACTCTTTTACGGCCGAGTCGACCTAGGGGAGGCCCAAGACTGGTTCGTAGTGCCGTGCACTAAACCACCCTGTACCGGTCCCCACTACCTGGCCCAACTGCCTTCAGCAAGCCGTTAAAACACGCCCAAATACTACTACGCGTCCAATGCCGGGCTTTCTTCCTTTATCCTAAACTCTGGCCTGGGTGACAAAGAGGAGATGCACAGCATGTAGCTAACATCCTCGTCTCCCTGGCCAGCCAGAGCACCCAGAATGCATCTGTCACGCACGCAGCGGGCGGAGGGAATACCTTGAGAGGCCAGCATGGCCGCTGCTGTCTCCTGAAAATCCAGCAACTGTTGTAGGAACAAAATGGCCTGCAAAGACAAAGACGCACATTAATTCCCCACAATGCACACGCCCGTATTACGTGACACAAAGCTATCATAATAATCACAGTAGTAGCCCCCCAAACGCAGAAGATCCCTGGGTTCGATCTTCCACGAAGCTCGTGGTCCACCCGAAAATGCATCTACTCAAACGATGGCAGTGGCAATTACTTGATGCACAAATGGAAAATAAATAAATAAACTCTCCAGTGTGCGACCGTGGTCATCCAGAACAGACCGTACAACATATAACGACACAATGCCCGATACACAAATGTGAAGGAGACATCACAGCGACACACTACGCTGCTTCTGACGCGGTTGTCTGGCTTGACCGCCTGAATGTGAAATTGTAGCTGTTGCTCTGCATCTGCATCAGCCATTCGAGAAAATAAGTAATAATAATTTGTTTTTAATAGAATGCCCTCCTTTACAACAGGGCGTCTTAGCGCTTTACACGCGACAAACAGGCAACTTTAATTGCATCTCATCTCAATCATTTTATAGGGCACCCCCACTGGCAGCTGTCCCAGTGCAGCACAAAGCGGGCCTCAGTCTGCCATTAGTGGACGATGAGTACTTTATGGTGTCTTTTTTTCGATTCAGCAAATTTGGACCGTGATGCCTGCACACAAAGGCCGACTCGTTTTACTAGGCACACCATATATTGCACGTGCATATGTACACATGAGCTATCCCGAAGACATGGCCCAGCGGTAGCGCGTTTGCCGCTTGTTCCAGAGGTTCACAGTTCAAATCCGGCAGGCCACCCTGGTTATCGATGTGGCTGTATTTACCAGTTGACGTTAAAGGGCCCGTTGCATCATTAAAAATTAGTAGAAGATTGTGTGTCGGCGTCATGATCCACATTTGCCAATCTCGAATATTAGAGGTCACATCCATGCGCGTGAGACTACACTCACGTTGCTTGTGAGCTCATGCACCGTCCCATCTTTCGGCATGTTGTACTCTTTGTCCGGGTCATTCTGCAGAGACATGTGGGAAAGAAAACTGAAGACAACACAATCCTATACAAAGCCTCGTAGCAATATCATTCATAGCCTTGTAATCTAATTCACACTCTAGCAGACACATTTAACAATGTGGTATTTTAATCACACTGACAACCTAAAGACATTGTTGCTGACATAGCTGATATATGTGAGACACCCAATTAGGGAAACAGCATTGGTAACACTCACGCCTCATAGCAAGAAGGGCCTGGGTTCAGTTTCTGACTGTGACAATGTCCTGAACTCGTCCTGGGCTGTCCCCTAGATCGACTCAGCCTCGATTTAGCACCTGGTGCGGTGTGTAAACATCGCCACTGGGGAAACAAAGACGATCGGGCGTGGTGCTGGCCACCCACCCACTCGCGTGCCATGCCGGCCTTCGTAGGTGCTACTCGCTGAACAGCACTTGCCCCAACAGTCTGCAAAGGCTACACGGGGGATTATTTGGTGTGTGATGTACCGTACCTTGATGCTGTCTGCAAACTCCTCGAGAGCCTTGGCCCCAGTTGTCTCCATGGCCGAGATGAGCGTGGGCAGTTTATTCTTAGTAGGAGCAGCTGTGCCCTGCACACCACGGCACAGAGAGAAGCCTGCCATGTGAACACAGCCAGCGCATTCACAGACGTGGCGTTCATTATTTCGACTCCATTCGAGTATAACCGCGTGCGCGTGCGACTTCCGTCATCAGTTGTTGCTTCAGGCTTCCTCCTTCCACCGGCCCTCCGTAGACCACAAAGGCAAACTGCGTATTAGGAGTGGGAGAAAGCAACGTGATGTGAAGCGATTTCCAGTGAGTGCCGAGTTAACGCTCGCAAGACTGCGACTCTGTACCAACCCCTTGCTGTGGACTAGGGGGCAGCAACAGTCACAAGCAGCATATATATTCTAGATTTGAAGCTTTCGTGACTGCAAGGATCCATACTCTTTGGTTCTATTCGGTAAAGTCACGTAGGTAAAAAAAAATAAAAAAATAAAACAACAAAAATCACGACGTTTCGGCCACAACACAAGCGGCCTTCATCAGGTGAAGGGACCAGCCTGTCTCGAAGACTGCGCTGGAGTGAAACACAGCCACGCTCAGACTGCGACCTTTAAGCTGTGTGAGAGGGATTAAGGTGCCTCTCACACAGCTTAAAGGTGCACTGCCATGTGCTACACCTTTCATCATGCTAAGTCCGCTAATCAAATGCTATTTTTTTATGCTAATTCCTTTGTCGAGGCACCTTAATCCCTCTCACACAGCTTAAAGGTCGCAGTCTGAGCTTGGCTCTGTTTCACTCCAGCGCAGTCTTTGAGACAGGCTGGTCCCTTCACCTGATGAAGGCCGCTTGTGTTGTGGCCGAAACGTCGTGATTTTTTTTTTTACCTACGTGACTTTACCGAATAGAACCAAAGAGTAAGCATATATATAGCAGCAGTTAGGTTCATGAAGCCTTATCTGGCAAATATATAGCAGCAGCCCGTACGGCAACACCAGTAACCAGGTTCATTTGGCAAATATATAGCAGTAGCCCACACAGTAACAACACCAGCAGCAGCAGCCAGGTTCATGAAGCCTTATTTGGCAAATACTGGTAGGAACCTCCTGGTTACACCACCACCCCACAGGGGATTATTGTGTCCGTCCGTCGTGCATCCAAAAATGGGAGGGGTGGGGCTGGGTGGAGAGGGGAGGGTGGGAAGGGGCTGGGTGGGGAGGGAGGGGCTGGGTGGGGAGGGGAAGGTGGGGAGGGGCTGGGTGGGGAGGGTGGGGAGGAGCTGGGTGGGGAGGGGCTGGGTGGGGAGGGTGGGGCTGGGTGGGGGGTGGGAAGGGTGGGGCTGGGTGGGGAGGGGCTGGTCACCCCGTGGTGCCCTTATAAAACTCAACGTTTAACCTACTCACGCCGGCTTGTGCCCGCCCTCAAAGTCGGGAATATTTGCGGAATACACCACGCCGCCGTTGACCCTGGCCATTGATCGAGCAACCCAACCTACCAGCTCCCTCCCCAGAAATGTGTTATATAGCAGCAGTCCATATGGCAACAACAGCAGAAGCAGCCAGCTTCATGAAGCCTTATCTGGCATTAGATGTGCCTGATATACTTCAGGCTTCTTCAGGCCTTCTGTGGCTTGGAACTGCTGCTGTTGTTGTTTCTAGGTTTTGTAAGATAAGGTATATGTTCAGACCACGTATTTAGTATTTTCACTTGCATTTTAAAATATATATTTCAAATTTGATTCTATATTTTCCAAAACATTGCGTACTTCCGATGTCACATACAGCTAGCTCAGCTGGGTTTTTTTTACATAGCTGCTGAGTACAGGCCCAAAAGGTCCATAACGTCAAGCGACCAGCAACAAGCAGAACAATAAAAGATAAGAATAAACACGTCTCTTGAATTGAGCAAGGTTATTATGAGAACTTTGGAAAAGAGACGGACAATGGGAGGGAATTCTCAAGTGGAGCAGTGCGAGGGAAGAAGCAAAAATCGAAGTGTTATGACCTGCAGTGTGGTGAGTCAGTGCATGGGTGAGTTTGGCGAGTTTGGTGAGTGGGTGAGTGCGTTGGTTGGTGAGTGGGTGAATGAATAAGTGGGTAGGTGAATGAGTGAGTAGGTGAGTGTATGGATGAGTGATTGAGTGAGTGTGTTGTTGTGATCTGCACTCTGGTGGTTGAACACAGTGTGGTGCATGAGACAAAACAGTCAGTCTGGTAGACCGAGTCTCCAAAATGGGTGCAGGAATCAATGAGTGAAGTTGTTGGGACTAGAGTAACCACGGCAGTAGCAATACAAGAGTGATAAGCAGGCGACCGACCGCTGCCAGTGAGTTGTTTACCTGCAGCACGATGTCGAACTGGGGCTTGCAGGCTTTGAGGTGGCGCAGCACAGGTAGCACGGACAGGACGGCCGAGTAGTCGTGCCGCATCACAGCACGGCGCGCTGCTGCCACCACCCCATCCCCCTCTGCCACCAGGCTATCCAGGGACTCCTGCAGCCACGCAAACAAAGACGCCCCGTATAGGCTTTATAGATTGTTGGTGGGCGGGTGCTTTTAGCGAGCACGTACGAAGGCCGGCACAGCACATGAGTGGGTGGGCGGCCAGCACCACGCCCGGCCGCATTTGTGTCATGGCGATGTAAACACACCGCACTAGGTACTCATTTAAGGATGAATCGACCTAGAGAAGGCCAAGACTGGTTCAGATAATCGTCACTAGTATTGGCTGTGAGCGGGAATTGAACTCGGGTTGCAGGGTTCATAGAGCAGCATGCTAACCGCTGTCCTACCGCTCCCTACGCACCCAGCAACAACCTCTTTCAGCAATCAGAGTTCGTTGTTGGAAGTGGGGAGGGCTGGGCCTATTCACTTTTGCACAGGCGTCAGTAAAATGTTACGACTCGTAACAGATGTTTGGGTTAGGCCACGTAAGTGATTTGGCCAAATATTTGTCACAAAACCCTCCAACAAAACCGACGCAGCCAAACAAATTAAATTGTCACGCGTACAACCATTTTACGAGTCAATTGTTTCTGTATAAGCTCACCGGTAAGACGAAGTACAATTCTCAAAGTTAAAATGTTTAGCAATTAGATGAAACTGCACCAAGCATCTTCAGGACAAAAGCCAGGAATTGGCGCGTTAAATGATTGTACAAGTGATAATTTCATTTGTTGGCTATGCCAGGTGGTGGAGCAGCGTTTCACAACAAATTTGGCCAGACCATTGTGGCCTAACTCGGAATTCTATTATGATGACTCAATACTGAAGTTTTTATTTGGCTGAAGTACTGTAATGAGTAAAGCATTGTATTCTTCACCGTATTGCATTGCGTATGACATCACGTTATCGATTGCATTGCGTGTATTGCATTGTGTGTATAGTCTTGCTATACCTGGTGTGGCGTGTAAACATCGCCACTGGGGAGACAAAGGCGGTCGGGTGTAGTGCTGGCCACCCACCCCTTTGTGTACCATGCCGGCCTTCATAGGTGCTCGCTAACAGCACTTCCCCCCAACAGCCTGTTAAGGCTATACGGGGGATCTTTGTCTTATCGTATTGCGTTGTCGTGTGCACCTGTATTAGAGAGTCGAAAGTCTTCTTGTGGTGGAAGTCAGGAATGATCTGGGTGAGCAGCTGGTACTCGCTGTGAGCCAACTTCACGAAGGCCGACACACACAGGATGTAGGCGTCGATCTCCACGTCCCAAGCCTCCACACTGCCTGCACACACACACCGCATATCACTCACCCATCACTCACCTATCACTCACCTAAAGTGGCACGACACACACACACACACCGCATATCACTCACCCATCACTCACCTATCACTCACCTAAAGTGGCACGACACACACACACACCGCCTATCACTCATCCAACATCACTCACTTATCACTCACCTAAAGTGGCACGACACACACACACACACCGCATATCACTCATCCAACATCACTCACCTATCACTCACCTAACGTGGCACGACACACACCAAACACACACACCGCATATCACTCATCCAATATCACTCACCCAATATCACTCACCAATCATTCACTTAATGTGGCACGACACAAACCATACACACCGCATAACACTCATCCAAAATCACTCACCTATCACTCACCTAACGTGGCACGACACACATCACACCGCATATCACTCATCCAATATCACTGACCTATCATTCACCTAACGTGGCACGACACAAACCAACAAACCGCATATCACTCATCCAATATCACTCACCTATCACTCGCCTAACGTGGCACGACACACATCACACACCGCATATCACTCACCTATCACTCACCTAACATGGCAGGATACATACCACACACGCTGCATATCGTTCACCTAACACTGATCTAACGTGGCATGAAACACACCACACACTCACATGCCACATATCACTCACCACTACATGTTGCTCACCTTAAATAATACCACACAACCCCTAAGCGATTAAACCCATGGTCTAGACAGTTAGGTAGAGTATTCTCAAGTGTGTAGTCAAATGCATGGTAGTAATGGCTGGTAGTGGATGGCAATAGTTAATAAAATTTACAATAACGTTTGTACATTTGGTATCTGCGCTATTCATTTAGTGCACGGCTATAACGAAAATCGCTGTGTTTCACTGACATAGTCTGCAGTAGGTTCACAGTCGGGGGTGACGCAGCTTTGTGTAATCCCAATTTTTATTTTGCGTGTAACTTATCAGACTTGTACCATGACGCAGGCACACAAATGACCTATTCTTTAAAGAGTATGTCCACTGTGAACCAGATGGTGTATATTCATGGATAATGCACCTGCGCTTAATTACCAGGGCAGCCAGCCGGATCCGAATCTGTGAACCTCTGCAACGAGGGAGCGAATGCACTACCGTAGGGCCACCGCCCCCCCCCGCCCCCCAATGCGTGGCTTTAGCGAGACGAGTGACCAACTGAGTGTGAAGAGTCCACAGGAGCTGCGGCAGTTGGAGGCCCTCCACACGACAGTACCTTCCATGGGAGAGAGGTTGGAGCAGCCCTTCCTTGCCTCCTGCTGGGCGTACTGTTTGAGAAGGTTCTGGGCTTTACGCAGAGTGCCTGGGGCCACCAACCACCCCCCCCCACAGGCAGAGAGCACACCAGCAGGAGTGATCCCAGGTGAAGGGAAGGACACCGAGGAGAGGAAACACCAGGGCACGGAGCGATACCAAGAGAGTGAGGAGACGGACCGGCGAGTAGGGGAGGGACAGAGAAAGAAACAGAGACAGACCCACACCGTAACAAGAGTGGCTCCAAAACCGAGCTCCACGTTAGTCAAGACACCGATGGCAGCGCCTCATTGATTCGTAATGGATTTTAAGGGTTAGACCGCGGAATGTTCTGGCCAAATTTCTGTTGTGAAACCATACAGCACCCGGGTCATCCGGTGCTTAAACTCCCACCTTACCCGTGGGCATCGAGGTCGCTATCTTCTGGCTTGCTACTTGCCATGGCTTGCCGTGGCACAGTGGCATTACAGTGAGTGGATTATTCCCTTCTGTGTTCCATCATGTCGAGTATTCAGCGTTCTATCCTCCCGCACACAACGGGGGTTTTTTTCTCCCTGGTGTCCTCCCACTTGTACAAACACTCACGATTCATGGAGTCGGCCAGGCATCCTAATATAGGCCCAAATCTAGATTAGGCCCAGAGAGCTTGGACAATTGTCGGTGTCAGTTCTGCCTGCTTCCCTGCTTTTTTCGCACCTCTGAATGATTCTCTTATCGCTCTCACTCTCTCTGAAAGGGTTTTCTGACACAAATTTGGCAGGATCATGAATCGGCCAAAACCAAAAATCGACGATGAATCGTGATGTGACCGACTGGCTTAGTCAGCTTGGCAATGGCCCCATTCAAATCGACACGAGGAAATGCAGCGAGTGGAAAATCCAGCTACCTCACGTTCCCACACAGCAGGAATGCAAGCCTTACCTGGGATATAGGCTGAGATGTCCACGTTAGGGAGTGCAGGGAGAGGGGAGAGGGGGGTAGAGAGACAGCAGAGTTATAAAGTGCAGCATTTACGATGGGAAGAGCTCACAAAAGCCAGCATAGTCCCATGCTCTACAACCTTGGTATCAGCCAAAACCACAACAAAGTTCACAAAATGATAATTAGCGTTGTCGTTGAGAAGTAACAAAATAAATGTTAATAATATGTTGCCACCTTCACGAAATCTCTTCCCTCTATTTAAAAAAATGTAAGTATTTTTTACACAGCCCATTGGCCAGACAGCCTTCTGGCAGTGCATCATTTTCAGAGAATCGGCTCACTACAAAGCAGACTCTCGTATAGGTTCGTACCCTGATGCCGGGCCGTCTCAGAGCCCTTTTTACACACAATAAGCGACTTACATTGCATCTCGTATCAAAAACATTGGAAGGCACCTCCAAGTGGCAGCTATCCCTATGTGCCACAAGGTGACTTGGCACGGGACTGCGAGTGGGAATTAGTCTGCTAGTAACGGGGCGATAATTGCTCGCTATGATCCCAATTGAGTAAGTATCGGTGTCATGTTTTCAAGTTTGGTACATTTGGACCACCACACTGACACAAAATGGCCGGTATCAAACGTACAAACAACGCTCATCTAGAATGACATTCCGGGGTTTTTAAAGCCCACTGTGAAGCAAACAGTATGGTAAATCCAACTGCAGTAATAACCAGGGCAGACTGCCTGATTCGGACCTCGAACCTCTGCAACAAGTAGCTAACTTGCTACCGGTGAACGATGCTTGTATAAATATGTGGCTCTATATGTATATGTGTGTGTGTGTGAGTGTATATATGTGTGTTTACCTATGTATGTAGGTCGGCTCAGCCACAAACAAGTACCTGGTGCGGTGTGTTCACATCACTACTGGGGAGGGCGTGGTGTTGGCCACCTACCCCCTCGTGTACCGTGTCGGCCTTCATAGGTGCTGATTAACATCAATTGTCCCAACAGTCTGCGAAGGCTATTTGGGGGTTCTTTGTATCGATATTATGGATACAAATATAATTGTTAAATCGGATGGGAGAAACTGTGGAATAGCAGCAGTACTTATTTTTTGCCATTATAAAAGCATAAATGCAGCCCAAGCTGTCATATCTCACTTGGAGCACCCAGTTCCTAGCTCACTGCACTTGAGTAAAACAGCCAGGATTTATTGATGATCCAGCACTCCCTAAAGATCCTCTTCGGTAACTCAATACATCGGCGGCTGCCAGTCGCCTCCTTATCACTCTTCTCTTGCTGGTACCTTGGTTACTGTTACCGCGGGCTGTCACGTGTCGCTAGTGCTGCTCGTCGTACCGGTGCGCTTGCCAGTGGAGGCGGGGGGCCGCTTGGTGGGGGTGTTGGTCCTGCGGGCCCCCACGGCCGGCGAGTGCCCAGCGGCCGCGTGGTGGCTCCGTCGCAGGTGCTCCTTGAGGCCTTGCAGGGAACGAAGCATCTGGCCCGAGCGTAGCTGGTAGTAGACAGTCATGAGGTCTGCACCCCGGAAGGGCAACGCAAGCGAAAAACATTGCAAACGTCACCGAAGCGAAGCGATGACATCGGTTCACATGCAGGGGTTAGACAGATCGTTGCATCGCAGAGACCGTCTTGGGGAGGCTTTGATCCAGCAGCGGATAGACCAGGGTTGATAACGATGAGGACAAAAAGCGTACGATGAACGTGCACCAGGAGGCCCCGCACCCACTGTGCCGGTGCCGCCATCTCTGTCGCCGTGCCAGTGCGATGCCGATAATACCGGCGACGCTGGCAGGCGCCGGCGCTCACCGTGGCTGCGGCCGCTCTCCACCAGCCAATGGGAGATGCGCACAAGGTCGGCGAGCGCGCGCTCCGGCAGCTGCTGGATGTGAACGTCGGCCGTCCCCTCCGTAGCGCAGGCCTCGCCCTCCTGGGCCGCCTCGTCCTCGTCCTGGGCCAGCGCGTCCAGCAGCAGCACGGGCGGCACGGCCTTGCTGTGCCGCTGCAGCAATGTGCGCGCCTCACCCTCCAGCCACTCCTTGCCGTTCTCGAACAGCGACTTCTGCGGTGAGGCAGAATTGAGCATTGGTCATTTCTCTTGCGGTTCTTGAGAGCTCGGGAAAAAGAGATGATGGGAGGGGATTTTACCAAAGTGGAGCAGTGCGAGTGTAAACGGTCAAGCAAACTCCGGTCATCCTCGCGGCAGAAGCGCTTCTGCGGCCGTCTGGGTGGTTCTTCCTTCCAATATTAGGAAGCTTCTGGAGCTATGCACTTTTAAATCGAAATATAAAACTACATTTTTTTAGAACTGAATTTTGTGTTCGTTTGTTGTCCTTCCCCCGCACTTCCGATTAGCACAGTTGGTTATGTCTGGTGCGAAAGAGGTTCAACATACATAAATACAAAGAAAAGTATTGTGACCCGCAGTTGCGGTGGTTGAACACATTGTGTAGTTTGTGCGTTATAATAAGGTTGGCATGCAGACATAGTTGGTGTGACCATGCTGTCGGTGTGGCTGTGATGACGTGGTTGTTGTGTTGATGTGATGTGTGCAGTCTGTGTGTGGTGAGGGCAGTTGTAGTGGCGTGCCAGGGAAGGCGATGCCCCTCACCACAGTGTTAAGCTCAGGGCTGTCTGGGTTGTTCTCTGTGAAGTACTCGACTGCGTTCTGTATGCGCGCCATGCACTCCAAGTACTCCTCCAGACGTCCTGCCGGCCTGTACGCACACAAAGACACGTATTTCCCCATATAGCCTTCACAACCTGTTGGGCCAAGTGCTGTTAGCAAGCACCAATGACGGGCAGAACGGTGCATGGTGCCGCACCAGGTACCCATATAAGGCTGAATCGACCTAGCGAAGGCCCAGGACCAGGTCAGATATTCGCCACAAATGTTGGCCATGAGCGGGAATCGAACTAAGGTCGTCGAGTTCATAGTAGAATGCACCAACCACTGCGCCGCTGCCCCACTGTGCTGTCTGTGGATGCAAACGTGTAAACACCCCATCATGCGGTTTCAAACGTGTGGCGGTGCTCACACTGACAATATCTAATCAGCGAAAGTGCCTCCCACCGCCCCCCCACCCCCCCCCCCCCGAGCTGCGTGTTTTTTTTTTCACCCCTCCTTGACGACGCGCTGGGTGTCGCGCGCCACGCTGTAGTAGCCGATCACGTGGTGTAGCGCGCCCAGTGTACGCTCCACGTTCTCCTGCAGCCGCTGCAGGGTCTCCGTCTGCCGGTAAACCGGCACGATGGCGTCCTCCAGCCGCGCCAGCCGGCATTCGAATGACGACAGGATGCCCACCTGCCAGGGAGCAGTAGGGCCTCAGCGATCAGCTCGGCGCCATCTGCGTTACCGCTCGTGAGAACTCACGGGCCTTTAGCTGTGCAATTTAAAGCATGTATAAACTTAATGTGTAGCACAGGCGTCTGTAACTTTTCAAAGAAGAAGAAGAGCAGTTTTTTTGTTTTTTTCGTCTTTGACCAAAATAGTTTGAGAGCCGCATCACACGCAGAGCTACTTGTACACAAACACAGCAGTAGGTATACAGCAATGACAAAACAAACTCTGACTTAAATAAACAAAATAGGTGATGGAATAAACTCTATTTAGTTCATTTCCCCCTTAGTTATTCTTTAACAACACAGTTTGACTGTTGCACATTTTGTCATCACCAAGACGCTCCACAGTGACCCATTCCCTGCCATATTTAGTAAATTATCTTTCATAATTATGTTTAAGATTTAAACACCCGGCTCCGGAGCCACAGGTTGTCCAGCCCATACCTGTCAACCCACACGGTTTACCCCGTATTCTTGTAATTGAGTTTGCAGGTCCATACAGCGTACAGCCGCTCCAATACAGGCAAAAAAATAATAATAAAAAAATGCCTATTTGTGTGCGTGTTTCTCCCTTGTGATGAGACTTTGTAGGATGAACATTGAGAATTATGAGGGCACGGGGTGACCAATAAGGTCAGAATTGGTCTGTCATAAGGTGGCACTGATAAGGAGTTAACAGGTATGCGAGCCCTGGTATAGTCCTTTGTCAATTCACTGCTGGATGATGGCCTACCCCACAGCATGCCGGTCACGGGAGTTGTTTGACCGTACTTCGCGATGCTGGCAAGCGTGGAGAAGCATGGAGGGGCGAGGACCAGGTTAAATATCACCCGCCACTGATGTTAGCCATGGCTGGGAATCATCATCTATGCCAACTCTCATCTTTTACAAATTTAATAGTGTTGTTTGTTGCTGGCTATTACACATTACGTGCCTGTGCTCAGCAACAAGATAGCTGGAATCATAGCAGAAGTACATTATCCACTTCATCACTACTCCCAGCCCCATCGTGTTTAGATGTACTAATATTCATGAGGTGCTCTGACTTCGCTGAAAGACCAACGTGTCATCATAGACTGGGCCTATATAATCAGGGTAATCTCCGTAATCTTGCTGCAGAGCACCCAGTGACTCCTCTCAATTGTCGACAATCTCACCAAGATAGTCGCTCACGCTCACACTCACCATGCTTGCGGTTTGCTGTTCGCTCTTATCCAGGCTCTCTCGGATGAAGTTCAGCACATGCTGCTCCTGGATGAGTGACAGGGGAAGATGCGGTCAGTTTGAAATATCAACATTTGAGCACTGCAGGTTATTTTTTTTGTTTGCACGAATTTCGATGAGGTTGTTTTTGTTGTCCAATTTCTATCTGCTTCATCGTTGTACTTCGTGTTTCAGACATCGCTTTTTGTCATTTTCGTCTACTCAGGTCACGCTTGCAAATGGGACTATCCTCGTCTCTCGAGTTCGAAGCTGGTTAAGCAAAAATCAGCTTGAAGCTTGACTTCGTAAAATGTTAACGGTACAATCCTGAAAACAACTTGCTCACAACACTGTTGGGCGGAAGGGCCTCCCAGGAGAGGCAGGCAACAGATGACGTTTAGCCTACTCTTCCACGCCCAACAGAGACGTCTTTAACCCCACCACTGTAGATCAACTATGATGCTGCACCTATGCATGCTTCTGGGTAGATAGACAGAGAGAAGCAAGTGCAGCGAGCAAGGGGTTAAGAAACCATAAACAAGCTACATTGTTTAAATTCCCACGCCGGGAGATCGAGTCACACCCCCGACGACCTCTGCGCAGGACCGGATTAAGATTTTGCAGGCACCTGGGCTACAGGTACTGCGAGGCCACCCCCCCCGCCTCCCCAGTAATATTTTCAAAAGGAAAACAAAGTTAAAGAAAAATAAAATTGTATTTTTACAAGGCTAACAACAAATACAATTCCGCATTCACAAATTAAATAACTTTTCACTTAATCTCCGGAGGTCTTCCAGCTGGGGGAGGCCCCCGGACTGCAGCTCCTAAAGCCCCGTGCCTTAAACCGGCCCTGCCTCTGCACTGCAATTCCAGTGTCCGATGACACCACATTGCTGGACATTTCTGTGTGTACGGCAAACCGGTAACCGTTTTGTTAAACTATTTGGTTACCTGCAATGCAATTGTTTTTTTTAAACAATCCAAATCGGTACGTCATATGCAAATTTGGTTACTTAATCCATTAATATCATGGAAAGCAAGTTATAGCGATGAGCATTTCACTTTAATGAGACTCAATTCTGGGCCTAACCAATGCTACTTTGATACATTATTTGAGAACGTAACTTTGTCTGCATATTAGTGTTTTATTCCAGTCACCGCACAAACCCATGCACAACACTCATCGTCGAGAATTATCTGTATTTATCCTGGAGAAATCCAATGAGCTATGAAGCTCTTTGTCACAGATGTCCAGCAGGGGCGGGTCAGAAAATGATGTACAATCACTCACCCTCAATCCCCCACGACAACCCTCAACCTACTCACCCTAGCCTATACCTGTCAACCTCTGTGGCTCACCCCCCTGACCCACACTCACACCCTGACCCACACTGACCCCCTGACCCACACTCACACCCTGACCCACACTCACACCCTGACCCACACTCACCACCTGACTCACACTCACCCCCTGACCCACACTCACCACCTGACCCACACTGACCCCCTGACCCACACTCACCACCTGACCCACACTGACCCCCTGACCCACACTCACCACCTGACCCACACTGACCCCCTGACCCACATTGACCCCCTGACTCACACTCACCACCTGACCCACACTCACCCCCTGACCCACACTCACCACCTGACCCACACTCACCACCTGACCCACACTGAACCTCCTGACCCACACTCACCCCCTGACCCACACTCACCCCCTGACCCACACTCACCACCTGACCCACACTCACCACCTGACCCACACTCACCACCTGACCCACACTGACCCCCTGACCCACACTCACCACCTGAACCACACTCACCACCTGACCCACACTCACCCCCTGACCCACACTCACCACCTGACCCACACTGACCCCCTGACCCACACTCACCCCCTGACCCACACTCACCACCTGACCCACACTCACCCCCTGACCCACACTGAACCTCCTGACCCACACTCACCCCCTGACCCACACTCACCCCCTGACCCACACTCACCACCTGACCCACACTCACCACCTGACCCACACTCACCACCTGACCCACACTGACCTCCTGACCCACACTCACCACCTGACCCACACTGACCTCCTGACCCACACTCACACCCTGACCCACACTCACCTCCTGACCCACACTGACCACCTGACCCACACTCACACCCTGACCCACACTGACCCCCTGACCCACACTGACCTCCTGACCCACACTCACACCCTGACCCACACTCACCACCTGACCCACACTCACCCCCTGACCCACACTCACCACCTGACCCACACTGACCCCCTGACCCACACTGACCTCCTGACCCACACTCACCACCTGACCCACACCCTCACCCCAATCACCTGGTTGAGCTTCTCCTCGATGTCTCGCTTCCTCGCCGACACCGTCTCCTCAGCCGGCATCGCAGCGTTGAGCTGGTCACAATGAGTGGTGAGTCACAGTGAGTGGTGTGTCACAATGAGTGGTGTGTCACAGTGAGTGGTGTGTCACACAGTGAGTGGTGTGTCACACAGTGAGTGGTGTGTCACAGTGAGTGGTGTGTCACTGTTGGTGGTGTGTCACACAGTGAGTGGTGTGTCACACTCTGTCAGTGGTGTGTCACAGTGAGTGGTGTGTCACTGTTAGTGGGGTGTCACTGTTAGTGGCGTGTCACAATGAGTGGTGTGTCACAGTGAGTGGTGTGTCACAGTGAGTGGTGTCACTGTTAGTGGGGTGTCACTGTCAGTGGTGTGTCACACAGTGAGTGGTGTGTCACACAGGGAGTAGTGTGTCACACTCTGTCAGTGGTGTGTCACAGTCAGTGGTGTGTCACAGTCAGTGGTGTGTCACAGTCAGTGGTGTCACTGTTAGTGGGGTGTCACTGTCAGTGGTGTGTCACACAGTGAGTGGTGTGTCACATACGGAGTGGTGTGTCACACTCTGTCAGTGGTGTGTCACAGTCAGTGGTGTGTCACACAGTGAGTGGTGTCACAGTGAGCGCTGTGCTACTCGCTGCGTTCGCCTTCGGCCCGCAGCGTCGCCCCGATTGGTTCAAGCTCCGCGCGTGACACGCAACGGGCTGGCGCCTGATTGGCGAAGGCGCCGCGCGTCACCTTTGCCCCCCCCTCCGAGGTCACAAACCTCGGATATGACGTTTGCGGCACGTGACTAGCGCCGCCATATTACCTCGGGTAGAAGTAAATGAGTGGTCTCAATGAATCAAAATCTTTTTGTCCTGAAGGAGGAATCTCATACCTGTTAACCCCTTACCAGTGCTTAACTTATCACAGACCAATTATTACAGGTAACCCCGTGCCCCTTATAAATATTACACTTTCATCCTACAAAGTCCCATCACAAGGGAAAAACAGACAATGTCTTTTTGCCTGTAGTGAAACGGCTGTACGGGGTGGACAGGTATGGAATCCGGTGAGCTATAAAGCTCTTGTTCACACATGTCCAGTAGGTGTACGGGTAAGAACGTCACAACAAAGAACAAATCACCCAAACTAGTGGCGTCACTCGGGATAGTGTCACCCCCGATGGACCTGCGCCCGTACCAGACCACACAGAATCCTTAGTAATGTTTTTTTGTACTTATGTTACTCGTAAATCGTAATTCCCGTATATCACTGAATGTAATGGCAATAGTATTGACAAACTAGCAAAATTTAAATTACACCTTTAAATTACAAATATTTCCTTTAATTACTAAATGACAAAACCAGCGACTATAAAAAAACACGAGCATCGACGAACACAACAGCGCGCGCTTGTAGCGCGTGCAGACGAAACCACGTGACCCGAGGCGTCATAGTAGCTGGGTAACAAAGACGGCCCTGAACGGAGCACATTAGAAGGATCAACAAGTAAATTAGCATAGAGTTGTAGCCTTGTATGTATATTTATAATACAGTACACGTAAGCTGGGCTTACGAAAACTATTTTTGTTATATCAACAGGGATATATTTTTTTTTAATAAAAAAGAATCTGCTTAAACACTGCACAGAAATTGTATAGACAGTCATTTTGGTGTCACCCCCTCTGATGGTGTCACCCGGTGCGGTTCGCACCCCCCGGAGTGACGCCACTGACCCAAACAAAACGAAACCTCCCCCATCCTACCCAGGTATAGCCCACTGAGGTATTAACTTATTGTTCACAAGCTACCTGGCCACAAATGATAGCTCACCAAAGTGGCCTTATCATTTGGACATTTATAGCAGCAAAATTATTCAAATCATCTCAATGCATGTTTCTAAATGTGGAGGGATAAACCTGAGGACCCGGATAAAAAAATCCAGGCGACCACGGGGAGACACGCAAACTCCAAAAATACAGCAGCAGGCGTCAGGGTCGGTATCTAACCCCCGATCTCCTGAATACCAGGCGAGGTACTTAACATCCCATCACCATGGCGTCCCTTAAATCAATAAATGAGCACATACCTCAATTGCTGTGGGTAAAGTCCTGCAGAGCCAGTGGTGGAAATTCCATATTCCCATGACGAGGCCAGTCTTATATATATAAAGGATAGCCACCGTCGTTGAATTCCCCACAAATTGGTTGCTATATTATCACCCCGGAGGGATTATGGGCTGAGTCGATCCCCCATGCAGGATATGCTTTTATAAAGAGCACGTTGAACTTCTTTCGAACCGTACGTAGCCAACCGTGCTCATTGAAGGTACGAGCTAATGAAAAACAAAAGCAATTTGCCCCCTTCCCATATCGATCCGTCCGCACACAAAATTATTTTGTTTTAACTAAATGTCGAAATGGTCCACTTTGCTCAAATGGCGCTGGAATGATGCACTTCCTTCTGAAGGCTGTGTGGCTGGCGAGATGTATGAAGGTCACTTTTGTGTGGTGGGACAGATATGTGAAGGCGTATTGTCTGTATCTTCTTTATATTGTACACAATGTCAATGTAATGCAACAGTATGCTCGGTGTCATTTAATAGGTTGCATGTATATGTACAAGTGTTTATAAAGCATTACAAAGACACACGATTAACATATAATCCTAAATCATAGCATAAAGAAAGCAGATACAATTGAAAACATAATAATCCATCAGTAAACAAAACAAACATTTTTATTTGAAACGTACAATTGGAAGGTATTATCTGTCCTCTGGAATTTGAAAGTCAAAAGAAGCCTGTATTTCAATAACTGAGAAAGCGTTTGCGTTGTCAGCGAATTACAAATACAAAAAAACTTTCGCGCAATTTTACATTGCGGCAATTCAACGCTTAGGCACCATGACGTGAACGGTGTATGTCAAGTATTTGATGTTTGGTGGTGTTACATTAAACAGGCCATGCCTTGCGGATGAGGCTGTGTGCCGTCTTAATTCAGGTGACAATGTTAAGCAATCATTCGTGGACTGTAAATGCCTGTATTCCCACCACCTGCTCTATCATCATCACCAGTGTCCCACTCAGATGCATATTTACAACGTGTGAGGTATGCGAGTCTTGTGCAAGTGTCTTTTATTCACGGTCGATGCAAGAGCAGTACGTCACCTTAACGCAAGCTTCCCAGCAATTTCCACCCTTGTTCCCGAAATGACCGACGTAGCGAATTGTGTTGTCGTGTCACTACCGCGTCATTAATACATTTTTGTTGGTTAGGCCGTGTAAACGATCCGACCAAACTTGTGTTCATAACAGGTTTTTATTTTTATATCGCGTAAATATAAATGTGTCGTTAAACCCGCCAATTCGTAAGGTTTGTCACGTAAACAGAACGTGCCAATTAATTACTAATTGTTTTGTTAACGTGACAAACCTTACAAATTGGCTGTCGGGTGGTGGCGGGTTTAAAGACATTTATGTTTACGCGATCTAACACCCCCCCCTCAAAAAAACCCCTCTATTATGGGTAATATTGGTCGCGAAAGCCTACATGTTAAACACCCGACCTGGCCAAACAAATTAATTTGTCGCGTGCATGCTTTCAATGCGCCATGGCCATAACAACTGTTAAAAGCCACGGCGGCACGCGCCCAATCAATGGCGTTCAGGAATGAGAAAGGAAACTGGCAAGTTGAATGACCTTGATGTGCACCCCCCCACACCCCCCCCCCCCCCCATCAATTATTGCTGTCCGTTCTGCGAGCCTGCTGCTGCGTGTGACTCGGCCGTGCCAGGGCACGGTGCACAGGGGGTCGAGGCACGTGCCCTTTCCTGGAGGGGTGGGATTGAGAACGCGGCGATGTTTCCCTCCGACTCGGCGTGAAACGTGGCGAGCTGAGGTACAGCGGCGTGCGAGGTCTGCAAGTGCTCGCTCAGAGCTTGCGCGTCGACTGCGAGAGAGTCGCCGGTTTGCGTCGCCACGTATTGTGCATCCGTCGTAGGTATTTCCACGTACTGCGTTTCCATTGTGGGTATTTCCACGTACTCTGTGTCTGTGCTGGGTATTTGCACGTACTGCGTTTCCGATGTGGGTATCTCTACATATTGTGTGCCTGGTATGTCCATGTGTCGTATATCCATCTCTTGTGCGTCCAAATGCTGTGTTCCTGATGTGACTATGTCCATAGACTGTGCGTCTGTTAAGTCCTCATGCTGTATAACCATGTGTTCTGCACCTTCTGTGTCAATATCTACATACTGGGCATCTGCCATAGGAATATTCACATGCTGTATGGTCATGTGTTGTGTGTCATCAGTTGAGGTCTCCATGTGTTGTGTGCTAGGTATTAGTATGTACACATGTGTGTCTGGTGTTGAGGTGTCCATCTGCTGTATATCCATGTGCTGCGTGTCTATCGTGGATATGTCCATGTGCTGCGAGTCTGATAATCCGATATCCATATGAGTGTACACCTGTTGCATGTCCAAATGTTGTGTATCCATGTGCTGTGCGTCTTGTATGGGTATGCTCATGTGTTGTGTTTCTGTGGTAGCCGTTTCTGGTACAAACGTACCCACGTGCGTGTCCACAAACAGCGTTTCTTGCGTGCCTCTCTCAATATCCTGAGCATCTGACGCGTGCGTGTCAATATGTTGCGTGTCGGCTGTAGGTGTTTCATCTGCATGCTGCACACTCTCATATTGTACGTATTCCGTATGCGTCTCCTCGGCATGCACCACACTCACATATTGTGTATGTGATGTAGGCGTCTCCTCTGTATGCTCCACACTCACACATTGTGTGTGTTCAGTGGGTGTCTCCTCCGTTTGCTGCACAGTCACATATTGTGTGTGTGCAGTGGGTGCCTCCTCCGTTTGCTGTACGGTCACGTATTGTGTGTGTGCAGTGGGTGCCTCCTCCACTTGCTGCACAGTCACATATTGTGTGTGTGCAGTGGGTGTCTCCTCCGTTTGCTGTACGGTCACATATTGTGTGTGTGCAGTGGGTGTCTCCTCCGTTTGCTGCACAGTCACGTATTGTGCGTGTGCAGTGGGTGTCTCCTCCGTTTGCTGCACGGTCACATATTGTGTGTGTGCAGTGGGTGTCTCCTCCGTTTGCTGCACGGTCACATATTGTGTGTGTGCAGTGGGTGTCTCCTCCGTTTGCTGTACGGTCACATATTGTGCGTGTGCAGTGGGTGTCTCCTCCGTTTGCTGCACGGTCACATATTGTGTGTGTGCAGTGGGTGTCTCCTCCGTTTGCTGTACGGTCACATATTGTGCGTGTGCAGTGGGTGTCTCCTCCGTTTGCTGCACGGTCACATATTGTGTGTGTGCAGTGGGTGTCTCCTCCGTTTGCTGTACGGTCACGTATTGTGCGTGTGCAGTGGGTGTCTCCTCCGTTTGCTGCACGGTCACGTATTGTGTGTGTGCAGTGGGTGTCTCCTCCGTTTGCTGTACGGTCACGTATTGTGTGTGTGCAGTGGGTGTCTCCTCCGTTTGCTGCACGGTCACATATTGTGTGTGTGCAGTGGGTGTCTCCTCCGTTTGCTGTACGGTCACATATTGTGCGTGTGCAGTGGGTGTCTCCTCCGTTTGCTGCACGGTCACATATTGTGCGTGTGCAGTGGGTGCCTCCTCTGTTTGCTGCACAGTCACATATTGTGTGTGTTCAGTGGGTGCCTCCTCTGTTTGCTGTACAGTCACGTATTGTGTGTGTGCAGTGGGTGTCTCCTCCGTTTGCTGTACGGTCACGTATTGTGTGTGTTCAGTGGGTGCCTCCTCTGTTTGCTGTACAGTCACGTATTGTGTGTGTTCAGTGGGTGTCTCCTCCGTTTGCTGTACAGTCACGTATTGTGTGTGTGCAGTGGGTGTCTCCTCCGTTTGCTGTACAGTCACGTATTGTGCGTGTGCAGTGGGTGACTCCTCCTCCGTTTGCTGCACTTTCACAAATTGTGCGTGTGCAGTGGGTGTCTCCTCCGTTTGCTGCACTTTCACAAATTGTGTGTGTTCAGTGGGTGCCTCCTCCACTTGCTGCACTTTCACAAATTGAGTGTGCTGAGTGGGCGCGTGTACTGTAGGTGTATCAACATGCTGTGTGTGCGCTTCAGAAGTTTGCTCGTACTTTATGCCCGGTGTAATTGTGTCTGCGTGCTGCGGATCTGGCACTTGTATGTCCACCGTGATGATGTTGAGAGTGTGCAATTCGGTGGAGAGCAGACCTGCCCTGTGCACATCATGCATGTGTTGCTGCAGTTCGTCAGGCCGGGTGAACCAGTGGTCGCACGTTAGGCAGTGGTTTGGGCGTTCTCCCATGTGCTCCGTCAGGTGCTCTTTGAACTTCTCCCACTGCTGGAATGACCTCGTGCACATCTGCTCAAACAAACACACACACACACAAAGAAAAAGATCCCCCGTATAGCCTTAACAGACTGTTGGGGCAAGTGCTGTTAGCGAGCACCTATGAAGGCCGGCACGGCACACGAGGAGGTGGGTGGCCATCACCACGTCTGATCGCCTTTGTCTCCCCAGTGGCGATGTTGACACACCGCACCAGGTACTCGTTTGAGGCTGAGTCGACCTAGGGGAGGCCCAGGACTTGTTCAGATAATCGTCACTGGTGTTGGCCTTGAGCGGGAATCGAACTCGGGTTGCCGGGTTCATAGTGCAGCGTGCTAACCGATACATTACTGCTCCCCACAAACACACACATCCACCCACATCACTTTCACATTCATTGAAACATTGACACAAATTATATACGTGTCATAAAAAGCCTCATAGAGCTGTAATTATTCAAGTTGGTTTTATCTTCCTTTATGAAGAGAATAATGATTTGAGGCATCTTTCTCTCCGTGATTTAGGTACTTCATATCGACGTAAAAATCATTGTGAAGAGGCCCGCTAATTTTGTTCGAGCAACGAGTCCCGCATCTTTGATGGTGTCCACAGTTACACCATCCGGCCCAGTAGTTTCTCCCCGTTATTATAACCCTGCCGCCAATCGTGCTCGTGGTACGGCGCCCATCGCGGCGTCCGTTGCGCAGAGGGCATCTTCGCACCTGGCACTCGTACACCTTTCGGCGGCCCTTCTTGGCCCCAGAGGCCGAGGAGCAAGCCTGCAAGTGCGTCTTCAGAGTGCCCTTCCGGCCAAACTGCTTGGGGCAGTTTGGGCACTCGAACGGCTTCTCGCCTGCAGCCCCCGACGCGGTGACAAAGAGACAACAGCTCGCGGATGAAACACTCCACAGTTCCACACAAACACATTTAAGCACCTCCAATAAGCATGGTTGGCCATGTACGGCGCGAAAGAAGTTCAACATACGTACATTTAACTACGATATTCTTAACGAGTAGTTTATTTTTTTTTGCGACCACCAGTATGATTCATGATTGATTGCTGGGTTAGGCCACGGAATGATCTGTCTGAATGTGTGTCAAAGGAAACCTCCACCACCGGACATAGTGAAAAAAAATGAAACTTCCATGTGTAACTAGCAAACTGTTATTGTTTTAGCTCACCAAATAGAAGCATTTGTAATGGCTAATATCTAGTTAAAATGTATTTATTTCATTGTTTTGATGTTATGAGGCATATTTAAGAATCCGAGTCAAGTAAGATACTTATTCCGACTTCATCGATCTTATCCTGAAGATGCTTGACGCAGTTAAAAGAAAAAAGTTGTAGCTGATCGTTAAATCTGGCTGAGACTTGTTCTTTAACCTACGGTGAGTTAACAATAATAATTGGCTCGTTTTCAAACGCTTATACGTGTGATCATTTCGTTTTTTTGGCTATGTTAGGACACAGATTTGGCCAGACCATTCCATGGCCCAGCCCAAAAATCTATTATGAATCAATGATAACCATAATAGAACCATTAATCTGCTTGGCACAACAATCTCATCTGAGCTGTCAAGGAATGGCTGTGTTACTCATATGGCTAAGGAGGCATCAAAGAAGCTTGGTTGTATTTCTGTGCCAAAGCCTCTTTAACTCAGAGCAAGTACTGCTGTTGACACGCATTCGGCTAAAGTTGTAATCCTGCTGTAATTTCTGAGGGTGTAGCGCCCAGTTCCTACCTCACTGGACTAGAAAGAATTCACAGTAAATGAGTTGGGTTGATTGATGATCCAGCACTCACTAATTCATTCCAGTCACTCACCTCTTCATCTTATCTCATCCATCGCCACTACCATGGTTACTGGTTCCCTGAACGGCACTCATTAATTCCTCCGTCCATGTTGACGACTCGGTCTAACAGACCATCTCATCCCCAATGTACTTGTGTATGTTGAACCTCTTTCAGCTCTCGCTCACACGTGTTTACCCACCACACTGTACGTCTTAAAACACTCTATTTCTGCTTCTTCCTTCTGGCACTGCTCCACTTTGGAATTCCATCCCATCGTCGCTTTTTTTCCTAAACGTCTTCCAATAACCTTGCTCAATTCAAGAAACCTTTTAACTCGCATCTCTTCGAACTTTGATCGTGCCGTCTGTTTGCTAGCCGCTTGGGGGCCTGATCAGCAACTGTGATAAAATAAAAAACTAAACAGCTCCGCGGTTTCAACTTCAGTCTTCTTCGGCACGTCTCCTGTCCAACACCTATATGGTATTTTCCTAACTTCAGCCTAAACCAATAAACACAGCTAAATACACTTGGCATGCGTCCTGGTACGATTTAAACGATCAGCAACCGGCACAAGAACAGGTGCAAACAGCACACCAGCACTCGTAACCGACGTATCGTCTCGGCAACTGCGCTAAGATGCTCTCACCGGTGTGCTTTCTCAAATGCTCCTTGAAGTGCCCCTGATGGCGGAAGATCTTGTTGCAGTAGATGCAGGTGCGTATGATGTTGGAGTTTTGCGCGCCCGCGTCGCCGCTCGCCTCGTCCTCATCCTCTTTGTGGTGACACGCCACGTGTTGCTTCCACGCACGCTCGCGCGTGTACTTCTTACCGCAGTCCTGAGCAGGCGCGCACGCGCACACACGGAAAGCATCACACGCCGTGCAAACGGGAGCTGTTTAGAATACTGTGTGTGCGCCATGGGGGGGAAAAACACTTGCAGCCCCATCGCAAGCTCTACGTGAAGGCAGCAATCTGATTTCTTATCAAGTCTAACACGTGAAGCTTGTTTTGAATTTCCCAACAGAATAATGGTGATTATTTTTTATACAGCGCCTTTTATGCTGGGGCATCTCACACGTGATTTACACGCGAGAAGGACAATGCAATCAACGCTCCCTACTTGCAGACTCATGACCGCTTTCAGGCCAGGTGCTGAGTCACCTTGCGCCGTGCAGGGACAGCTGCCACTGGGGGCACCCTTTCAAATGTTTGAGACGAAAATGTGACGCATGTCGCTGATTACACGTGTAAAGTGCTCCGAGATGCTCCCCCCCCCCCCGCATTATCATCTTTCTCAGACGAGCCTGGACGCATTTTCAAGGCGAAGGAGTTTCTCAACGTATGCCGACGATGCTGGCATGGTGTACATTGCACGCGCGGTGAGAGGCACTCGGATCGCATGCTTTGGCTCACCTTGCAAGTGAACTTGGGTCCCGCGTGAGTGCGTAGGTGCTCCCGGAAATGGTAGTACATGCGGAAGGAGCGGCTGCAGTACTTGCAGCAGAAGAGTCTCTCCTGAGGTGGTGGAGGTGGGGGGGCTTCGCTTGTGGAGCTCACCTCCACCTCCACCCCGCCCCTCTCCACTAGCGCCCCTTCCAGGCCATCCTCCGTCAGCTCCAGCTCCATGGCTGGACACTGAGAAAAAGGTGAGATACACAGAATCAGAATCTGCATTGATCCCGTAGGAATCTGATGAGCTATGAAGCTCTCTTTTTTTTTGGTTTACAGATGCCCAGTAAAGTCACGTAGAATGAGAATAAAATAATAAATTGATAAAATAAAATAACACAATAATATTCTCACGACGTTTCGGCCACAACACAAGCGCCCTTCATCAGGTGAAGGGACGAGACTGTCTGGTGGGACAGCGCTGGAGTGCAAGTGAACTTGGGTCCCGCGTGTCCTACCAGACAGTCCCGCGTGTCCTACCAGACAGTCTCGTCCCTTCACCTGATGAAGGCCGCTTGTGTTGTGGCCGAAACGTCGTGAGAATATTATTGTGTTATTTTATTTTATCAATTTATTATTTTATTCTCATTCTACGTGACTTTACCGAAAGAACCAAAGAAGATGAATCATTGCAGTCATGAAAGCTTTAAATCGAAAGATGTCCAGTAGGTACACCTTAGAATTATAATATTAATGTATGTATACTGGAGGAATCCGTTGAGCTATAAAGCTCTTTTTCACAGATGTCCTGTAGGGGCACGTAAGAAAGTTGCAACAACAAACACAACAAAAAACCACAGTAGGAGTGCCAAGAAAAGGAACCGTAGCAAATCACAAAAATATGCTTATTTTACTAAGTAAAGCGCAATGAGCTATTGGCTTATTTTCAGAAGCGACCTGGCCACAAATGAAAACTCAATGAAGTGGCTTATCACGTGGGAATGTATAGCAGATAGGGTTGTTGAAAAAACAGCATTAACTTAATAATGTATTATCAGAACTTCAACGGGATAAATCAATCACTGACTTAAATAATAGCAATAATGATTCATTTATGGCACAGCGGTAGTGCATTCGACGCTTGCTGCAGAGGTTCTTGGTTTAAACCCGGCAAGCCGCCCTGGTTAATACTGCGGGGGTATTAAGTATAAAATAAGCGGTTTGCTTCTAAGTAGGCGTGAAAAAATTCCGTGATACAACACTTGTGTTGGCGGCGTTATGGTCCAAATTAGATTTTTTTTTAACCTACAATTTAGACTTTGCAAAGCATCATGGCCCCTTACTCTGAAACTACTGCTGAATATGTGAAACAGCACTTTAAGATAATAGGTTTTTCCCCTTTTTCTGGCAACAAAACAGGTGTTAACATGTTAAAACACCAAACTGAAACCTTTTCCAAGGATTCATGTCTGCATTAACCACAATGCTTGTGGTCAGAATGCAAACAAAAAACATACTCTTATAATATATGCATTGTCCTTGAAACTGATTTGTCCACACCAGAGACAGCTTTCTTTTGAGCCTCGTCTCAAACGGTGTTAGGACCAGAGGATGCCCACCTGCTCTCGCCAAAAGGCCTTTTGGCGTCCTCCACTACAGGAATGGCATGAATACCAAATGTATAAACCATAACAAAGGTTTTTTTGGGTTAGATTGTGAAAATATAAATGTCGTAAAACCCACCACCACTCGACACACCCAATTAGTACGGTTTGTCATTTTAAGAAAGTGCCAATTAGTTACTAGTTCAGCACACTGGTGTGTTGGAGAGTAAACCCACAATATTTACAATTCGAGTACTGCGGCGTTTCGCTGGTGATTACAACAACCGGCTTCAACAGCCGATCATCCAGATCTGTGGAGAATTCCTCCAAACGTACTAAACTGTCACGATTATTAACCACTGGAGGTGCCGTGGGTGTACTCGGCGAGGAGGCAAATCGATTGGCGAGTGCTCACCTGCGAATCCTCCCCCACCTGCTCCTGCTCATATTTGCTTGTGATGTCAGCGAGCAGAGCCAGGGCCGATCCCCCGTCGCCCCCGCCGCCGGCCCCCTCAGTTGCCTGCTTCGGAGTATTCCCTTGCTGTGGCTTCTTGGCACTCTCCGGGTCGGGCAGCTCCGGCAGCGTTTCTGTCACGACCTTATGAGTGTCGAAGACTTTTCGGTGTTCCGCTGACTTTTTCGCACTCGTCTGCCTGGAAGTTTTCTGCCTGCAGGCACAGCGGACGGGCGACGCAAGTCTTGGCACCTGTATACATGTCTTCCATGCTTTTAAGATATGAACAAAGAAGATCCCTCAGATCCTCTGGTACTGGTCTTTTAGTCGTCCCAAAGCCCAGGGACCAACATCCTCGGGAGAAGCGGCTTTTAGTGTATACGGTCCTCACCAGGGGATCTGAGGGCTTCAGAATCATTAGGCACTTTAAGAATAAATATAAAAACTAACTTTTTTAAACTGGCTTTTAATTAGGATTTTTCATAATGTGTTATTTTTATAACTAGCTTGTTTGCCCGTCCTAGGATGGAAGCTGTAATATTTACGAAAATATTGAGCAGAGTATCATTGTATCTTGTGTAAATTTAATGGCAGTGAATCTTGCACAAAAGTATGTCATCAAACACTTCACTGCATTTCACTGTAGCACTGTATATAACTGACCTTCAATTTGTTCAAATTCACTGCTCTGATACTTTCTCTTCTGCTTTCGGTCAGTGGGGTTGAAATAAATTGGAATTCGATACAATATCTGGAAAATCACTGAGAAATGCCTATTTTACCATAATGTAGCAGCATAAATTAGACTTACCTTTTGTCTCAAGTGCTGAAGAAATAAAGACACCAAATCCACGTTGTTGCTGCGTATAATTATTTATTAGATTCACTTTCAATCAAGAAACGTCAAAATTAAAGTGAATTTGCGGATTTTTTTTTTCTTTCCACTCGACCTTCTTCTGCGCGAGTGTAAAAATCCACCCGCTCATGAATATTAATGACGAGGGGGGGGGGTGCGGCATGTGGAGTGATGTCACGCACGTTACACACAAACAGACATTCTTGGCTCATTATAGTAGTAATAATGTCTTTTTTTTTCGTTTTAAAGCTTTCGTGACTGCAGGGATTCATCTTCTTGGTTCTTTCGGTAAAGTCACGTAGAATGGAAATAAAATAATAAAAAAACATAATTTTATCTTATTATGTTTTATTTTTATTATTTTATTTCCATTCTACGTGACTTTACCGAAAGAACCAAGAAGAATAATGTCTTTGTTAGACACTTGTTACGTGACTTGATTTTGCGTACAATTTAACTTTTATTGTTCATGCCTGTAAAGTACTCTGTATTGCATTCTTTTGCACGAATGGTGCTTTCGAAATAAAGTTTGAATGATTGCTAGAGACGCAGACGTGGGTCCAAGATTCGGTAACATGCACCTAATGGGAGACAGTCCACGCACCACGAGGCGCGACACGTGCCGTGAGCAGGTACCTATGAAGACCGGCACGGCATACGAGGGGGTGGTGTGGACAGACCCGTGCCCGGCCACCCCTTTCTCCCCAGTGCTGATGTTGCAAACCACACCGGGTACTCATTTTAGACTAAGTCAACCTGGGGGAGGCCCAAGAGCGGTTAAAATATTTGTGACCGTTGACCGTGAGCAGGAATCGAACTTGGTTCGTCGGGTTTATAGCGCAGAATGCTAACCCCTACACCACCGCTCCCCAAACGACCCACACACCTTCATAACACGAGCCACACACTACGAGACTGGACACACTCTAACAACCAAATGTAGCTATTAGGTGTGACATTTCGCTTGAAACTACAATCATCTCCAGGGCAATACACGAGCCGGAATTAAGTCTAGAAGAATAACTGCGCCACCTTACCCAGGTCGTAAATAGGTGTCCTGACAACTATTTAATAACAATTTCATGTTGTATAGCATCATTCATGATAACTGCATCCCAGAACGCTGTACATTAATGATATATAAGGGCTAATTCCTTTTTATAGAAACTACCAAGCAAATGAAAACTCTGAAGATAAAAAAAAATCAAATCAATAAATGGCACCAAAACAAAAGGTACAAACAACCAAAAAGTTATCACCATGGTGAAATGACTTTGCTAGGTCGCATCCCACATACCCAACTTCTTACACAGGCCAGGAAACCTTTACAGGAGGAAACAGGGCAAGCACTTTGTTTGATTATGTTGGGTAGCGAAGGCTCATGGGACAGAAATTTGACCAGATCATTGGGGCCTCACCCAAAAATAATTTACGAATCGTACTACTGTCTGTGAAAACCTACATGTTCAGTTACGGTTTAGAACGCAGTTATTTTGTACGAATGTTTCAACTTATTTCGTACCCTACGTAGCCAACCGTGCTCATTTTGAAACCCATACCTGGCCGTGAGCGTTCGTATCGCCTCTTCCATCTGCAGGTACTTCGCTGCCTTCAGAACGCTGGCCAAGCTCGCTGGGTTCATGCCCTCAACGGCGAAACGCGACGCGTACGTGAACTCCAACAGGTGGCGAAACGCCTCCACGCTTACGCCTGCACTCACGCGCGCATAACATCAAAGCGCAGAGTCGATACCACAATGTCCTCTCACTGCCACAGTGCTTTTTTAGTTGTTGCTAAATGGAGTCAACCGCGCACTTTATCGTGTAAGCTATACAAAGACACATGAACGGTACACCGATTTTTTTTTTTTACCGTACAGGCTACAGCGATATCACGTCACTTATTAATAGTTATTTTCATAATTCTGAGCAATAAACAAAGCGTATTTGCCTTTTTAGCCGAGGTCGTCGGTTCAATTCCATCTCCCTGTACATCGTTACTAACCAAATTCGTAATTACTTCTTTAGTTAGGCCACAACCATCTAGCCAAATGTTTATTGTGAAACCCTCCACCACCCGACATAGCCAAACAAATAAAAGCATCACGTTTACAAGCGTCATTCAGACACAATTGGTCGAGCTTCCGTGATTCTATCCTGAATTCCTGTTCTCTGACCTAAAGATTGCTCGACATAGTTTTAAGCGAAACGTCGTGCATAATTGCCAAACATGACTTTGTGAATTGATCTCAAACTTACCGGAGAGAAGAAACAATCAAAATTGGTGCATTAAACGTTTCTACATTTGACAATTACATTTTTTTGACTAAGTCGGGTGAAGGAAGGTTTCACAACACAAACAGATATTTTTTAATGAATTAACAGATATTTTTTATCAGGCTCTATGATGTTACAAAATATATCAGAGCGCAGATCCCCCTCTTGGTAGATGTCCCTGCACGCCACAAAAGTTGAGAACATTTGGCTTGGCGACAGGAATTAGTCTGCCAGTAGGGGGCGATAATTGCCGTGTGCAGTCTCAATCCCAGCGTAGCTTTTCGAATTTGGCAAATTTGGACCATGACGCCAAGCACACGACGGATCTTTAACATCTGCTCCGAGCGACGCAGACGGTGTGTAGTTAAATTTGGGTAAATACACACCGCAGTAATTACTTAGCGCGGGCCTACCAGATTCGAACTGCGGTACTTTTGCAACAAGCGGCAAACACGTGTTACTGCTGGGCCATATAAAAGTCGGTAAATTAAACGTAAACAAAGCGTCCCTCCAAAGGATCAGCACGCTGAACTCATCTACTTCGATCTAGATTTGAAGGATGTCATTCCTGACATGCAATATCCTGGAGTCTACAAACTAAGTTGCACCTGTGGTGGCTGTTACATTGGGGCAACGAAACGACATATCTCGGACCGTGTTCGCGAACACAAGGCAGATCTGAAACACGGCAGAACCAATATCTCTGCCATGGCTGACTATTGTTATAACGCTGTGGGTTCGCATGATATTGTTTTTTCCGAGACCAAGGTACTCTACAAACCTTCGGGCTACTATCAAAGGTCTGTTCATGAAGCCATCCAGATATATAAACAGACATAACTTCAACCGAGTAGATGGATACAAATTGAGCAATCATTGGAAGGATTTTATTAACCAGGTAAAACCCTAACTGCTTTATAGTGGTTGTTGTCGATCATATCTGCCGGGTACTAGTCTATTTTTTCGAGTTAACTTCCCCCCTGCATCCCCAGCTCTCTCGGCCTCCCACTCCCAGCCCCGCCCACTGCCCCCCCCCCCATCCTGACTTGCTTCTCCTGGAGTCCACGCAGCGCTCTCCCTCACCCTACCCCACACCCCTCCCTCTCCCTCCTTGCTCCTCCCCCTTTCTTGCCTATATAACCTCTTACCACGGCAACTCTCTCTCCCACTTCAGCAAAAAAAATATTGCTGTGGTTTTCCCGCCTGATAATGATTGCTTGTGTTGCAATCGAAACATCGTGATTTAATTGATTTTATACCTACGTGACTTTACCGAAAGAACCAAAGAGTATCATCTACTTTGGTCGCACCTTGTGGAAAAGGCAAAGTTGTATGTGCTTCAATGGGTTTGGTTCATCTCCTCGTTAAATAAAGGATACAAAAGCCAATACATTTGGTCTAGGTCCATGACTTGCACACTTATCAAGGAGGCTATTTGTTTTCAAGGCTTTTGTATATGTTCGACACGATTTTAAATACTGAACGTTACCGCCCCCAAGTAAACCGTTACGTGGGTGTCATGGGCACATTCTCACCCTCAATCTCGACAAGTGGCTCGTTGTGGAAGTCCTGGAAGAACGTGTGGAAAAAGTTACTGCTTGCAGCCAGAACCGCTCTGTGAGCTCGAAACTGCTGACCTGTACACACGCGCACACACGTAGGAATGCAAATCGATAATTCTCAAGTGCACCTATATACACAACAAAGACCTCCCGCATAGCCTTAATAGACTGTTGCGGCAAGTGCTGTTCGCGAGCACCTATGAAGGCCAGCAGAGAACATGAGGGGGTGGGTGGCCAACACCACGCTCGACCGCCTTTGTCTTCCCAGTGGTGATGTTTACACACCGGTACCGGGTACTTATGTGAGGTTGAGTCGACCTAGGGGAGGCACAGGACTTTTTCAGATAATCATCACTGGTGTTGGCCGTGAGTGGGAATCGAACTCGAGTCACCGGGTTTGTAGTGCAGCACACTAACCGCTACACACACAGGCATATAGGCACAGGTAAATATATGCAAGAATTAAGGTTATATAACAACCAACAAACAGGTAACCATTTTTTTTAATCACTTACAGGTTCCAAAAGTCCGGATCCCACTCAAAATGAAGCCAACATTAATTCAAATGAAGACAGCTAGACATCAAGCAGTCAAGTGACCTCTCTGTTATCCGAATCGAAGCTGCTGTCCCAGTTGGCCAAGCGCGGAAGTTGTAATCAGATCCGTTCAGATATTTTTTGGCAACGGGATTTTGACAATTAAAAAAATGCTGCAGGACCCATTGCCAGGGACATTTTCCGGCGACAGTTGCCCTAGAATTGTGATTGGGGAGTACGAGTCTCACCAGACACAATGAGAGTGATGTCTGTGAAGTGTTCGTGCTGCCGCTGCTCGTTGAGTTTGTCCAGGATGTAGCGGAAGTGCGTGGGCACCTCCTGCGCTGCCCACGCCATCTAAGGAACAATGGCCACGATTAACACGAGACAAGCTGGGGAAACTTGAGACGGCAATGTGACAGTGATTTAACACGTAGGCTTTTCTCAGCTGTTTCCTAAAATCCAGGAAGTCATCATTCTGGGTTCCTTCTGACTTCCTGGATTTTATTCTGACTTCCTGGATTTTAGGGTTGGGCGACTTTGCTGAAGATACTTCGTGTATTTCCAAGTGAAACATCATATCCAAATGATGTTTGAGAGAATTGTTCGACTTACCGGTGAGCTTAAAATACGGTACTTGGCGCGTTCAACACCTGTACACATATGACAATTTATTTGGCTGTTGGGTGGAGGAGGATCTCGCGACATAAATGTTGCTGAATCCAAAAATCTATTGCAAGTCGTCAAACGACGTTTTATTTGTACGTTGTGTTAAGCACACAAATCGCATCTCAAAATTCTATTGTAGAAAGTGCCATCCATGGAGACACAGGAAACGACAGCATGTCCTCGTTCAACACGGCACATACGTTCTTAAAAAGTTCCGTTAAGCGAAAACTATTTTCCAGTAAATAATGTAACGTATAAAGTTTGGTGAGATATGATGTACGCACACGCACGGCGAGATGGCCGGACAAATAACTGAGGCTACGCCGCCGCGTTACTGTATCATTCCGCGTACTGTATCATACAGCTCAGCCGCGCAGCTCAAGAAAGTAGTTTGTCGTCGACCGCTCAGTAACCGCACTATAATGGTGCGTCTTACAGGTTATAACGATGGGTCTTACGTGTTATCACGGTGCGTCTTACGCGTTATAACGGTGCGCGTTCTGCATTGTCGCACCTCCGACTGACACAGTTGGCTATGTACCGTGCAAAAGAAGTTCAACATACGTTGAGCGAAAAGTATTCCCCAAATGGAAGAACCGCGTTTTAGTAAAAATGCACTATAGTGTGAACACGCGTTAAGCGAGGATTTACCGCACAGCCAAGTGGAAAGTAAAGCAGCTACAGAACTTGTGGCAACAATTTCCCAAACTTTGTAGTCTTCTAATGGAAGGTTGGGCCATCTTCATTGTTTGTACATTTGGTGTGCCGGTTTTTCACAGGGACAGGAGCCCTACGCCACTCACCGTCCTCCTTCCCATGAGCCCCCCCACATTATTTTCCACACGTAGGAGATTTGTATTTTCAGCGCATGTCGTACGGAAATTAAGGTGACACCTAACGTAACGTTCCTACAGCCACTTAAAACTATTAATTCACTACTTCCGTCATGATAACCGCGACCATCGCGATAACACGATTGGAACTCGGCAGGCAGGCCTGGCCATTACTGTGGGCGTATTAACCACATAATGCTTGTCGCCATTTGCTTCAGTCCACGTTAAAGATTCCATGATGTAATTTGCAAACAGTAGGCCGTTCTGATTTAAAGCTTTCGTGACTGCAGGGATTCATATTCTTGGTTCTTTCGGTAAAGTCACGTAGAAGGGAAACAATAAAATTATAAAACAGTAAAATTCTCACGACATTTCGATTGCAACACAAGCAATCATCAGGTGTGAAAACCACAGCAAGAAAATTTGAAAAAAGTGGCGGTTTTTTTAACGTTAGCACCACGGAGAGCGATTTGGCAGTTATTGAGATGGACGAGTCCATCTATGTTCGGAAAAGAGGAGGGGGGAGACGAAAATAATGGATGCGGTCTGAAATCCACCGTAAGTGTGAACAATCAATTAAGACCCGAAATGGTTTATCAAATCCTTCCAATGATTGCTAGGCCAGAATCCATCTTCTCGGTTAAAATTGTCTCTGTGTTTGTATATGTGGATAGCCTCATGAACGAATCTCATGGTAGCCAGATGGCTTGCAAAGAACCCCTGTCTTGGAGAAGTCAATGTCATGTGAGCCTACTGAATTATAACAGTGATCTGCCACGGCCGAGGTGTTGGTCCTACCGTGTTTTAGGTCTGTTTAATGTTCACGAATGCGGTCCGAGACATGTCGTTTGGTTTCTCCAATGAAACTACTACGACAGAGGCAACTTAGTTTGTAGACGCCAGGGTACTGTATGTCCGGAATCACATCTTTTACAGACGGAACCAGATAACGGATTTTATGTAACGTGTTGAATCGGACCTGGATCTTGTGTTTATTCAAGATTTTGGAGATCTTTTTTGTGATCCCTGCAATGTAGGGTAAAGTGATGGTTTTTTGAAAGGCTCCTCAAGAGGATCCTTCGTCATGGTTGGAGTGATAACTTTGCGGATTGTGTAGTCAGAGTAACCATTAGCCTTAAGAGCTTGGTGTACGTGCTTGAGTTCACTGGCTATGTGTTCCTGGTCGGATATGCATTGGGCTCTATGGTGCAGAGTCTTGATGAGGGAATTCTTCTGGGATGGATGGTGGTGGGAATCCGGTTTCAGGTAAACATCCATATGGGTAGCTTTCCTGTAGACAGAGTGGCTCATTGAACCATCAGGTCTCTTTTTTATTAGGACATCCAAAAAAAGTAGCTTGCCATCTTTTTCGACTTCCATGGTAAATCTCATGGCTGGGTGTATGGAATTGATGTGGTCGAGGAATTGATCTAGAGCAGGCCGGCCATGTGCATGTGGCCAGATGACAAAAGTGTCATCCACGTACCTCTTCCATAAGGTTGGGCGCAGAGTGGCAGTCTGGATGGCGTCAGTCTGAAATTTCTCCATGAAAATGTTGGCTACAACCGGAGATAGGGGGGAGCCCATTGGGGTGCCCTCAGTCTGTTTGTAAAAAGTTCCATTCCAAGTGAAGTATGTATTGGTTAAGCAGTGTCTCACCAGGGGGTACCTCAGTGTTTAGTCCTTGATGAACCAAGTCTTAAATGGTTGTAGCCAACATTTTCAAGGAGAAAAAGATGGCAAGCTACCTTTTTTGGATGTCCTAATAAAAAAGAGACCTGATGGTTCAATTAGCCACTCTGTCTACAGGAAAGCTACCCATACGGATGCTTACCTGAAACCGGATTCCCACCACCATCCATCCCAGCAGAATTCCCTCATCAAGACTCTGCACCAGAGCCAAATGCAAATCCGACCAGGAACACATAGCCAGTTAACTCAAGCACGTACACCAAGCTCTTAAGGTTAATGGTGACTCCGACTACACAATCCGCAAAGCTATCACTCCAACCATGAAGAAGGACCCTCATGAGGAGCCTTTCAAAACCATCACTTTACCCTACATTGCGGGGATCACAAAAATATCTCCAAAATCTTGAATAAACACAAGATCCAGGTCGAAATTCAACACATTACATAAAATCCGTGATCTGGTTCCATCTGTAAAAGATGTGATTCCGGACATACAGTACCCTGGCGTCTACAAACTAAGTTGCCTCTGTGGTAGTAGTTACATTGGAGAAACCAAACGACATGTCTCGGACCGCATTCGTGAACATAAAGCAGACTTGAAACACGGTAGGACCAACACCTTGGCCGTGGCAGATCACTCTTATAATTCAGTAGGCTCACATGACATTGACTTCTCCAAGACAGAGGTTCTTTGCAAGCCATCTGGCTACCATGAGATTCGTTCATGAGGCTATCCACATATACAAACACAGAGACAATTTCAACCGAGAAGATGGATTCTGGCCTAGCAATCATTGGAAGGATTTGATAAACCATTTCGGGTCTTAATTGATTGTTCATGCTTACGGTGGATTTCAGACCGCACTATTATTTTCGTCTCCCCCCTCCTCTTTTCCGAACATAGATGGACTCGTCCATCTGAATAACTGCCAAATCGCTCTCGGTGGTGCTAACGTAAAAAAAACCGCCACTTGTCAAATTTTCTTGCCGTGGTTTTCACACCTGATGATGATTGCTTGTGTTGCAGTCGAAACGTCGTGGGAATTTTGTTTTATATTTTTATTATTTTGTTTCCCTTCTACGTGACTTTACCGAAAGAACCAAGATTATAGTAGGCCACTCGTGGTGAAAATTTTCCACATTCGAAAAATGACAGAGCAGATCGCTCATTTGGGATTATATGGCACTATTTTCCCCCTAATGGCAGATTCATGGCCGCTTGCAAGCCAGGTGCTGAGCCACCTTGTGACCCCAAAGACAGCTGCCACAGTGGGTCCCCACATCGATCGTCTTGAGATGAGATGCGATGACGATCGCTACGAGCGTAAAAACAACCAGACTGTCGAGTGACTCCACAACTTTGTCGAACTTGGGGCAGAATTTGCAAAAATTAATTGCGGAAAAATCTCTCCTCTCGTGACGCATCTAGTGTCTCTGCTCACCCATTTAGCACCCATGTAGTCTCCCATCTAGTCTTCTGACGTGATTTTCCATCCAGGCACCCATGCAGTCACTCCTCTAGCCACCCATGTAGTCAACCCCTTGCAGTCACCCATGCAGTTAGTCCACCAGCCACCCATTTAGTCACCCCTTCCAGTCACCCATGCACTTACTCCTCTAGCCAACTATGTAGTCACCCCTCCAGCTACCCATGTAGTCACTCCTCTAGCCACCCATGTAGTCACCCCTCTAGCCACTCATGAAGTCACCCTTCTAGCCACCCATGTTGTCACCCGTCCAGTTGTCACACGTGTAGTTAGTCACCCCTCTAGCCACCCATGTAGTCACCCCTCCAGCCACCCCTTTAGCCACCCACGTAGCCACCCCGACAGTCACCCCCAGCCACCCACGGAGTCACCCCCCAGCCACCCACGTAGCCACCCCTCCAGTCACCCCTAGCCACCCACGTAATCACCCCTCCAGTCACCCCGAGCCACCCACGTAGCCACCCCTCCAGTCACCCCTAGCCACCCATGTAGTCACCCCTCCAGTCACCCCGAGCCACCCCTCCAGTCACCCCTAGCCACCCACGTAGCCACCCCTCCAGTCACCCCTAGCCACCCACGTAGCCACCCCTCCAGTCACCCCTAGCCACCAACGTAGTCACCCCTAGCCACCCACGTAGTCACCCATAGCCACCCCTCCAGTCACCCCTAGCCACCCACGTAGCTACCCCTCCAGTCACCCCTAGCCACCCCTCCAGTCACCCCTAGCCACCCAGAGTCACCCCTAGCCACCCACAGAGTCACCCCTCCAGTGACCCCTAGCCACCCACGTAGTCACCCCTCCAGTCACCCCTAGCCATCCACGTAGCCACCCCTCCAGTCACCCCTAGCCACCCACGTAGTCACTCCTCTCGAGTCTCCCCTAGCCACCCCTCCAGTCACCCCTAGCCACCCACAGAGTCACCCCTAGCCACCCCTCCAGTCACCCCTAGCCACCCACGTAGCCACCCCTAGCCACCCACGTAGTCACCCCTCCAGTCACCCCTAGCCACCCACGTAGTCACCCCTAGCCACCCCTCCAGTCACCCCTAGCCACCCCTCCAGTCACCCCTAGCCACCCCTCCAGTCACCCCTAGCCACCCACGTAGTCACCCCTCCAGTCACCCCTAGCCACCCACGTAGTCACCCCTCTCGAGTCTCCCCTAGCCACCCACAGTCACCCCTCCAGTCACCCCTAGCCACCCACGTAGTCACCCCTCCAGTCACCCCTCTCGAGTCTCCCCTAGCCACCCCTCCAGTCACCCCTAGCCACCCACAGAGTCACCCCTAGCCACCCCTCCAGTCACCCCTAGCCACCCACGTAGCCACCCCTCCAGTCACCCCTAGCCACCCACGTAGTCACCCCTCCAGTCACCCCTAGCCACCCACGTAGTCACCCCTAGCCACCCCTCCAGTCACCCCTAGCCACCCCTCCAGTCACCCCTAGCCACCCCTCCAGTCACCCCTAGCCACCCCTCCAGTCACCCCTAGCCACCCACGTAGTCACCCCTCCAGTCACCCCTAGCCACCCACGTAGTCACCCCTCTCGAGTCTCCCCTAGCCACCCACAGTCACCCCTCCAGTCACCCCTAGCCACCCACGTAGTCACCCCTCTCGAGTCTCCCCTCGTGTCTGCGCGCCGCCTCGCACTCAATTGACGTCATCACGCCGCGCCGATTACCGCCGCGAGAGACCGCGGCGCGCGCGCGGGGGCCGCCTCCTTCCCGCCTCCTTCTCCTCACCGCTTTCTCGAGCGCGGGCGACGCGGAGAAGAGGAGGCGCGAGCGCGGACGGATTGAGAAGTTGGTGGAGGACGAGGAGCGGAGAGCGTGAGACGATAATAATGGAGGCCGCCGCGGTCCGCCTCTCCCGCGTCCCCTCTTTGTATTTCCTCGCGCGCTTGGGAGGCTTCGCGCGCGCGATTGGCCAGGCCGCGCGTCACGTGGCCCCCGCGGGCCAATCCGCGCGCGCGCTCGGCGGGCTCGGCCCTTATCCGCTCTAGGGAATGTGAAGCAGCGGCGCTCACATTCCCTAGTGTGGATAGAAGCGGCCGTTCACATTCCTTAGTGCACATAGGGTTGATGGAGGGGCGGGGGGTGGGGTGGCACGGTCACGTGTGGGCCCGCGCGCGGCAAGTTCGCGATTAGTGGCGCCAGGCGACAGCGGCGCAACGATTGTGCCAGGCTAGGTGCATCTTCGAGGCCAGGGTCCACGTCCAATACGGTCTGAAATGTTCCGTAATAAGGTAGGGCACCGATGAGGGGTTCACAGATACGCAATCGTCGTCAGGCCTGGGTGCCTGCACGACAACAGACCGCGCGAAGTTTCGCGTTCAGCTGAACCGCTGATAACGTTCGCGTACGAGGGAGACGTCAAGAGCCACAAACTTCGCTGCACCGGACGGGGTGCCTGGTCAGGGCTTGACCACCTGAACGTGCAGACATTGTGGCCGTTGCTCTGCATCTACGTAAGGCAGCCGTACGAACGAAAGAAAGATTTCCAAGCACCCTGCAGATCACCATCATCCATAACATCGGTGACCAGTTTAACACGTAGGAGGCTTTCGCGACCAATATTATTAATAATGAAGGTTTTTGGGTTGGATCGCGTTATTTATAAATGTGTCGTAACCCTCCACCACCCGACACGGCCAATCAGCAAAAAAAGTGTCACTTTGACAAAAGACAAATAGTTCACTACTTTAGCCCACCGGTGTGTTGAAGAGTGAATGCACAACATTTACAGTTTGAGTACGACGTTTCGCTGGTAATTACAATTGTCCGATATTGCTGGATGTGTTGACAGCCGCTCCCCATCGCCGTCTGAGCTCCGCCTCCTGTAAGATCAGCGGCGGCATGAGATTCTAACAGGGGTGGGCAAATTTTTTGACTCGCGGGCCACATTGGGTTCTAAAATTTGCCAGAGGGGCCGGGCCAGGAACAGATGTATGGAGTGTTTGTGTGAACTTAATATAAATGACATGTAAAAATCATTACATGAAAGGATTTGGCCTTTAACAGGTAGCAAAGCATTTATTTGCAAGGCAATTTAACAAATTGCACGAACATGAACAATACAAAAACATGTAACTCCCGGTCTAAGTGCGCCATCTAATGGGGAAATGTGGGCATTACAGGAGAAAGGTAAAATTTAATTTAATAATATTTGGACAAGTTCGGCGGGACGGATTAAAAAGCCCAACAGGCCGTATACGGCCCGGGGGCCGTACTTTGCCCATGTCTGTATCTAATAGGAGCGCGAACCCTACTGTCGACTGCGCATGCGAGGGGTCTAGGGTTTGCGCGCTCCTTAATGAGAAGTCAGAATCCTACACGGTATTTTTAGTCTTGCGCGTGGCCCGCCCACATTGTTTTATTTACTACTTCCGCACCGCGCACGTGTCTCAGTCAAAAGTTTTGGTGAGCCCACAAGCTCTAACCCCTAGTAGCCAAAATGAGTTAAAAAAACCAAACGTCGCTGGAGAGCTTCTTTGAAAAAGAGGGAAAGACCCAAATGATGAGACAGCAGAAGACTCTTAAGACTATACTCTTTGGTTCTATTCGGTAAAGTCACGTAGGTAAAATAAAACAACAAAAATCACGACGTTTTGGCCACAACACAAGCGGCCTTCATCAGGCGAAGGGACCAGACTGTCTCGAGGACAGCGCTAGAGTGAACACAGCCAAGCTCAGACCGCGACCTTTAAGCTCCAGCGCTGTCCTCGAGACAGTCTGGTCCCTTCGCCTGATGAAGGCCGCTTGTGTTGTGGCCGAAACGTGATTTTTGTTTTATTTTTTTTACCTACGTAACTTTATCGAATAGAACCAAAGAGTATGGATCCTTGCAGTCACGAAAGCTTCAAATCTAGAATACTCTTAAGATTGTCAACAAAAAGAAAGCTGCATTTAAAAGAAAATACCAAGAGTCCTACTTAAATTACGGGTTCATTGCAAAGGTGATTCACATTCTCCAAGCCCGCTTTGTATAATGTGGCGACCGGCTATCCAACGAAGCCACGAAACCTTCAAAACTGCTTCACCACATGGAGACCAAGCACCCTGCAATAAAAGATAAGCCTTTGGAGTTTTTCAAAAGAAAAAAAAAACGTGAACACGAAGAACAAGCAATTATTGAAGGCCACCACTTAATCAAATGTGTCTGCACTGAGATCATCATTCTTAGTGGCTAACCGCATTGCTAAAGCTAAGAAGCCATTTACTTTTCTAGATTTGAAGCTTTCGTGACTGCAAGGATCCATACTCTTTGGTTCTATTCGGTAAAGTCACGTAGGTAAAAATAAAATAACAAAAAATCACGACGTTTCGGCCACAACACAAGTGGCCTTCATCAGGTGAAGGGACTGGACTGTCCAGAGGACAGCGTTGGAGTGAAAACAGCAAGCCCAGGTCGTGTCCTTTAAGCTGTGTGGGAGGAAACAAAAAAACCCTTGACAAGGGAATTAGCATTAAATGATGTACTGGACCGGCACGGTTGCGGGGGGGGGGGGGGAAGTTTACATAATGTTGGTGTGAAGGGAAATAAGCTGTTGTGAAAGTTTTGAATACCACTACTTGAATAAATATACTGTACCATTGAAAATTAGTTTAATGTTCGTTCTGCCGTGTTTCAAATCTGATTTGTGCTCGCGAATTCGGTCAGAGACATGTCGTTTCGTCTCCCCGATATAGCAGTCACCACAGGTACAACTCAATTTGTAAATCCTGGGGTACTGTAAGTCAGGAACAACATCCTTCACGGATGGGATCAGGTCACGGATTTTGTGTACTGTATTGAACCGGACCAGGATCTTGTGTTTGTTTAGAATTTTGGAGATCTTTTTAGTAACGCCTGCTATATATGGTAGTGTGATGGTTTTGACCGGAGTATCAAGTGGTTGTTTCTGTCTGGAGGGAGAAACAGCTTGGCGGATGGTACGGTCAGAGTATCCGTTTCTCTTGAGGGCCAGGTGTACATGTTTTAATTCATTGGTCAGGTGGTGTTGGTCCGAAATGCAATGTGCCCTGTGGTATAACGTTTTGATGAGAGAATTCTTTTGAGCTGGGTGGTGGTGGGATTCAGGTTTCAAGTAGGAATCTGTGTGGGTGGGTTTCCTGTAGACAGAATGCCCCAGTGAGCCATCAGGTCTCCTCTCACACAGCTTAAAGGACGCGACCTGGGCTTGCTGTTTTCACTCCAACGCTGTCCTCTGGACAGTCCAGTCCCTTCACCTGATGAAGGCTACTTGTGTTGTGGCCGAAACGTCGTGATTTTTTGTTATTTTATTTTTACCTACGTGACTTTACCGAATAGAACCAAAGAGTAAGCCATTTACTATTTACCTTTACGAGTTGATCCTGATAAAAACATGTAAACCTCTGCCTTGTATTGAAAATGTGATTTAAATAGCGCAGCTTTTAGGCCCATGAATGGTTTGAGGCGCTTGTGTTTATTAGTCAATACTATAGAGTTCAGTTTCCTACTCAATTGAGCGTTGAGTCGCTGCTCATCTCCCATTCACAACCCTGAGCCAGTGGTGGAAATTCCAATCCAATGGCGTTTGCGAGTCTATCCATAAGACCACTGTTGACATAATCATTACATTTCGATTTAAAGCTTTCGTGACTGCAAGGATTCATCTTCTTTGGTTCTTTCGGTAAAGTCACGTAGAATGAGAATGAAATAATAAAATAAAACAATAAAATTCTCACGACGTTTCGGCCACAACACAAGTGGCCTTCTTCAGGTGAAAGGAACAAACCTGTCGGGACGACAGAGCTTGTAGCTTGTAGCTGTGTCGTCCCGACAGTTTTGTTCCTTTCACCTGAAGAAGGCCACTTGTGTTGTGGCCGAAACGTCGTGAGAATTTTATTGTTTTATTTTATTATTTTATTCTCATTCTACGTGACTTTACCCAAAAGAACCAAAGAAGAAGATAATCATTACACACAAAGTGCTTGCCGTGATTTCCGATTCCGACCCTGATGCCTGCTGTATATTAGGAGTCGCGTGGATTTTTCTCCGAGTTCTCCGGTTTTCCCCTCCACATTAAAAAAAACAGGTGTTTCGAGTATTTGGCTGCTATACATTGCCACGTGATAAACCACTTCGTTGAGCTATCAATTGTGGCCAGGTCGCTTCTTTAAAAATAAGTATATAGCTCAGTGGCCCTTACCTGGTCAAATAAAAAATGGTTTTGTTAAGTCCATCATGTTGCGTTCTCACTGCTAATTCGCTGTTTGACTTTGTGGCGAGTGGACGGGAAGGTGAGCAACTGTTGACGGAGTCGCACGCGCACTCACACCCGAATTAAATTTACATAAGGGGCCGTCCATAAATGACGTCACGCGATTTTGGACGATTTTTGACCCCCCCCCCCTCGTCAGACGGGGTCACAAAAAGTCAGACCCCCCTCAAATATGACGTCACAAAGCTCTACCGCCCCCCCCAAAACCATATTTCCATTTTGAAAATAAACCATGCTTCAAATCGCTTTAAACTATTGTCATTGTAGTGCGTATTTAATGTGGCGCTGCACTCTGATGTTGTAGGAGTGTTGTTATAACAATTAGTGTTATAACAATTCTATATTTAAAGTTGCGGATTTTGATGTGACGTCACATTTCTTAAACCCCCCTCCCTCGTCACACATCGTCACAAATGTCTAACCCCCCCCCTCCCAGGTGTGTGACGTCATTTATGGACGGCCCCATATGAAATATAGGATATATTTTGCCATGACATCCCATATTCCAGTTTCTACACACATCTTGACGCACATACTTAAAACTCATTTATTAAGTAATCACCAACTTGTAACACCAAGTTTCCGAAAAAGCAACCATTACAAGTCCCCACTTTTAAATACGATGTGGTCATTAGGCTGTTTGCTAGTTATCACAAAATGTGTGTTTTTCAAATTATATTACCACGAACACCATATGTGACTCATGGTATGACTAATACCATCTCAACACAAAGCATATTGAGCAGCTCACGCCTGCCCTTTATGTCTGTCTTAATACAATGGCAACCACAAATTATTTTCACGTAAAAATAATGATAAACACATCTTCCCATCGTTCACGTGCCACATACAACATTGTAACTTCAGTGACCTAGTTAGTTTAACTGAACACGTAGGTTGCCACATTCAATATTAATTCATAATTGAGATTTGGGTGAGGCTATGTATGTCGTGTTAACTTTGGCTGTGTAAATTGTTCTTCATATTGTTTTGCTTTGTAAAATCTGTAATTGTGGAATGCTTTGACGTCAGCCGGCCAAAGTCGCCCTTAACAAATAGCTTCTTAGCTCTAAGGGCTTCACTCGATGGGAAATAAACTTCTGATTCTGATGAACTGACGCGCTAAAACGCTTGTTCACGTGGCAATTTAGATTTTTTTGCGTCGGGTGGCGGAGGGGTTTTTAGACAACAAAACTTGAAAATCATTACATGGCCTAATCCGAACATCTAACACGAGTCTAACTTTTGACTGACACCTGTAAAAATGTCAATACACTTCTGTCACGAAGGAAGTGGTGAGGCAGATTAAGCCATTCACATATTCAGGTAAAGGCACAGCCCTGTAAACGCTCACGCCACTGCTGGTGGAGACACCTCCACCACGAGAAAGTTCTAGAGAGCACCCCCGACACTCCTCGAGTAAGCACAGTATTTGGTCTACTCTTCCACGCTGATCAGACGTCTTGAAAGAGACGCACGTACCCACACTTTATCCCACCACGCGCCACATGTTGATCAATTGTGGTGAATGCGTTGAGAATGCTGAGTGGACAGAGGCTGGGGGGGGGGGGGGGGTGGATTTGAGAAACTTTCCCCAGGCTTTTAATTTCCGGGATATGGAATCGAACCTGCTGCCTTTGGATTGCAAGTCACATGATGGCCAACACCACCAGTGGTGCGTGACACTTTCTATTCATCGGATGTGTCGGGCACAGGAGAGATTAACGGCACACACTTTTACACAACTTAACCCGAAACAAAACAATGATACGAATCATTGGTCGTGAAAAACCCACGTGTTATGTATGTATATATGTCGTTTTCACAAACCAATTCCGTACCAACCTATGCCATTGAAATGCATTTGCAAATCCACTGCTGCGACCTGTCCCCACTACTTGTATTTTAACATCGGATTTTCCTTCCATTCGGGCAAACCTCCCAGCTTTTTGGCAACGTCGTCAGTGATGGGCAAACCCCACTTTTGAAAAAAGGGGACCAGGTTCTTGTTGACTTGCTTCGAGAATGTCTCTGCCCACAGATTCATCTTTCCTTTGTTGTCCAACCCTTTGGTATTGATGCGTTGATATGCAGCGAAGATCTTCATGAATGCTTCCCACCCGAATGCCTCCTGCAACTATAATCAAGAAAGAGGGGCGACGAGAAAAAAGAGAGAGCACACAAAGGGTTAGCAAACGGCAACACTCTTGGCCATCAGGGCCATACATTCTAATTTGTAACGTACGCAGTATTCATTCACTCTCACTTTCGGGAGATCGTTTTCTTCAAGGACCGGGAAACCTCAGACAAGCGGGAACACAGCCAGAACTGGCCCCAACATTGCTCAAGCTCTGCCATCCTGCACTGGTAAGCTTGACCAGCTCCACCAACGTGTGTTTATACGTGTGAGAAAAAAAAAACCCAAAGCAGTTCCGTGGACCAGTCGTGGATTTCAGGATCTCCACCTCCCGCGGATTACGGGAGCGGTTGCAAACCGCGGGCACGCCGCAAACTCTTAGGGTTTGTAGATCACCAGGAGCACAGCTTATACTGGTAGGAACCTCTGGTTAGACCAGCCCACAGGGGATTATTGTGTCCGTCCGTCGTGCATCCAAAAATTGTAGGGGTGGGGTTTGGTGGAGAGGGGAGGGTGGGGAGGGGCTGGGTAGGGAAGGAGGGGCTGGGTGGGAGGGGCTGGGTGGGGAGAGGGAGGGTGGGGAGGGGCTGGGTGGGGAGAATGGGTAGGGGTTGGGTGGGGAGGGGAGGGCTGAGTGGGGGGGGGGGCTGGGTGGGGAGGGGGGGCTGGGTGGGGAGGGTGGGTAGGGAGGGGCTGGTCACTCCGTGGTACCCTTATAAAACTCAACGTTTAACCTACTCACGCTGACTTGTGCCCGCCCTCACAGTCGGGCATATTGTGCGGAATACACCACGTGGTGCCGCCGTTGACCCTGGCCATTGACCGAGCAACCCAACGTTCCTACCAGCTCCCTCCGCAGGAATGCGTTTGGAGTTCTGCTGCGCTTGCGTTGGAGACCCCGGCAAGAGTGCACGGTAATTGTGCTCCAGGTGCAGTTCCGCAATTGTGCTTGCTCACGCCACTACCGGAGGAAGGGCTGTCACTGGAGGGAGCTCTGGTGAACACCCTGGAACATGTTTGGCCTATTCCTTCCACGCTGGCCAGACGTCTCGCAAGTGGTGTGGAGCGCCCGCACTTTGGACCCATCGCACGCGACCCGTCGATCGACCCGTGAGGTCGCGCGTCACATACCGCTGGGCGCACGGAAACGGAGGGATTTAAGGGAACTCGCCCAATTCTCTCAACCGCTGTGTCCGGGAGACAGCGAATCGAGCGAGCGCAATGTGCCAACCGCTCGCCGCGCCACCCGTTGGCAGCTGCCCTCGATGCCATCGCGTACCTGGAGGTAAGTCTCCAGACACGTCCACACGGACCACGTGGCCAGCTTGGATCCCTTCTTGAGGTGGTCCTTGATGCGCTGGACCCGTTTGGCGGGCTGCAGCGCCGAGTGTGCCTTTTCCCGCGCGATGCCCAGCACCGTCTCGTGCACGTACGTGGACCACAGGTTGGCGGTGGCCTCCGTGGTGTGCGGCGGGAACTCCCAGGCCGCCCGCTGCTGGTTGTGGCCCAGCTCGTGAATCGACGCCCACATGCCCCTGATCATGCACTTCTCGTCAATGATGCCCTTTGTGCACGACACTTGCAGCATGATGGGATATCCCGAATGCATCAAACCTGTGAAATAGTGGTTGCGTTTACAAATGGTGACAGTATTTTTGTTGTTGATGCTGCTGCTGCTGCTGCCGTGTTGGGCAGTCGTGCACAAGCACAATTAACAAAAATAACTCAATACATTAATCAACGACACAGGCCTTAAAAAATATAATAGGCGACGTTTTAGGAAGTTCCCCTTGTTCATAACACAAATAAAGAGGCCAGATAGATGAATTAAGCATATAAAACATCTGACTGCAATTTTTTTAAATAGACATGAATTGTTAGCTAATAGTTGTTATTGGGTAACAACTCCTTTAATCATAAAAAACAATCCTAAATTAAACTAATATATTAAAAAGTACAATTAAGTGCTGCTGGCACATTGCATTGTGGGAATATTTGTTCTGATGAGGACAAGGCACTATCCACGCGGCAGTGCATTCCTGGGCCCAATCACCATCTTAATAAATATATTATTATTTACTTGTCCTGCGTTCTTGAGGCAGAGACGTCGAAGAAAAAAATGCGGAGTAAAACTATGATACTAAAATAAATTACATGATACTTAAAAGGCATTAGATGTGTCTAGCATTCAATAATAATGTTTTAAGTGAAGGTGAGACTATCATTCAATCCTGCCGACCGAATGGCATTCAGACACAGAGACACAGAGAGAAAGACAGAAAGACGCACGCAAACAGAAATACGATGACACGCGAGTGTTCAAAGCACGTTGTGGCTGCGCGTGCTTTAAACGGATGCACGTTGTAAAGCATTGCATTGGTATTACCTATAACAATCTGGACATCGGCCACAAATCTCTCTGGTCTTGAGAATGGAAATGGGGTGGCAGACAAGGTGGAAACGGCTTGCATGATATTATTCCACAGCTTCATCAGACTCTCAGGGTTGTTCACCATCCGCGCATCGGTGGACGGGATGGTGAGGATGACGTTTTCGTTTTCAAACTCAGACCAGGGCGCCGGGTAGTGACGGATTGTCTGCTGCCAATCTGCCACGCCGGTCTTGCCTGCGAGAAAGCGCACACACACACACACGTGCGCTGAGTGACGTCGCCTCGTCGTGCAGCCTGGATCAGCCGACATAGCCAAACCCATTCAATCGCGACGGGGCCTGTGATGAAACAGTCATGATAGTAATACTAATTGGCGGGTTAAACGTGGTGTTCGTGGCTTTTGAAAGCGCAGTTTGTTGCTGGCCGCTTATAAACTGTAAACTTAGAAACAAATTACAAGGTAAGGCCCACTGAGCTATATAGCTGGTTTTCAGAGTGGCTCATCACGTGGGCATCTATAGCAGCCAAATACTTTCAACGCGTGTCTTAATTCTAAATGTGGAGGGGAAAACCGGAGGACTTCCGGAGAAAAATCCACTCGACCAGGGAGAGAATATGTAAACTCCAGATATACAGGCGTCAGGGTCGGTAATCGAACCCACGACCTCCTGCACACCAGGCGAGGTAGTTAACATCTCGCCACCGTGTTTGCTCCATGATGCAAGTCTCCAATTCTTATTATCCACTCTGGCTCTCTTGACTCTCTTAGTTGCTGTAACAAAGAGGCTTTGCCTTTAATCAAGTCTCATATTAGTTGGGTCTTTCGGCAAAGTCACGTAGATATGTTCTAAAAATAAACGATGACGTTTCGATCGCAACACAAGCGTTGAGGCAGACTGTTTTAAAGAATTTTCCTTTAAAACCTTAAAAAAATAACTTTAAAACAGTTCTGCCTCAGCAGCTGTCTCCCTCTTGATTCTTCCTGATGACGACCGCGCGTGTTGCGATCGAAACGTCGTAGTTTTTGTTGTTGTTATTTTTTGTTAATTTCTTTGAACCTGTCTACGTGACTTTATACAAAAGACCCAAAGAATATAAATTCCCGCAGTCACGAAAGCTTTAAGTCAAGGTTCAATCCTCATATATACACATCTCTGGGCCTGTGCTCGGCAACTGTGTTACACGTGGGGGGTGCTGGGGGTGGAAGCGAAGGGGTGGGAGGGAGTGGATAGAGAGAGAGGGGGGGGAGTGGGAGGGGTGTGGGGGAGTGGATAGAGAGGGGGGGAGCGGGGAGTGGAGGGGGGTGGAGCGGGAAGGGTGGGAGGGAGTGGATGGAGATGGGGGGGGGGCGACCTCACCTAGCTGGAACCAGGGAGCCTGCACTGCCCCGTCCACAACGACGTCCACCGCTCCCAGTTTGCTTTGCTTGGGCACGACCACGTAGATGAGCCCCCCCCAGCACGAGCCGACCTCCAGCGTCTCCTCCTGCACCGCGAACCTGCGGGTGATGGCCGGGTGGCGGAGGACGGGCTCCTTCTTGCCAAAGAGCACGTCGGTGTGCGAGCCGATCTGGATCTGGGCAGGTGAGAGGGAGCGTCAGCGGGCCAGCGGGAGACGAAAAGGGCCGAACCACCTCTGAAGCAAGGCTACTTGCGACATGGGGTGACCTTTCTTGCCAGTATCAAAATATAACAAGAGGTTTCTACAATGTCTGGCAATAAAACAGGTGTGTTGAGACGTTAAATCACCAATGATAATCTTTTTTTCAAGGAATCCTGTCTGGATTAAAGGACGCGACCTGGGCTTGGCTGTCTTCACTCCAATGCTGTCCTCTGGACAGTCCAGTCCCTTCACCTGATGAAGGCCACTTGTGTTGTGGCCGAAACGTCGTGATTTTTTGTTATTTTATTTTTACCTACGTGACTTTACCGAATAGAACCAAAGAGTATGGATCCTTGCAGTCACTAAAGCTTCAAATCTAGAATTGAATCCTGTCTGCATTTACCACATGTACTTTTGGTGAACTTGCAAACAAAAAAAACATGCTCTGACACTGACAATGCGTATACTATCAGAGCATGTTTTTTTGTTTGCATGTTCACCACAAGTACGTGTGGTTAATGCAGACAGGATTCCTTGAAAAATTATCATGTTTGGTTGTTTTAACATCTTAACACCTGTTTTATTGCCAGAAAGGGTAAACCCTATTGTTATATAATGCTACTACGACTAACTACTACCTTTTAAAATTTTACCCAGGTAAGGCCCGCTGAGCTGCGTAGCTCTTTGTCAGAAGCGACCTGGCCACTGATGATAAGGAAGTGGCTTATCAGCGCGTGTATTTTTTTGTTTAGCAGCCAAATCCTCTAAAACGCGTGATGTTGATTCTACACGTGGAGGGGAAAAACCGGAGGACCCGGAGAAAAATCCACGCGGGAGAGAGACAGAGAGACAGAGACACGCACGCACGCCAACTCCAAATACACAGCAGCAGCAGGCATCGCCAGGGTCGGGATCGAACCCATGACCTCCTGCATACCGGGCGAGGTAGTTAACATCTCCTAGCCACCGCGGCGCCGGCGTTACGCATGCAACACGCGAAGAGCGCGGGCGCCAACGCACGGCTCGCTCGCCCGAGGTGGTTCGTGCGGCAACACCTGCAGGCCGCCCTTGACGTGGGCTTTGGGCACCGTGATGCGGACCGTCTCGGATGGAGGCGCGTAGAGCCCGGTGCTCCTCCAGCACTCGCTTTCTGTAGCGCACGCACAGGCAAAAGGTCGCTGTCACGTGTCGCCTTCTCGCCCTCTGTGGTCTCAATCTTCGCTGTCTCTCTCTCTCTCTCTCTGGTCTTTCTTCTCCTTGCACTCAATCTGCGCTTTCGCTCTTTAACTCTTCTCGCACTGGAACGAACTCCTCATCTCCCCGCAATACTTTGAGCAGGAACCTTCGCTCACCAAGTTTCCGCTCCGTACTCAAAACTCACTTCTTTTTACCCCTAGCTCACCCCACGACCCCCCCTTAATCTCTCCATTGTAACCGCCACCGTTAGTTTTCCCCTCTTCGTATTCTCTTTACATGGCTTTCACTAATTTCTCATTCATTTATTCAATCCATTCATCATCATTTCACCGAATTCACTCATCACAGATTTACCCCCCCCCATTGTTTCCTCTAACCCATTTCACTCACCACATTTCCACCATTACATGAATATGTACCAAGGCGCTATGTCAATAATTTTAAGATAAGATGTAGCCTTAACAAACTGTTGGGGCAAGTGCTGTTAGCGAGTTCAACCTATAAAGGCCGGCACGCCAAACGAGGTTGGTGACGTGGCAAGTACTACGCCCGGCCACCTTTGCCTCCCTAGTTGGCGATGTTTACACACCGCACCAAGTACTCATTTGAGGCTGAGTCGACTTAGAGGAGGCCCAGGACGGGTTCAGACAATCGTCACTGGTGTTGACCGTGAGGGGGAATCGAACCCGGGTCGCCGCGTTGGTAGCACGTGCACGCGCACGCACGCGCACGAGAACATGCGAGAGAATTGGATATGGGCGGTGACGCAGCACGGCAGTAGTGGCATTCGCCGCTTGTGTGCAGAGGTTCGCGGTTTCTTGAACCTGAAAGGCCGCCCTGGTTAATACTGCGGTGGTGCATGCTGTATTTACTCGTAAAAAAATCTGCTTCACCCCCGCGGTGGGCGTTAAAGATCCCGTGACGTCACGGTCCAATCTTGCAAAATGTAAAAAATTGCACGGCAAATTACTTAATCGGGAACACACAGAGCGATAATCGCCTCCTACTGGCAGACTGATGCCCCCTTGTAGGCCGGTGTTGAGTCACCTTGTTCTGTGCAGTGTCAGCTGTCAGTGGGGGTGCCCTTTCGAATGTGTTGAGATGAGATGTGACACAAGTCACTTGCTCTCTGCAAAGCGCTCTGATATCCCGACGTGAAGAAGGGCAGCTCTTTCCAACACAACTAATAAAACGGATGTTGATGTGGGTGTTCTTACCATGATTATTCCCATCAATTGTGACTTGCATCAAACCTAGAAAGGCAAAACAATGCATTAATACACACATTTTAAACATTGGACTCTACCACGTCACAGGCGCTTAAATTCACTTGCCAAAGCCACTGAATTATCAATGCAGGAAACACCCTCGATTAAAGGCGCGCCCGAGTTTTGTATCGAAAAGCCACGTGGTGCAATTCATGGGAAATGCAGGCCATGTGTCCCCGAAGCAAGTGATGAATGGGATAATTGTATCGGAACCATTCAACATCTTCTTTTATAAATCTTTCTGGATCTGGGTGAAAAAAATGTAAGTTCCAATCTTTTGTCCCGTCCCCACCCTGCAATTTTTTGGGTGGCTCAATATTTTTCATTTTAAAAAATGTGTTTAGTTATAAACATGGTGAAGTTGCAGCGATGCATCTCGCTTGCTTTTCTCACGCCACTGCTGGCGGGGACCTCTAAAGGGTACGGGTAATTTGGCCTTCTCTTCCACGGTGAACAGATGTCTTGGTTAAGGTGTCCATGCCGACAGGCGAACCTGTTGATCGACTTACCGTGGTGTACCCATTCATACGGCTGGGTGGAAAGAGACCCCAACTTGGCCCAGTGGTCGTTATGTGCCGGCGTTAAGGCTCAAACATTTGTCAAGTTGGAAAAATGACACCGCAAAATTAATAGTGATTGATCATATACACATAGCAGAAATCATCGACACCCCCCCTACTGGCAGATTCATGCCCGCTTGCAGGCCAGGCGCTGAGTTACCTTGTGTCACACAGGGAAAGCTGCCACTGGGAGTGCCCTTTAAAAAAGGTGTGTTGAGATGGGATGTGATGTAAGCTATCATTTGTGGGCAGGTCGCTTCTGAAGAAGAGCTATATAGCTCAGTGGGCCTTACCATGGTTTCGCTTTTATTTTAGTTTAACATATAATTATAAAGCCGGTGCCTGTCTCATACACTGATCTGCATGGGCACTTAGGAGCTCACGGGGTAGGATAGGGAGACACGCTGATGGAAGGGAATTCCAATTGAGCGTCACGCTTTGTAATTGGCCAGAGAGGACGCGTTTACCTTTTGCGGCGGTTTTCTGTATGGGCATCCCAGGGAACTTTTGGCCCAGGTTTGGCATATTTTTCTCCACCTTTGCACCGTTTCTGTAGATGGCGTTCGCGAGGGCCATCAGGAATCCATCGGTGGACTTGAGCTGTACGGGAGCATCGTGGCCAACGGGTGGCAGCTTCGAGCACGTGACGATCTGCCGGCCGACTTGCTGGAAGGGCTTGAAGCAGGCGTCGTCGTCGTCGCCGCCGTAGAGCAGAGGCATGTAATCTTGCATCAGGCACGTCGACATTTTCTTCAGCTCCAGCGGATCTCCCGCCTGGTTGTGCACGAGATGCTTGACCAGGTGGCACGCCGCGTAGCGCACGTTGAACGGAGCGGTGCCCTCCTTGAGCGTGATGGGCGTGAACGATCCGCCGCTGATGCCAGCGCCCAGGATGCTGATCCCGAACTTGTTGACAATTTTGTTGCCCGGGTTTTCGGTCAAGACGGACTTCCCCGGGTTCTTGGAGGCCCACAACCAAGCGTGGCCGCCGATCATCAGCCCGCCACCCTCCGCGACGAACTCGTGCAGCTCCTGAGCTGGCATGTTGATGTAGGCGCCGCAGCAGAAGACGCTGAGGCCCGGACGGAAGTCGGTCGCGGCACTGGAGAAGCCCTCTTTGCCGAGCATCTCGTTCAAGCCCTTGACGCCGCTCACACCGACCTTGCCGTGCCTCTCCGCGTCGAGCCACCGCACGGCGTTCAAGATGAACGGCCTCATCGCCTCGGTGCCCATCTGCCCCTCGTGGCTGAGCACCACGACGCGGCCCTCGCCGTAGCGCGCCGCGGCGATCAGCGTGCGGTTGTTGAGGTCCACGACAACGGGGAAGGCGGTGGAGCCGTGTGCCACCAGCTGCGACGGGTTGCCCTCGACGGTGAACGCGGTGACGCCGGCCACCAGGCGCTTGTAGTCGTTGGTCCAGTGGATGTTTTGTCTGCTCCGGATGAAATAATTGATTTGTTGTCATTGTTTCTATATATATTATTTGTTTAACGCTCGTGAATGGTGGCCGTTCACTCTCTCAGAGGGAGAAAGAGAGAGAGAGAATGATGCAGAGGTGTGGGAAACGATAGTTAGCTGATAAACATTGCGGGAGTAACTGATAATCAGACATCGTCATGGTCGGGATCGAACCGATGATATCCTGCATACCAGGTGAGGTGGTTAACATCTCGCCACAGCAGCACCAGAAGGTGCCAGTCGCCAGTCACAATTTCTCACCTGAGAATAGTGGAGTTGGCAGGGATGTACTCCTTGATCTTGAACACCCCCTTGTTCCCCGTGTGCGCCATGAAGTAAACTCCCGCCACGCCGCTGATCTTGTTGGCGGGAAAGTGGCTCATGGCATCTTTCCCCTTGTTGTGGCTGCCCCAGTTCCACGCCTGGCCCCCGATCAGCAGGCCGCCTCCGCTCTTCACGAACGCCACGAGGTCACGCGACAGCTCCTCCTCCTCCTTGGTGGACGAGGAGAAGGTGGTCATGCAGTGGACCGCGTCGCTCTTGTCGGCCTTCTCGGAGACGCCGGCTTTGATGCCATTCCCGTCGAGGATCTTCTTCAGCCCCTCGAGTTTGTGGATCACGGACACGTGGCCGCGCGGCGCCCCCTGCCTCAGCCACGTGACCGCGTTGACGAGGAATTTGGCGAACTTTGGCGACTCCAGGTAACTCTCGTGGCCCAGCGCCACGAGTCGCCCCTTTCCGTAGCGCGACGCCGCGATCAGCACCTGGTGGGACCCGTTGACCACGACTGGGAACGCCTCGTCTCCCGTCAGGAGCAACTCGGAGGGAACGGCGCTCCCTTCGAAATCCAAGCTCGCGATGCCCTTCTTCAGAATCTCGTAGGCCCGTTGTTGCTCCATAGTCCTATAGCAAAAAAAAAAAGGCACGCGCGATTACGCGGCCGGGCGAACGGTACACGCGGGTCGCAATCGAGGAGTCTTGAAACGATGACAATTGGTGAAGCGGTCTGCAGTGGAACGCGGGCAATGAATTCACCGATCGGCACGCGGCGAACGAACAAACCGCAGGGTGGCCTGAGGTCACCGCGTGGTACCATTTGCAGTAGTTTCTCACTTTCAAAAAAGGCAAACGCGCAGCCCTGCATTTGTTCGCCACGCCACTGGAGGCGACTACTGCATAGAGGGCATTTGGTCTACTTTTTTTCCAGGCTGACCAGACGTCTTGAAAGAGCTGGGAGTGCCCACACTTTACCCCACCGCATGCGACTGGGGGTGTACCCATTTATATTGCCTGGTGGACACAAACTCTGGGGATTGTGCCCCATTGTGTCCACTGCCGCGCCGGGCGACAGAATCGAACCGGCGACCTCTGAGTTTGCAAGTCTAAGTGCGCTACCAATTACACCACAGTGGTGGCAACTCTCTTCGTCTCTCAGTTAACAAGGCAAACATAAAGTATAAAACTAAACTCTTTTATTTTTCCAGGTAAGCCCCACTGAGCTACACAGCTCTTTTTTCAGAAGCGACCTGGCCGCGAGTAATAGCTCAACGAAGTGTGGCTTACCACGTGGACATTTATAGCAGCAGGCAAATACTCTAAGCTCGAACATGTGGGCGTTTATTGCTGGACGTGTCGATGTGTTCGGCAAAACCGGTAACCGGGACTGTAGTCTACGCTCCTTCGATGGGGGGATAGCGACACTCCATAAACTCTCTCTCTCCTGAAGCCCTCTCGTCGTGGGCAGCGGCAGACCTCGACATTGGCATCTAGCTCCTGAATGTACGCACGTATGTATGTCGAACTTATTTCGCACCGTGCGTAGCCAACCGTGCTAATCGGTGGTGCGGGAAATAACATTGCTACAGGCAGGAATATAAACCGGTTACCGGTGGGGGTCCCCCCCCCCCAATCGGTTGCTGGAAATGTAAAATATAAACTACTTCTACAAATACATTTCATTTTATCGGGTAAGGCCCCACTGAACTATGTAGCTCTTTTTTAAGAAGCGACCTGGCGGCCACAAATGCCAGCTCAACAAAGTGGCTTATCATCATCATCATCACGTGGAAATATAGAGCAGTCAAACACTCTGAACGCGTGATGTTGATTCCAAACGAGGAGGGAAAACCCGGAGAACCCGGAGAAAAATCCACGCCACCACGGGGAGAGAGAGAGACACGCAAACCCCAAATACACAGCAGCAGACGTTAGGCTCGGGATCGAACCCACGAACCTCCTGCACACCAGGCAAAGGGTAGCTAACATCTCGCCACCGTGGCGCCCAAACAGTGCTCATGACAACCCGAGTCACGAGACAGTTACTGCAGAGTCGCGAGTTCACCTACTTGCTGCTCGTGGAATCCGCGTCTCGAGACCCCCACCGCCGCTGCCGCTGCTGCTGCTGCTGCTCGTGCTGCACCGCTCGGCGCGCTTTATAGGGCACGGTGCGACTGGCCGGGGGAGGACGGTCCCCCAGTCACACCCCTGCGTTGGGAATGACGGATGGGGTGAGGTGGGAGGCTGCTCAGGTGATGTGCCTCCCCCCTCACCTCCCCCCGGCTCTCGGCACCTGCCGCAGGGACAGGTGTCGACTGCACGGCGCGCGATTTTCTCGAGGCTCACAGCGCAGCGTTTGGAGACGCTCGCTTCCTCCACGGGTGACATCGTGACTCAAATGATGCTTCGGTGAGCATACATTTTAATGATAATGATATAAACTCGCGACCTTTGGACGTGACAGCCCGTCCGTCCGTCTTTCCCTCCCGCCTGCCAGCCAGCGGAGCCAGCCAAACTTGTTTTCGAATACACCTGTAGGGTGATGTGTGTGTGTTTTTTTTTACATTGCCACAGCGCATGTCTTCATTGTCTCAACAGCTCAAAGCGACTTGCATCACGCACCTCCGATTAGCACGGGCAACCACGTGCGGTGCGAAAGAAGTTCAACATACGTGCATCACATCTCATCGCACACATTCCAAGGTGACCCCCAGTGGCGGCTGTCCTTGTGCGTCACAAGGTGGCACAGCACTTGGCCTGCGAGATTTTGTCTGCCAGCAGCTGCTGCTCTCTGCTGTGGAATCCAAATTGATGATTTGCAACGTTGCCATTGCAGACGAACGTTATTGTGTTGTGTCTGTGGGTCGTCTCGCTGTATACCCCTACCAACGCTGTAATATGCAAGAGTGTACAGTGACAACACATGTCTTACATTGAGAAAGGTTATATGAGCTTGGTGGAAAAATGCGATTATGGGAAGGAATTTCAGAGTGGAGCGGTGCGAGGTAAGAAGCAGGAAGATAAGTGTTGTGACCTGCAGAGTGGTGGTAGAGGTGAGTGTGTGGGTGGGTGAGTAGTTGCACTGGTGCGTCAGTGAGTGTGCGCGTGGGTGGGTGAGTAGTTGAGTGGGTGCGTGAGTGCGTGTGTGAGTGGGTAGGTGAGCAGTTGAATGGGTGCGCGAGTGGGTGGGTGAGTAGTTGGGTGTGTGAGTAGTTGAATGGGTGAGCGAATATGATTGAGTGGGGTGAATGGTCACTCTTGTGAATTAAATTATCCTCATAGCCTTCTGAGTTCTCACTTGGATAAACAAACGTGAATGTGAGTGCGTGAGTGCGTGAGTGCCTGTGTTGTTGTGACCTGGCGACCCGGGTTCAATTCCCGCTCACTGCCAACACTGGTGACAATGATCTGAACCGGTCCTAGGCCTCCCCTAGGTCGACTCAACCACAAATGAGTAGCGAGTGCAGTGTGTAAACATCACCGCTGGGGAGACAAAGGCGACCGGGCGTGGTGCTGGCCACCCACTCCCTCGTGTGCCGTGCCGGCATTCATAGGCGCACGCTAACAGCACTTGCCCCAACAGTCTGCGAAGGCTATCTTTGTTTTTGTTTTGCTGCGGAGTCAAAGATGCTGAGAGGCCCCTGGTCTCGTGCTTGAAGACGAGGAAGATGAAACCGAGATGCAAAATGCCCCTGTTCTGTCAGAAGTTAAAATCTCTTCAACATCGTCATCAGCTCGGACCGATCCACCGCTGGATGAAGGCCTCCCAGAGCCACTTGCCACCTCTCACGATTCTGCGATGCAACGACCAATATATTTATATATATATACCGGAGGAATCCGATGAGCTATTAAGCTGTTGTATTTTTACAGATTTCCAGTCGGACGACAATCCATCGACCACCTGTCACCCGGACCGATCTCGTCGCTCAAGGCGGCTGCGAATAAACACAGCTGACATTTATGGAGAGCTAAGAAACAATTTAATTCCGTGCGCTCGATGCGACCGGGCTGACTGGCCTGACGTGCTGTGTAGATCTTCACTGCTTCTCTCGCCACGATGCACCAATGTCAATGCAATCGGTCTCACCCACAACGTGACGAGGTTAGTGAAGATTCAACCGATATTCTTCAAACCGATATATGGTGTGGAGGGTACGCCGATAGCAGAGCGTGGAACAAGAAGAAAAGAGAAGCCAAATCGGTACCAGGCGTTCCTTTTACTTTCTCTTGAACGTATCGTTATGGGGTGGAGCGGTGGCACAGTGGTTAGCGCACTTGCACTAGGCATCCAGCGACTTGAGTTGATTCCCAGTTGTGGCGAGTGGCATCCTAACTGGTCCTGGTCAAACGACCTCCACGACGAACACGGCGTGGGGAGGCTGTCATCTCGCGGTGGCTTGACAAAGGGCTGATTAATTATTATGTACTTTCGATACCCAGCGTATAGAACTTCTGGGGTGTACATTACGCACACTGATAATGACACATCTCTGGCGTTAAGCAACCGTTTGGGATTCATATTAGATCTTTTGGGCTAGCCAACGTAATTATCTGGCCACATTTGTGTCGTAAGACCATCCACCACCCGACATATTACATATTATATTTACACATGTGTACGCGTTAAACGAGCCATTTATTGTTGTTTCAGCTCACTCACCGGCAAGTTGAATGCTTATTCTCACAGCCGAATGTAGCATTTACACACGACGAGCGCTTCATCGCAGACCCAATCACCAGGACGCCGAATATTTCCCCAACCACTCCAAATGCCTTCTCACCATTCACTACCACCCGCTCTCTCGAGTGTATAACTTTGCGGCCTGCGTACACGAACGTTGTTTGTGTGTTGCCGATGCATGTATGTTGAACTTCTTTCGCACCGTACGTAGCCAAACCGTGGCAATAAATGCCAGCCTTGATGGTCTATTTTGTTTGTTGTGGTGGTGGTGTGGGGGGGGGGATTTACACTTTTGGGTCTTTAACCAAAAAGCCCTTTCCGAAGTGGCGTCCGGGAATTCGCACTTCACGCCACCAACCCCATTCTCACTGCCGCAGCCACATTCCAAGAAACCGCGCCTCGGCTGTGCCCAGCAGAAGCATCCTAATTGCCGCCTCGCACCAACCTATCGCTTCGCACGATTCGGAGACACTTGCAAAGCGCGCACATTCCGAGCCCGGCTGAGATGTAACAAGCGACAAGAACAAATGTCAGCGCGGGGTGTTAAATGTCGCGACGCAGAAATAGTACTCCGGTCGAAAAATAACGACTTTAAGGATAATTTCAGACATCGGACCCCTATTGGGCTGTGTTGCAACTTCAGTGCTTTAAGGCTGAATAATAATTAAGCACATTTGATATTCGCGACATTCCCATAGCATTTACGAAGGTGCTGCTTTGTGGTTCAGAGACTCGGCCACGACCTTCGCTTGGGGTGCATCATGTATTAAGCAGCACTGGTTCGTCGCAATGCAACACGTGCACGCACTGGATTTCGACATCAGTTGGTCTCGCCAAGCTGCGACGCGGGTCAAACATCGACACCGACAAAAGGAAACGGATGCGAAAGCCTAAAAGTGCGCAGAGGAGCGTATGGAGACCGCACACGGGGACTCCTCTACTTACGAACACTCGACGTACGAACTTTCAGAGATGCGAACAAACCTGTCCGTACGTCCTGTTGCCTGTACACCAAGAGAGGTATTTAACATCTCGCCACCGTGGTGATGATGATGAGAGAGACGCAAACTCCCAAATTTCCAACAGGCATCATCAGGGTGGGTATCGAACCCAAGACACCCTGTATAGCAGGCGAGGTAGTTAACATCTCGCAACCGTGATGATGATGATGATGAGAGAGACGCGAACTCCAAATATACAACAGGCATCATCAGGGTGGGGATCGAACACACGACCTCGTGTATAGCAGGCGAGGTAGTTAACATCTAGCCACCGCGGCGCGCTTTAATTCCCAGCGTGCATCCCTCCACGTCTTATCCGCGCACCTTTCAGTTTCCCCCCCCCCCTCTCCAAACTTTTCGTACCAACGATCGCGTTTCTGAGCCACGCGTGACAGCAGGTAGTAGCAGTAGTTAGTAGTAGCAGTTAGGGGCCGTTCATAAATGACGTCACGCGATTTTGGACGATTTTTGACCCCCCCCCTCCTCGTCACACGGCGTCATAAAAAGTCGGACCCCCCTCAAATCTGACGTCACAAAGCTCTGCCCCCCCCCCAAACCATATTTTTATTTTGAAAATAAAACATGCTTCAAATCCCTTTAAAATATTGGCATTGTAGTGCGTATTTATTGTGGCGCTGCACTCTGATGTTGTAGGAGAAAACACGTAAAAAGGCGTTGGAAAGCTTAAATTTAGCATAAAATACATTTGAAAATATTGAACGTCTAACTAAAACTGCAGATGTTCAGAATATTATATTGAAATTATCTTATAATTATAAAATATTAAAAGTAATTATGACTTAAAAAAATACTTGAAACTTTGTAGTAGAACGAAGCAAAATGGAGAGTACAATTATAACAATCATATATTCATTCCACAGAATGAAAAGCCCTGGAAGAATCATTAGAATTAAAATGTTTCATAACAATCATTAAAAAAATGTTCAAAATGTATGCTTCTCCATTCTGCAATGGAGAAGCAAATTTTTTTGATGTGCCGTCACATTTATAACCCCCCCCCCCCCTCGTCACACATCGTCACAAATGTCTGACCCCCACCCCAGGTGCGTGACGTCATTTATGGACGGCCCCTTAGTAGTATACGCACCGATTGAAAACGTTCATCGTTAGGCACATTGCTCTGTGTTATGACGTTCAGCTATAAGCAAAAAAAAAAGCAAGCACTCTTGTACGTGCACCCATGGGTGTTTTGTCTCCGCGTCGTGCTGTGGGCATTTGCACATTTTTTTTTAATTCAGGAATCACGCACGTGCTGGCGTTTCTCGATTCAGCGATTTGAGCAAAACGACGGCCACGTTCGCTGACTCCACAGACACTGACCGCAGGGCTGTGTTGCATTTTAGCAACAGGTCCCCGTGATGGCGGTGGTGGTTGGACAATGGTGATGCTCTTTCAGCAATTAACGAGTTTCGGTATAAATAGGGCGACAGTTGACAGAGTCAAACCATTCTGGATCTCCCTGTGTGCAGCATCTACTCCACCATGAAGAAGGTATGGTGCTTTACATACACCCACTGCACGTCTTCCCGCCGCGAAATATGTTCATTTCAGCTAGATAAACTATTTCGGAACGTTAGTTATATATTTGTTAAAATTGATATTCCGTTTCAAAAATTGCTAAATGTTTGTAAAATATATATAATTTAAGCTGCGTTAATATGGAGCAATTTGATACGTTTATTTATAGCTAGAGCTATCTCAATGGGCATGTCTAACGAAACTAAAACGATGAACTATTTTTTTTATTTTATTTTACCAAGTAAGGCCCACTGAGATATATTAGCTCTTTTTCAGAAGCGACCTGGCCACAAAAGATAGCTCAACGAAGTGGCTTATCGCGTGAAAAGTTTACAGCAGACAAATACTCTAAACGGGTGATGTTGATTCTAAATGTGGAGGGATAACCTGTAGAAACCGGAGAGAAATCAACGCGACCACGGGGAGAGAAACACACAAACTCCAAATGTACAGCAGGCATCAGGGTTGGGATCGAACCCATGGCCTCCTGCAGTTAGCATCTCGCCTAAAACATATCTGCCAGTTCAACAGCATTGGTTCAAGCGTTCCCGACTCAAGCTGACGAGACACTGAGTGTCGAAACTAATTGTGATTATTCACTACGTTGTTACATTTTTCATGTAGGGTTCGTAACGCTTCGCATTGTACCCTCCAGTGGCATGGGGTGAAAAGTGGGCCGGGATATTGCCCAATCCTGGACCAGCTGGGCCCTCAATAAACTTAATAAACGAACGAGTGATATATTTGTTATAGTCGATACACGCCGAAGCATTATTCCCTGTATCCAGGGCCGAATTGAAGTTCTTGTAAGGCCCTAGGCACTTCTGTTTCGTGGGCCTTCAGTGTAAATGTCTCCAACTGGAGACCAGTTGGTACTGCTGCCACCCCATGTCACTACTACCGCCGCTGCCACTCGCTTGTTCCACGCGTACCTCGTCCAGCCGCTGGACAGATGTCGTTATTGTTTAGTCTGTGCCCTAATTCTACGGGAGCGTGCTGCGTGCCGCAGATACGCAGATTTAATTGGAAACACCGTGCTTCTCCTTGCTATATATATAAAAAAAATATTCCAGAAGATATCTTGGTTACATTTTTTTTTATCGTTCAAAGCAAACTAAAAACATGGTCAAACATTTTTTTCGTAGGCCCGAAGCACAGTGCGTACTGTGGGCCTATTAGATAATACGGCCATGCTGGCTGTAACTGTAATCAGGGCGGCCTGCGCGATTTCAACCGCGAAAACTTCCGCCACAGGCTGGGAGGGAGGAACGTCCTCCTCGCATTGCGCGCCAGCGCCGCGCGTCACAGCCACCGTTGTCCAGACGCGCGCGGATCTTCTCGCGTGTACGCCCGCAGATCGTCTTTTTCGAGGAGCGAGGCTTCCAAGGCCGCCGCTATGAATGCATCCAGGACTGTCCCACCATGAGCATGCACATGACGAGATGCAACTCGATCCGAGTGGAGGGAGGCGCCTGGGTGCTGTTCGAGCGACCGGACTACAATGGTAGCATGTACATCTTGGAGCAGGGCGAATATTCCGACTCCCAGCGCATGACGGGCCAATGTGAGCGGATCGGATCCTGCAGGGCAATCCGTGGCGTAAGTTATGGGCAACCCCGCCCGTGTGCGTAGTCGTGCGTTGTCATAAGCTGTTCGGTGTTGACTTGCCTCGACTTTTACTCCAAAATCTCTGCCGACCCTCGCTGTGCCTCGCTCGCCCTGCGCCCACTCACGCTCTCGATCCTTTTCCCGTCTAGCTTTCCCTTCACTGGAACAAACTCCCACTGCACTCACCTGCTTCCGTTCCTCCCGACAGTACAACAGCGCTCGCAACCGGCTGAAGCTCTACCAGCAGGATGACTTTGGAGGCCAGGAGGTGGAGCTCACCGACGACTGCTCGAACCTGCCGGACCGCTACCGGCAGCGCGAGGTGCGCTCCATGCGCATCTTGGACGGCGCCTGGGTGGCCTACGAGGAGCCCAACTACCACGGGCGCCAGTACCTGCTCGAGCAGGGCGAGTACCGCAGGTGCAGCGACTGGGGCGCCTCCAGCCCCGTGATTCAGTCTATCCGCGGCGTCAAGAGATACTGAAGTCGCGCGGCGTGCATTCGTCTCGGGCTCCGAGTTTTCCCGTGTGCGCGCGACGAAGCTGTGAACGCAACGTTTCGCGGAAATAAATGAACCTGAATTGCATTTTGCGTCTCGGTTTAATCTTCTTAATGCACGAGCCCATGGGCTTCTCAACCTGTTTCATATTGGAGCAAGACAAAAACAAAGATAGCCTTAACAGACTGTTGGGGCAAGTGCTGTTCACGAGCGCCTATGAAGGCCGGCACGGCACCACGAGGGGGTGGGTGGCCAGCACCACGCCCGCTCGCCTTTGTCTCCCCATTGGCGATGTTTACACACCGCACCAGATACTCATTTGAGGCTGAGTCGACCTAGGAGAAGCCCTGGACCGGTTAAAATAATCGTCACCGGTGTTGGCCGTGAGCGGGAATCGAACCCGGGTAATCGGGTTCGTAGCGCAGCGCGCTAACCGCTACACTACCGCTCCCCGCTACAACAATACACGCACACACACACTCGAGCTTACTCGATATTCGCGGCTACACCGAACCAGTACATCAGTGGGCCTGTGTGGATGGATGGGAATACATTGTGGCTGATAGGGAATGCACTGTTCAATGCTGACACAATACTGATCTCGCCGAGGACAAGGCAATAAAGTGGCGCTGTCGAGGTCCGTGAAAAGAATTCGCCCAACTGCGTGCGTGTATTCGTGTCCGTGTCTTTGTGTGTCCGTGTGTGTCTCCATGTCTCTGCGTCTGTTGGCCCAACTACGCATGCACGACCGAGTGGGTTGGGAGGGCCGGTGGTGGTGGCTGACGGCTTTCTCTGCTGCAGCACTGCGCCAGGGTGAACAATGGAGAGGGAAGGGCTGGAGATGGGGAGTTTGGGGGCTTGAGGTGTCGTTCCTTCCTATAATTCCGACAGTTCCGTGGCACACCTGGGATTTCCCCACGGCACACTTGGAATTTTCCCACGGCACACTTGGGATCTTGCCACGGTATACCTGTGATTTTTCCACGGGCACACCTGGGATTTTGCCACAGCACACCTGGGATTTTGCCACGGCACACCTGGGATTTTGCCACGGCACACCTGAGATTGTGTCACGGACACACCTAGGATTTTGCCACAGCATACCTGAGGGTTTCCCACTGCACACCTGGGATTTTGAATGAATCGGGAGCACGCGCGAATGAATTGGGAGCACGTGTGAATGAATAAGTCGGAGCACGTGTGAATGAATACATCGGAGCACGTATGAATGAAACGGTAGCGCGCACGAATGAATCTGGAGCACGCGCGAATGAATGAAAGGGGAGCACGCGTGAATGAATGAACGGCAGCACGCGTGAATGAATGAATCTGGAGCACGCGTGAATGAATGAAACGGGAGCACGCGTGAATGAATGAACGGCAGCACGCGTGAATGAATGAATCTGGAGCACGCGTGAATGAATGAACGGCAGCACGCGTGAATGAATGAAACGGGAGCACGCGTGAATGAATGAATCTGGAGCACGCGTGAATGAATGAAACGGGAGCACGCGTGAATGAATGAACGGCAACACGCGTGAATGAATGAATCTGGAGCACGCGTGAATGAATGAAACGGGAGCACGCGTGAATGAATGAACGGCAGCACGCGTGAATGAATGAATCTGGAGCACGCGTGAATGAATTAAACTGGAGCACGCGTGAATTAATGAAACGGGAGCACGCGTGAATGAATGAATCTGGAGCACGCGTGAATGAATGAAACGGGAGCACGCGTGAATGAATGAAACGGGAGCACGCGTGAATGAATGAATCTGGAGCACGCGCGAATGAATGAAACGGGAGCACGCGTGAATGAATGAATCTGGAGCACGCACTCGCGTGGTCGCGGGGGACGCCGTCGTCCCGCCCCCTCCGGCTACGTCACGCGCGCCCGCGGTTTTGCAATCGCGCGGTGCCCGCCTCGGCCACCGTTCATGACGTCACGCGGCAGTCACCACGCCAGGCGCCGTGGTCGTGGTGGCTGAGGCGCCCTCTCTGTGTCTGTCTGTGCCGCACTTGAACTTCTTTCGCGTCCTGCGTAGCCAACAAGGTCGCGGCGGGGCTCTGCTGATTGACGGCAGCAGCAGCAGCAGAAGAAGAAGAAGAAGGCCATCGCGCGCGTTCGTTCGGAAACCCCTGAGCCGAATGTCGTGGGAGCGCGGGGGCGGCCGCGTGCCCGTGCTGGACGTGCACGCGGGGAACGCGGCCGCGTGCTGGGACTGCGCGCGCCGCGCAGTGCGCGCCGCCTCCTTCATCGCCATGGACGCGGTGAGGCGAGGTGGGGGGCGGCGAGGTGGGGGGCGGCGAGGTGGGGGGGCAAGGTAGGGGGGGAAAGGTGGGGGGGTGAGGCGAGGTGGGGGGCAAGGTGGGGGGAGGCGAGGTGGGGGGGGCAAGGTGGGGGGGCAAGGTGGGGGGGGTGAGGCGAGGTTGGGGGGCAAGGTGGGGGGGTGAGGCGAGGTGGGGGGCAAGGTGTGGGGGGCAAGGTGGGGGGGCAAGGTGTGGGGGGCAAGGTGGGGGGGCAAGGTGTGGGGGGCAAGGTGGGGGGGGGGGTGAGGCGAGGTGGGGGGCGGCGAGGTGGGGGGGCAAGGTAGGGGGGGAAAGGTGGGGGGGTGAGGCGAGGTGGGGGGCAAGGTGGGGGGAGGCGAGGTGGGGGGGGCAAGGTGGGGGGGCAAGGTGGGGGGGGTGAGGCGAGGTGGGGGGCGGCGAGGTTGGGGGGCAAGGTGGGGGGGTGAGGCGAGGTGGGGGGCAAGGTGTGGGGGGCAAGGTGGGGGGGCAAGGTGTGGGGGGCAAGGTGGGGGGGCAAGGTGTGGGGGGCAAGGTGGGGGGGGGGTGAGGCGAGGTGGGGGGCGGCGAGGTGGGGGGGCAAGGTAGGGGGGGAAAGGTGGGGGGGTGAGGCGAGGTGGGGGGCAAGGTGGGGGGAGGCGAGGTGGGGGGGGCAAGGTGGGGGGGCAAGGTGGGGGGGGTGAGGCGAGGTGGGGGGCGGCGAGGTTGGGGGGCAAGGTGGGGGGGTGAGGCGAGGTGGGGGGCAAGGTGTGGGGGGCAAGGTGGGGGGGCAAGGTGTGGGGGGCAAGGTGGGGGGGCAAGGTGTGGGGGGCAAGGTGGGGGGGGGGGTGAGGCGAGGTGGGGGGCGGCGAGGTGGGGGGGGCAAGGTGGGGGGCGGCGAGGTGGGGGAGGCAAGGTGGGGGGGTTGATGCGAGGTTGGGGGGGGGGGGTGAGGCGTGCGGGGGGTCGGCGCACGGTGAGTGGGATGCGCGACCATGATCGATCCACTGCTGGGTGAAGGCCTCCCCTAGCCAGCGCCTCTCGCGATCCTGCGAGGCCACGAGGCGCACTGCGAACTGTGAGCCAGCGCTGTGGAGGAGGCAGCGGCGAGTGTTTGTGGGCCACCGACACGCGCACGTGTTGCGAGGAGGAGCCGTATTCCCCTGGCTCGCCAGCAGGTGGTACAGCGAAGTGTGGACTAATCTCCATCTGTTACGTCTGTATGGGATAGAGCGTTGCCCCCTCGCGCGCGTGGCTTTCCTTCCACGTGTTGTCTAATGCTCATCATGATTGGACTGAAAAATGTCACCTTAAAATATTATAACCCAAATATAGCAGCAGGAGCAGCAGCCTCCTGAAAATTAGTCTTTGGACTCAGTGCGGCCTTACTGGATGTACAGTACTGTATAGGTATTGATTATTGTTACTATTTTGCACTTGCACAAGAGTCTATTCCATCGCTCCATGTGTGGTTGATGCAAACTTTATGCCTTGTAATTTGCGACTGTTTAGGTGTTTGGACATCTTAACGCCTGTATTTATGCCAGAAAGGGCAAATTATGCCTTTTATTTTTTTGATCGTCTTAATACTGGCCAAAAAAGGGTCCCGTAGATAAGTGACACGTTATGGTTTGGCTCGTTCAATAGCAGGGTTGATGTGTGACCTCGTGTGCGCGCGTGTGTTTTGTATTTACGCAGGAAATGAGTGGTCTGGGTAACAGAAGAGCATTACTTGCCCAGTAAGTGTTCAAACACAAGGACCATCCTCAATACGCAACCATCACGCTGAATACAATCGTCCGTACCATGCTTGACACGCACAAATTATATTCGTCACAGAATCAGAAGTTTATTTTCTGAGTAAAGCGCATTAAGCTAAGAAGATCTTTTTCAAAAGCGACTTGGCTGACAGACGACGCATTAGTATTAGTTGCCATGTGCCACAGCATACATCCTGGAATAGCTTCCAAAACCCGCTCATTCTGTTATCTGCTTCACTGTGAAATTCCCCATTGTAAGATCGCAAACCAAGCAAAAAAAATAACACGGAGGCTTTCGTGACCAATACTATTCATAATAAACGTTTTTGGGTTAGATCGCGTTATTTATAAATCTGTCGTAACCCTCCACGCCTCGACACGGCCAATCATTACTAATCATAACCATTGACTGGATTACCAATCGATTATATAATTACAATACCCCCCTCCGCCTCAAATCACTGCACCTGAATGAGTTGAATGATGACGTCACCCTGCTGCTCTATTTAAGACCGGGAGCAAGTGGGAGGGCTTCGCCATTCTGGCGAATTGCCCGATGATGCTGGATGTAATTGCCAGCGAAACGTCGTACTACTCAAAAATGTTTTGTAAATGTTGTGGATTTACTCTTCAACACACCGGTGGGCTAAAGTAGTGAACTATTTGCCCGTTGTCAACGTGACACTTTTGTTGCTGATTGGCCGTGTCGGGCGGTGGAGGGTTACGACGCATTTATAAATAACGTGATCTAACCCAAAAAACGTTTATTATCAAGCAAATGTATTTTCTAAAAATATAAATCTGCTGAAAATCTTGGCAGTGTGAACCCGATGGGCTACTATATTCAGCAAGCCCCGTTCCTGTCATCTTACGCACCCTACCGGCGTTGTTAAGTTTCCACCAACTTTGTTGTCTTGGATCGAGAATATTGATATTTGAATGCAAGTTGTGGGTGTGCCTCCAGGTCAATAGAAGAGCGCTACATCGCGATTCGTAATGCAGCGAGGACACGCTCCCTGCTGTCCATCGGCCTCGCCTGCTTCCGCCTCCTTCCTGGAAAGGTTGGTTTCTGTGTGCATGCGTGTGTGTGTGTGTGTTGGGTCCTATGTGAGAAGGCCGGTTATAGCCATCGCAAGCATGCCACCATGTCAGGTGGTTTGGGATGAGCTTCTTGGTACTGTGTACACCAATGAGCCAGATGGCTTGGCGGCAGAGCGAGCGAGTTCAAATCCTGGTTGGGGGTTGACTCAGCCCATCAGAGTCAAAATATGTGTTTATCCTGGAGGAATCCGATGAGCTATGAAGCCCTTCACAGATGTCCATAATCCCAGTGGAGGTCGATCCTATTAGTACCACAGTGATTGTTGTGTGGATATATCCGCCCCTGCCATAGGAACAGGGTATTTTCACCACTTGCTCAAGGCTGTTAGTACATGATGAGCGCTGATTGTATACAGTATATGCACATGTAAGTAAAAGTATTTATTATTGACATGTGAGGTTGTGTGTTTGTATTAAATTGAATCTCCTCTCTGTTTCAAAGAACAAATTTTACCTAAGGTCTTCGCTCATTTACCAGCTTCACATTCCCTATTGCCGTACAAAAACTGGAGGGAAGGGCCTTTGCTATTGATGCCCCCAGGGTCTGGAATGCTATTGCCAATAAACTGCAACTTGCATCACTACTTATGAGATCTTCACTCAAAACTGCTCTAGAGGAGTTGTACACCCCTAGCTGCCACTGCTATTCAGTGGCCTAAAATAAAATAAAATGTTTCACTCCGGATGACCGCTGCAAAGTATTATCTGTATTGTGATTTAATGTGCTGATCTTGAAGGTGCATTGAACAATGTGATACTCCGACTGATGCTCCTGTTGTTGTGGAGTGACTCATGCAGCCAGCTATGGCTCTAGGGTTTGGTGTTACATGTTATTTATGTAGTTTATTGTAAAAATTCGGTCACAGTCCCTATGATCACTGTTACATTGCATTTATGGCTTTATTTTGGTGATTTCGAAAAGTTTTTAGGTTTGGCCATTTTTGTTATAGTATGGAGTTAGACTGATGGCCTTAATCTAAGTTGTCTTGTGGTTGTTGTTGCCTTGCATCCCACTGGAATTTTTGCACACAGCGTTGGTGTACGGTGCTTTTTCAGGAATATTTTGTTGCTGTTTTTTCCTGTATTTTCTGTTTGCACAGTCACATAGTCACTTTAAGATGTTTTCTTGTTCGTGTTTTTGTTTTTTGTTTGTTGCGGTTTCACCTGATTCAAGAGCCGAATGGCTCACAGGGCTATACCAAATAAATGAAACTGAACAACTGAAACGTACTCGTTGAGGTCAGAACTCTTGACAGTGTAGGATGAAATGCACCTTGCAAATGTAGCTATATAGTTATTCTTCTTTGGTTCTTTCGGTAAAGTCACGTAGAATGAGAATAAAATAATAAATTGATAAAATAAAATAACACAATAATATTAATAACACAACAATATTATTGTGTTATTTTATTTTATCAATTTATTATTTTATTCTCATTCTACGTAAAATAACACAATAATATTATTGTGTTATTTTATTTTATCAATTTATTATTTTATTCTCATTCTACGTGACTTTACCGAAAGAACCAAAGAAGATGAATCATTGCAGTCACGAAAGCTTTAAATCGAAATGTATAGTTATTATTACTACGTCATTATGGTGTCTCAAATATGTTATTGCTTTAATGAGTAAAAACGACGCAACGTTTTGATATCTTGGTGGATGTTTTATTTTATTGAGGTACACTTTATTGAAATAATGGGCGAATTGGAATTTGTGGATATTGCAGTCTGTGCCGTGAGAGCATTGGGAGAGACATCGAAATGTAAAAATAGACATGAACCTGTGGCTGACAGGTGCCAGTGGGGGTATATGATTGCTTCACCAGAGGTGTCTCCAAAACGATGGGAAGCCACACGTTGTCGCTATCTGCCACTGATTTTTACTGGAATTTGGTGGCCATGCTGCACGTGGCCTGTAGTCCCCAGCACTGTGGAGGCAAGAGTTGTTGGATCACATGCATTCGTGAAACTCCCTCCTCGCCGTGGGCATCCAGGTCGCGACATCTCCTGGTTTGACAGGGTATGGTGGCAGTACAACAAGTGGATTAATTTCCATCTGTATGGGGATTGAGTGTTACCCCCCCCCCCCCCCCCTCACAAAGACTTGGGTTTTCTCCAGGGTACTCCAGTTTTCTCCCATCCAGTATGTATAAACTCTCGTCAACGGAGTTGGTCAAATATTCCAATGTAGGACCACAAAGCTTTGGCAATGGTTGATGCCGGTTCTGGCTACCTTCCAACTTGTTTTTGGTTCCTCATGCCTTTGAATAACTTTTTCTTTGAAGAGTGAATGAAAACGTTGCGTTACAAATTTTTAAAAATGTATGACTAATGTTTGACGTTATTTGTTTTTGTTCAGGGCTACAGCAGATATGAAGTGCAGGTTTTGAACCTCACGCTGCTTAGCACAGAGGAGTACACTGTGGAGCCACAGTCCTTAAAATTTCTGGTGGAGCACGGCTTCGACTTTAACAAGCAGTACACACAAGGCCTGCCCTACCGACCTGGCAGTGACATGGTGGGTCCTGCTTTCCAGCCTTGTAGTGTGTGTATGTGTGTGCTGTTTGCGTCTCATCTGTCCTGTTTGCAACTTGGATACGAGGTCCCTTACAGCGTAATGTGAGTGTGTGCAATTTAGACTCGGCCAAACATCCCAATATAGGACCACAGAGCTTGGAAAATAGTTGCCGCTGGTTCTGGCTGCCCTATCCTGTTACTATGCAGCAATTCCGTTGATGGCTATGTTTCGTCCTGTGCTACAATTCCTCTCTACATCTTTACTCCCGTGTGCGTGTCTGTGCGTGGGGAGCGCTAGTATAGCGCTTAGCACGCTCGCGGCCAACACCAGTGACGGCTATCTGAATCGGTCCTAGGCCTCCCCTAGGTCGACTCTGCGGAGTACCTGGTTCGGTGCGTAAACATCGCCACTGGGGAGACAAAGGCGGCCGGGCATGGTGCTGGCTACCCAACCCCTCCGTGTGCCGTGCTGGCCTTCATAGGTGCTCGCTAACAACACTTGCCCCAACAGTCTGTTAAGACTATAACGGGGGGATCTTTGTATTTGTGTGTGCCTGTAGACTGCCTCAGACAGCACAGCCCCTGGTGCTCGTGCTCTGTTCTCAGAGGTGGTGCTTGCCGAACGGCCACTGGTGCTGCACAACGGGCTCCTGGACCTGGCGTTCCTGTTCCAGGCTCTGCATACCACCCTGCCACTCACGCTACAAACCTTCATGGCCGACCTGGCCACCCTGCTTCCAGCCGGCATCTATGACACTAAGCACATTGTGGAGACAGAAACGGATATGGCAGCTTCCTTCCTGGAGTACGCCTTCCGCAAGTGGTAAGGTGTTGGGCGCATTTGTGCCTGTGTCCGTGCAATTATGTTCCCAGACGCAGGTTGGAGCAATTGAAAATTCGACCAACAAGGAATGTGAAAGGGACAATTACGACCTCAGGCATTTTGATACAACCATCTTGGATGAGCTAAAGTATGTTTGATTTGTAATTGATTTTTGGAGTAGGCTAAAATAATTTGACCACATTTTTTTGTGATACTTTACACCACCCGATATAGCCACTCACGTGATATTGTCTCTGTGTGCCCACAGTACATGGGGAGGGGTGTGTTTCTGTGTGCCCACAGTACATGGGGAGGGGTGTGTCTCTGTGCCCACAGTACACAGGGATGGATGTGTTTCTGTGTGTGCCCACAGTACGCAGAGTGATGTGTTTCTCTGAATGTTCTCACAGTACGCGGGGAGGGGTGAAGTCGGGCGTCATGGGCAGCGGTGTGCACGTGCAGTTTGGTGACGTTCCCCCATCCCTGCTGGACCACGTGGATGAGCGGCTGTGCCCCAAGCCCCGTGGCGGCCCAGATAAGAGCGAGGAGGCGATGCAGACGGAGCCTGCCATATGCGAACGATTTGCGGTAACCACTATGACCATCCCCGCTCATAATGGCACCGTGTAATAATAATATTATTTTAATGTTTGAATTTGCTCACAAACGTATTCGGTGTAATATTAAAACGAGAACGTACACGACAGTTCCCCTTATCCGGTGCAATGTGGGCAAACAATGTTCGTGGGTCCTATTTTCCGTGGGTTTAACAGCCGATTGTGGGGAAAAAAATCACAGATAATCGTGGGTAATAAAAAAAAAATCATGGGTAATTGGAAGCCCTTTCACAATGACTTTCAGCACACTTTGTGGATGACAGTTGATAATTGTAGGAATAGCTCCGTGGTTAATTGGAGTTTTCACGGATCCTACAGCTCCTTTGGATGATAGGAGTCGCAGGTTAATAGAGTCACAGATAAGAGATTTTTACTGGCAAGAAATTTACAGCTTGGCTAATATCAATGTAACCTCACGGAAAATACCAAGTTTGACAATTATAGACCCAGGAAAGTCTCACCGCTGCTACCACGGTTACTGTTCCCGTGAACTTGTTGATTCCTCCACTGATGTTGAAGACTAACAGAATATTTAATTTAATCCACACCATATTTAACCGTTGCACCGCAGGTCACAACAAAACCGCACTCATTCGCTTGCTCTCTCCCCGCACGCACTCACTCACCTCACTGTAGGTCACAACGTCTATTTTTCCATCTTCCCTCTGACTGCTCCACTCTCGAAAGCCCTCCAGTCGTATATTTTCCAAAATTCTTGCTAAATCAAGGAATGTTTTACTCTTGGCTATTACATTATTGATGGCGCTGTTTGTTGCTGGCCACTTAACCTTTGGGTCTTTTGGCTTGTGCTCGGCAACTATATTTAAAAAAGTCGAAATGTGACCTCCAACGAACATACTCTCAGTATCCCTCCATCACGTTTTAAGATCCTCCCCATGATTGCCAACCTAAATGTGTCGCTTCGAATGCCTGCCTTGGTAACTTATCCTCGATCTAATGTGTGCTTGTTTGGTTGTATCATTATAATTGTAATAATCAAGTTGTCTTTGCATTGATAAGGGCGCGTGCTTAAATGCTTCAGCAACTCAAAGCACCTTGTATCACATCTCATCCTAAACATTCAAAGGGCACCTCAAGTGGCAGCTGTCCCCTGTGCAGGACAAGGTGACTCGGCACCAGCCTACAATTGGGCATTAGTCTATCAGGAGGGGGCGTTGATTGGTCGTCTTTGTAAGAGACCTGCCTCAATCGGGCTTACCAGCTGACATAGTTTGTTGCGTGCAATCCCAGTGGAGTAATTTGTGGTATACATTTTTTTTTACATGGCAAATTTGGACCATGACGCCAGCACACGTTGGCCAACTCATCTCGAATGACGTTGGGGGACATATATAACGTCCGCGGTTAATGAAGCAGATGGTGCATCGTTTTTTTATGGTTAACACGGCTGCAGCATTAATTGGGGCGGTCTGCCAATTTGAACGGCAGACATTTAATGAGCGGTAAACGCGCTACCGCTGGGCCAATTAACTGTGCCTATTGTCTGTGGCTTCCTGGGTGTGTTCGCGTGTGCAGGGGTATGGCTGGTGCTCATTGGGAGTCAAGTGTCCACTTTCACACGACATAGAACGCATTCTGGATGACCACGAGAGGCTGGTCCAGACCAAGCGGCAACGTCGCTCACGACCCCGGAAAAAATCTCGTGCCAAAAGCGAGAAGGACGGCAGCCCCAGCAGCCAGCCCAGTGTTCTCGTTGATGACCCAGCAAATATTGCTGAAATCCCAGCCGTCCCGGACAGCCAATCCGTTGCCAAAAGAGAAACCGACCTTGGTGACGACTTGCCGTCAAAGCGACCCAAGATGAGCGAAGAACACTTGGAGACGGTGGAATTAGAGGAGCGGGTTTCCAGCCCGTTGGATGTGCCTCTCAAAATCGAGGCACCTGCCAACATTTCCAATGATGACAACGGCGATGGCGGCGAGCCAGGTGACGGGAAAGAGTCGGAGCTAAAACTGATTAATTCGGTGGTGGCAGTGGCGTCTGGGAGTCACCGGGCGGGCTTTGATGCGTTCATGACGGGGTTTGTGTTTGCCAGCGTCCTTGCCTTCCAAAACGGGGGCTCTAGCCAGTGTGGAGGCGATGTGGGCGAGCAGATTGTGCCAGACGTGACGGAGAGCTGGCTTCCGAGCTGCCGCAACAAACTGTACCTGAGTGGCAAGGCTATGCCGCTGCACGTGTACAAGAGCGCCTTCTCGAGCTCGTCCCGGGCGCATCGTGATAAGATGACACGGTTGGGAAAACACATTGAGTGAATGGCTCCTCGGTCCAACCCAATGCACGGGTATTTACGGCCAATTGTACGGTTCGTAATTGATCTCTCTGTCATGCCACAGTTATCTGGCCCAGTTTGTGTGATTCAACTTACCAGATGAGACAATAATTGGCCAGCTTGTACATACGATAATTAGTTTGGCAGTATCGTGCGGTGGAGTTTCGAAATGACACATATTTGGGCAGATCATTATATGACCTAACCCACATATCTATTACGAATCACTCCTTGGTCTGTTATGCCATTGAGTCGGTGAAAGATCTTGGTACCCTAAGGAAGTGAAAAGGAGACTGGAGGTGACCAGATGGCTTTGGTTAGCATCACTGACACTGATAGGTTCTAATCCATTCAGCCACCTGTGTTTAAACTGGGTGGGTAAGTTCTTAAGCATGTACAGCAAGGCTCAGTCCAGTCACTGATAACTGCACAAAAATGGCATTAAAATTTCTTTTCTCACTTAGGCTAAACTTCTTCCAGACTTCAAAATATTGGTTTGACTATGCTTTGAGCATCAAGTGAAAATGTGTGTCCCTAATGCTGTGGATAAAAATGTCACTCAAGGGATCTCAGAAGTACGGCAAGTCCTCGTTTAACACGGTAGATGCGTTCCTGTGAAGTGCCGTGTTAAGTGAAAAACACGTTTTAGCGAAAATAAACTCCCTATGTAACGATAAAGTTCGGCAAGATACAATGCACACGCACACATGGTCAGATGGCGGGACATAACGGAGGGTACGCCACCACATTGCTGTATCATTCCACGTATTGTATCTTACTCTCAGCTGCGCAGCTGAAGAAAGTAGCTTGTCGTCGACCACTGTGCGAAGTGTTCCATCATGGAAGAACCGTGTTATAGTGAACACGCGTTAAGCGAGGACGTACCGTGGTTACGTGATATTTTTAATTATGGGTCATTCGCGAACATGTGGGTTATGCAGTGCGCTTTAAGAGTAGGGTGTATTTTTATACTCACTTTCGACTGTCACATCTGAGCCGCGGCAGCACGGAGCTATCATGTTATGGGTAATTTTCCACTGGCTGTTTGCCGAGCCGAGCCAGAGTTACTTTGTGCTACACTGGTGAGCGTGTACTGTTTGAGTGCGTATGGTGGTAGTGTTTCGGTTAACGGACTGCACTATGAACCCGGCCACTCGAGTTCGATTCCCGCTCACGGCCAACACTAGTGACGATTATCTCAACCGGTCTTGGGCCTCGCCGAGGTCAACTCAACCTCAAACGAGTACCTAGTGCGGTGTTTAAGCATCGCTATTAGGGAGACTAAGACGGCCGGGCGTGGTGCTGGCCACCCACCCCCTTGTGTGCTGTGCCGGCCTTCGTAGGTGCTCGCTAACAGCACTTGCCCCAGCAGTCTAAAGGCTATTAGTTTGTGTACATCCATCTTCACTCGTTCAACGTGCGCGACGTCAGTGGCACAGCTTGCTTCTGCAGTGGAAAAACAACCTGCGCCTCCTGAATTGCGCAGGGTTGGCTCGGCATGGCTCTGGAATAGTTCGGATGTGCCAGTGGAAAACAGGCGTCAAGTCTCATGACATGAGGCCAATAGCAACAGTAATAATGAAATTGTGGAAAAACACCAAAAATAAAATAGGTTGTGTGTAATTTTTTTACATTGTCATAATGTTTCGACTTGCACAACGTATGAATCTTACTTGCAAATTTATGCAATGTTCACAATGCATTTCCCTGTGCCTCCATTATGCCTAGCATTGTCTCGGAGAATTTCCAGTATTCTAAAATGTTCGTATGTTTGTTAAAATAAAAAAAAAACATTTTGACTTACAAATTTGAGTTTTAGTTTTTTTGCAGAAGCTTCATTAGATTTGATGTCTCATTTATATTTTAATTAACCTCAGCCGTGGTCAATCCACCGTTGGATCTTGCACGTAGGGAGGGCATTTAATCAATGGGATCCACCAAAGCTCGCACGCACAATGCTGCACTGCAGGCCTCGTGCGGTATTTCTGGTAAGAATGGAGATTGATGAAAGTTTCTTCAACTGCAGTTCACTCAACACAGGTCTACTGCATATAGTACTTGCATATGGTGAATGAAGGCGCCCTTAAAGCTATCACCATCTCTCACGATCCCGCCATGTAACAATCCACCTATAAACTACACATGATCCAATACAATAATATCTCTATATGCGTATATTGATTAAACAAAGTTGTGGTACAACGAACGTTGACATTTTTAGCCATTATTTTACACACAAAGCTAAAAATAAAGTAAAATGCAAAATACATTGAAATTAATAAGTAATAAATTCGACAATCTGTCAGTTTCGAATTATCACGTGGTATTGCATAATGTAATTTTCACTATAAATTGTCTGTTTACAATATGGTAAGTTTCCGAAGGCTGGGAACGCATCCTCGTAATAATGTTATAAGGTGTTCAGTATACTAAGTTTAAATATACGAAGCTCTAAGAAGGCATCTACTTCGTATATCGAGGTATTATCATCTGCACTCCTCACCTCTTGGGCATTTTCCTTGCTGTGGCTGCCACTCCCATCATCAATTCCCGTGAACCAATCCTAAGTTTCTTAACAGCATGTCTTTACCGTGCGTCCTGTGATCTGTTTCACGTGTTCCTCTTTATATTTGTTTCCAAGCATGCACATTTCCATGCTTCGTGCACCTTTACGTTTTTGTTCCATTTTCTTAATGACGATGTTTGTGATCCAAATCTAAGAGCAAGTAGTCGGCAGTCGATTAAACGTGTCTTCATTAAGCACACCTTATCATCAACATTAGTCCGTAATGTATAGAATACGGTAACTGCAGAAGTCATGCAATTGTAGTCAAAGAATTGAATGCGACCCATTGGAACAAACACCGAGATGGAGTAGTGTACTGATCATGGATGCTGCTGTTGGTATCAATTGAACTGCAGTGCACGGCGCCACGTGGAAACCACGTGTGCACCACGTGAAAACCACGTGTGCGCCACCGGCCTGTGGCGTCATCATCACGAGTCGACCCAGCCCCCGCTCGTCACAATACAAGATCAAAATTACACAGCAACGTTTAACGACCGTATTTTGAAAGGGCCATGGTTACATCTGGGTCAGGATTGAAATTGGATAGCGCCAAGCGAGAGCAACATACAGTGCTTTTGGAATATAACATTTATTAAAAGGCAACATTACAAAGTAAAAGATACAGTTTTTCAATAAGTGGATATTGTGCACCCTGACAAATACAGGACGATCCATGGATAGACTAATTTTAATAACCGTCTTAACATTCTTCTCAACAGCAAATTGAACATTGCGAAAGCGATGACTCAATATCGCACAGAGTGTGAACAGATGTTACGCATGCATTGAGACTGGTGGGACACGTTTTCTCTGCAGTGTCTCCCTGATATTCAGTGAGCTAACTATAAACGGATCACCTTGTATGTTATCCAACAGCATTTAACCCCGGCCTCTGTCGACAAAACCCGCCCCAACGGCGATGTAACCTTTTACAAATGTAATCTTTAAAAATTAAGATGTTCGTTTTATTGATATATGACTGAGGTGGTTAGAAGGTGGTAGTCCAACGACGTATTATTGAATCTACCTGTGAAGCTTTCAAGTGCATTGAGACTCATGACTTAAAGTCAGCAAACATCCCATTGCAGGACTCGAACTGAAAAGTCTTGAGGCGCAGCGAAATTGCTACTGTTTCTCCAGCAGCTTGTTTCTCAAGCAACTTTTGTTTCTCAAGCTGCTTCTGTTCCTCAAGCTGCTTCTGTTCTTTAAGCTGCTTCTGTTCCTCAAGCTGCTTCTGTTCTTTAAGCTGCTTCTGTTCCTCAAGCTGCTTCTGTTCCTCGAGCTGTTTCTGTTTCTGCAGCTGCTTCTGTTGCTCAAGCTGCTTCTGTTCCTCGAGCTGCTTCTGTTCCTCGAGCTGCTTCTGTTCCTCGAGCTGCTTCTGTTCCTCGAGCTGCTTCTGTTTCTCAAGCTGCTTCTGTTTCTCAAGCTGCTTCTGTTTCTCAAGCTGCTTCTGTTTCTCAAGCTGCTTCTGTTCCTCAAGCTGCTTCTGTTCCTCGAGCTGCTTCTGTTCCTCGAGCTGCTTCTGTTCCTCAAGCTGCTTCTGTGCCTCAAGCTGCTTCTGTTCCTCAAGCTGCTTCTGTTCCTCAAGCTGCTTCTGTTCCTTGAGCTGCTTCTGTTCCTCAAGCTGCTTCTGTTCCTCAAGCTGCTTCTGTTCCTTGAGCTGCTTCTGTTCCTCAAGCTGCTTCTGTTTCTCAAGCTGCTTCTGTTCCTCGAGCTGCTTCTGTTCCTCGAGCTGCTTCTGTTTCTGCAGTTTATTCTGTTCCTCAAGCTGCTTCTGTTCCTCAAGATGATTCTGTTCCTCAAGAAACTTCAGTTTCTCAAGCTGCTTCTGTTTCTCGAGCTGCTTCTGTTCCTCAAGCTGCTTCTGTTTCTCAAGCTGCTTCTGTGCCTCAAGCTGATTCTGTTCCTCAAGCTGCTTCTGTTTCTCAAGCTGCTTCTGTTCCTCAAGCTGCTTCTGTTCCTCAAGCTGCTTCTGTTTCTGCAGCTGATTCTGTTCCTCAAGCTGCTTCTGTTCCTCAAGATGATTCTGTTCCTCAAGAAACTTCAGTTTCTCAAGCTGCTTCTGTTTCTCAAGTTGCTTCTGTTCTTCAAACTGCTTCTGTTTCTCAAGGTGCTTCTGTTCAAGCTGTTTCCGTTCCTCAAGCTGACTTTGTTTCTTAAGCTGCTGCTGTTCCTCATACAGCCTCTGTTCCTTAAGTTTGTTCTGTTCCTTAAGCTGCTTCTGTTCCTCAAGCTTCTGTACCTCAAGCTGTTTCTGTTTCTCAAGCTGCTGCTGTTCTTCCAGCTGATCTTGTTCCTCAAGTTGTTGGTTCTCTTCCTTGAGTTCCTGTTCAAGTTGCTGCTTCTGTCCTAGTTGCTTCTGTTTCTCAAGCTGCTTCCGTTCCTTGAGCTGTTTCTTTTCTTGCTTGAACTGCTGCTTTTGTTCTTCCAGCTGCTTCTGTTTCTCCAGCTGCTTTTGTTTCTCAAGCTGCTTAAGTTCCTTGAGCTGCTTCTTTTGTTCCTTGAGTTGCTGCTTCTGTTCCTCAAGCTGCTTCCGTTCCTCAATCTGCTTCTGTTCCTTGAGCTGCTTCTTCTTTTTCTTGAGCATCTTCTGTTCCTCCAGCTGATTCTGCTTCTCAAGCTGCTTCTGTTTTTTTAGCTGATTCTTCTCTTCCTTGAGCTGCTTCTGTTTCTCAAGCTGCTTGCGTTCCTCAAGCCGCTTCTGTTCTTTGAGCTGATTCTTCTCTTCCTTGAGCTGCTTCTGTTTCTCAAGCTGCTTCTGTTCTTCCAGCTGGTTTTGTTCCTCAAGCTGCCTCTGTTCCTCAAACTGCCGCTGTTTCTCAAGCTGCTTCTGTTTCTCAAGCTGCTTGCGTTCCTCAAGCCTCTTCTGTTCTTTGAGCTGATTCTTCTCTTCCTTGAGCTGCTTCTGTTTCTCAAGCTGCTTCTGTTCCTCCAGCTGGTTCTGTTCCTCAAGCTGCTTCTGTTCCTCCAGCTGCTTCTGTTTCTCAAGCTGGTTCTGTTTCTCAAGCTGCTTCTGTTCCTCCAGCTGGTTCTGTTTCTCAAGCTGGTTCTGTTCCTCAAGCTGGTTCTGTTCCTCAAGCAGCTTCTGTTCTTTGAGCTGCTTCTGTTCCTCAAGCTGCTTCTGTTCTTCAAGCTGCTTCTGTTCCTCAAGCTGCTTCTGTTCCTCAAGCTGCTTCTGTTCCACAAGCTGCTTCTGTTCCTCGAGCTGCTCCTTTTCCTTGAACACGTGCATAAACACATACACACATGCACAAATACAAAGATCCCCCGTGTAGCCTTAACAGACTGTTGGGGCAAGTGCTTTTAGCGAGTAGCACCTCTGAAGGCCGGCACTGTGGCACACAAGAGGGTGGGTGGCCAGCACCCCGCCCAGCCGCCTTTGTCTCCCAAATGGCGATTTTTACACATCGCACCAGTTATTCATTGGAGGCTAAGTCGACCTAGGGAAGGCCCAGGACTGATTCAGAAACTCGTCACTGGTGTTGGCCGTGAGCGGGAATCGAACTGGGGCCGCCAGGGTTCGTAGAGCAGCGTGCTAACCGCTGCACTACCGCACAAAGACCCCCCGTATAGCCTGGACAAACTGTTGGGGCAAGTGTTGTTAGTGAGTACCTATAAAGGCCGGAACGGTAAACAAGGGGGTGGGTGGCCAGCACCACGCCCGACCGCCTTTGTATCCCCATTGGCGATGTTTACACACCGCACCAGGTACTCATTTGAGCCTGAGTCGACCTGGGGGAGGCCCAGGACCGGTTCAGATAATTGTCATTGGTGTTGGCCGTGAGCGGGAATCGAACTCGGGTCGCCAGGTTCGTTGCGCAGCGCGCTAACCGCTGCACACAAGCACACCCACACACATACACGAGGACACGTACACACAACAAGACACGTACACACCCACTCATTAATAATTCTGGCACTTTCCGCCACATCTTGTAGACTGTTGCAATTGGGACTAATGCCGTTAGAAACGAGAAAAAAACCCCACTACTAATATACTAACCCCACAGCTGTCGTGACTGGCACAGAATATTTCAATTTTAAACCTGGAAAAAGTAATTAGTAATAATAATGTACAGGAATCTCCCGGTCAACCGTGAGTGGCTAAGCCACATGGGGAGCGAACGACAACCACATCAATTCCATACACCCAGCCATCAAAGTCACCATGGAGGTAGAATAGGATGGCATGCTACCTTTCTTAAATGTCCGAATCAAAAAGAGACCAGATGGCTCAATGAGCCATTCTGTCTGCAGGAAAGTAACCCACACTGACGCCTACCTAAAACCTGAATCCCACCATCATCCATCCCAGAAGAATTCCTTCATCAAAACGCTACACCATAGAGCTCAATGTATCTCCGACCATGAACACCTAAACAGTGAACTCAAACACGTACACCAAGCTCTCAAGGCGAATGGATATTTTGACTACACAGCCATTACCCCAACCGTGAGGAAGGAACCATCTGAGGATCCAATCAAAACCATTACCCTGCCATACATAGCAGGGGTAACCAAAAATATTCCAAAATCATGAACAAACACAAGATCCAGGTCCGATTTAACACAGTACATAAAATCGTGATCTGATCCCATCTGTGAAGGACAAGATTCCTGACATGCAATATCCCAGCGTCTACAAACTAAGCTGTATCTGCGGCAGAAGTTACATTGGGGAAACTAAGCGACATGTCTCGGACCATGTTCGTGAGCACAAGGCAGATTTGAAAGACGGTCGGACCAATACTTCTGCCGTGGCTGATCTTTATTTCAATGCGGCTGGCTCACACGAAATTGATTTCTCTAAGACGATAGTACTTTGCAAGCCTACTGTCTATCAACAAAGATTCGTTCATGAAGCCATCCATATATACAGACACAGACACAATTTCAACCGAGAGGATGTTATAGACTCAGCAATCATTGGAAAGATGTCACCAACCACTTTGGGTCATGACTTGACTTGTGTTTTCTTGTCAATCAACCTCCACTGTCAGCAGTGTGGTGTGTGGAGCGGGGTGCAGGGATTTCTTGGCGGCCCTTTGCTGCATTGGCATTGCTGCTGCATTGGCGTTGCTGCTGCATTGGCATTGCTGCTGCATTGGCATTGCTGCTGCATTGGCATTGCTGCTGCATTGGCGTTGCTGCTGCATTGGCATTGCTGCTGCATTGGCGTTGCTGCTGCATTGGCGTTGCTGCTGCATTGGCATTGCTGCCCCGCCCTTGCTGCTGGTGCTGCTGACACACTTGGGCTACGCCTATCTCCAAACCTTTATGAACTCTTTGCCTTTAGAGGCGAACCCCTTTTCCTGATGACGACCGCTTCGGTTGCGATCAAAACGTCGTGATATTTTTATTCATTATACTTTTATTTTCATTCTTTTTTCTATCGACGTGACTTTACCGAAAGAACCAAAGAATAAGAGCTGCATACCTCAATAAATTCGGCGCGATCGGTCAAATCCGCAATGGGCGAAGATTCGAGGACATGCACTCGTGTGGATGTGAAGGGAAACCTGATCATGCGGCAGCGGTTGCTCGTGATGCAGCTGATGCAGCTGGTGCAGCTGGTGCAGCTGATGCAGCTGGTGCAGCTGATGCAGTTGGTGCATGAAATGCCGCTCCGTGAAACGCTGCTCTCTCAGCTGGTCCAGCTGCTGCTGCCTCTCTCCAGCACTCGGGAGCGAGGGGGGCCAAGACAGATTTATTGAACTGAAGGTAAACAGGGGCGGGCATTCAGTCAAGAGGTCGTCAAGGTCAATGTCATTGATGTCACCGCATCACCTTGTCATGTCAATGCTTCCTTTCTCTTCATCCTTCCTTAAATTCCCATTACTGACAACGTCTGACTTTTTAGTTTTCCGCTTGTTCCTCATTAGATACATTATTTTTACAGCGCTGTTTTGAGTCATGTTTCCACTATCTGGCCGGAGGTCTATATATTTTATTAATGCGGGAGAATAGTAATAACAATGCCATCCATTTATCCTGAAGCACTTGGGGTGAGCAGAGTGCAGCAGTGAGGTGAATGCGAAGGGAAAACCTGCAGAACGTGTGGCAGCAAATGCTGCTCATGAAGCTGCTGCAGATTCTGCAGCTGTTGCTGAAGCTGCCGCCGCTGCTACTGCTGCTGCTGCTCCCGAAGCTTTCACTGCTCACGGCTCTGCAGCGACTGCTGCTGCAGTGGCTGGTGTTGTCCATTCCCTTACAGCGTGTACCACAGCCACATAGGCCTGGAGGGGCACACGTGGGGGGGGGGCGTTCGATCAAGAGGTCGTCATTGGCAATGCCACTGATGTCCGCACCGCCTCCTCGTCCCTTTGCCCGCTGCTGATCCTGCACTATCGAGGTTTTCCCTGAAAGTCACATCACGACCAACATTCTGATTTAAAGTTGTCCGCTCGTTGCAAACGGTGCGCGTCTCTTACAGCCACATTTACACGATCTTGACTTGAGGTCCCCAATGTTTAGATAGCCCGCCCTCATACATCGTGAGTTACATCTACAATACTTTCTTGCCTTCACCTGGTGAAATAAGAGACACCAGTCGTGCAAACCCTACGCCTGAATAGCACCCCCAAAAATGTGAAGCGTGGAATTTTTTTCCTCCAGCTCCTCACTTTTTCCTCCCTCCACATTTAGAATCAACACGCATTTAGAGTATTTGGCTGCCATGTATTTCCACACCGATATGCCACTTCCGTTGAGCTATCATTTGTGGCTAGGTCGTTCCTGAAGGAAAAAAAGGTATATATATGAAGCTCATTGGGCCTTACCTGGTAAAATAAAAACATTTATATATTTTATAGTTCTTCAGGAACTGTTCCTGATGACGACCGCTTGTGTTGCGATCGAAACGTCGTGATATTTTTTTTATTAACTTTACTTTTTATTATTTTATTGTTATTTTTTTTTATCTACGTGACCTTACCGAAAGAACCACAGAATATGAATTCCTGCAGTCACGAAAGTTTTAAGTCAAAATGTACGTGTATTTTTTGTAAGTAATTCACACCGAGCCAGATCACAGCTTCCATAGAAATTCTGCACCAGCATCAACGTGCAACCTGCCCTGCCTCACCTCAACTGCAGTCAGCTGCTCCCCACGGGATTCCAGAGCTCGCAGAGAACAGCGATCTCTAGGGGCGGGTAACAAAGACACGCGCGCGCACGTGTAAGCCCACAACAGGCTGCCGGGAGCCAGTGCTGTTGGCGAGTGGCGGCTGCTATGAAGATCCGACACAGCACACGAGGCGGCGGGTAGCCAGTATACCACGCCCAGCCGCCTTTGTCTCCCCAGCAAGTGACGTTTACACACCGCACCAGGGAGGCTCAGATCAATCGTCACTTGGTGTTGTCCGTAAGCGGGAATACAACAACAACCGACGTCACCACGGCGCTTGTGCCAGGCTAGGTGCACGTTGAGGCCACCACGTGAAGTGTCGAACGCCCGCCGGCAGGAGGTCACGGAGCAGACCCAGCAGGTGGCACGGGGTCGACTCACTGAGAAGACGACTGGCCGATGCACACCAACAACAACAACAACGACGCTTGTGCCAGGCCATGTGCACCTTGAGGCCACGTTGAGGCCGATGCACACACGCACTCGCACGTGCAAATGAATACCCACACAGGCACGCGAGTACACAGACTGTTGGTTTCCGTAAGCAAGCATAGACACCCCCACCCCCAAATGACGGAGCCAGGATCTTTAGGTAGGGGTGGGGGACAACCCCTCCAGCAATCAAAAATGATAGAGGAGTTGTTAGTAAGTAAGGGACTTATAACTTTTATTTTGATTTAAAGCTTTCGTGACTGCAGTGATTCATATTCTTGGTTCTTTCGGTAAAGTCACGTTGAAGGGAAACAATCAAATAATAAAATATATATCTAAAAAACAACGTGACTTTACCGAAAGAACCAAGAATATGGACTTATAACTCTTTGGTTCTTTCGGTAAAGTCACGTAGGTATAAAATAAAATAAATCACCTGATGACGGACGCTTGTGTCGCGCCCGAAACGTCTTGGATTTATTTGATTTTCTACCCACGTGGCTTTTACCGAAAGAAGCAAAGAGTATATTCTTAGCTCTTTCGGTAAAGTCACGTTGAAGGAAAACAATGAAATAATAAAATATAGAAAACAATAAAAATGATCAAACTTTTATTGTTTTTATTGTTTTATATATTCTATTATTTTTATTGCTTTATATATTTTATTATTTTCTAATAATAAATATATAAAACAATAAAAATATTTTATTGTTTTTAA